GTTCCTTCACTGGTTTTTCATCGTTTGGTGATCCAGTGAATAAACAACCCCTTATCTCAGTACTTTATTATGCTATGATGCTTAAAAAAATAAAACGTAACTTCAATAACTATATTTTGAATTCTCTTTTTCACAGTGAGAAAAATAAAACGATTACATGCAATTAATTCCACTTCAAACATGTAAATACAAACACTCATCTTATAATTTTTTCAAAGAAATAAAGTGTTGCAGAGATAATAACAAATTCAAAAATTTTTCCAGAGAAGTCTATTTGACCAGGTAATCTAAAACATTGCTGGATGACTTCCTATTGTTTGGCAGTAAGCTATTGTTACCAATCAATCTAAAGAAAAACTTTCAAATTCTTATTTTTAATCAATATAAATGAAAGTTCCTTCACTGGGTAGTGTTCCTTCACTGGTTGGTTTACCCTACTCTTCATTTCACATGTATTTAACCAAGATGTTTGCCCCTGTCTTTAACACACTTCTGCTCGCCATCGATTACTATACTGCAGTAGGGCCGGATTACCCATTAGGCCAGACTAGGCCATGGCCTAGGGCCCCCAATGACTAGGAGCACCCTTAAAAAAATTTTTTTTAAATAAATATAAAAAAATTAAGAAAAACAATGATTTTTTTTACTACAAGAATCGACACATAACCAAAGTTTTCAAATCAATTTCAAATATGTATTAATAAAATACGATAATTTTTTTTAGTTCAAATTTAACAAAATAAAGTAAAATTTAATTTATTATATTTAATATTATATTTTAAATTTGCTTTCTTAAATGAAAAGATATATAAATGCTTTTATATTTGAATAAATTACAAATATACGCGAACAAAAATTTAATCTAAGGGTCCCAAAAATTTGAATGACCTAGGGCCCCGCTTTCGCTTAATCTGGCCCTGTACTGCAGTGTTTCCCAAAGTGCGGTACGCGTACCCCCAGGGGTACGGGAACAGTTTAGGGGGGTACGCGTTCTTATGCGAAATATCTTGCAACAAACGAAAATTTCAAACAATTTTATTTAAAAACAAAGCTAGCCATGAAAATTTTCGATTACGTATTTTTCTATAGGCTATTATTCGCAGAGGTAACAGTTAATAGTTAGTGGTGTCAACTGCCAGTTGTGATTTTTAACTTTTGTGCAATTTTTTTATAGTAAAAAATACATACATTTATTTTTTTCATTAGTGGTACACAGCGTTACGAAAAATTTAGAAAGGGTACACAAAAGTCATAAGTTTGGGAAACACTTTTATATACTGTGTTAATATGAGCAAGTACTTATATTAAGGATCATACTATCAATGATGAGTGGCATAATGAGTGGGATGAATGTAGGAGTTTTTCTCTTGCATTGTTGCATTAACTTTAAAAATTCACCAAAAAAAAAATCGCAATAAAATATGTTTTTGTATCAAACGGAAAGACAATGGGGTAACTAGCACAACGTCACTGTTTTGTCAGTTTTAAATAATTTTTTTAATTTATTTTTTAGTAAAAATAAATGTGTTCATGTAATAACACATGTAATAAATTATGTGCTAGGAAAATTTAACTATTCTGCAGTGTTCTTATGTTGCGTATACAACCATTTCCCGCACGTACACTATCATTTCTAATAATGAGCAGAAACTTTCAAAAGAATAAATTAAAATATTTAATTACAAAGCTTCGACAATACAGAACATAATGAAAACGTTAAAATAAAATAATTTATATTTGTAGGGCATCACCTTTAATAACCGAAATACAATCACGCTAAAAAGTGCCAGTTTGAATAATTATTATAGTTACTGTCATGGAACTCTAAGATTTCTTTTGCTGCCATTAGCATAAAATTAATAAAAGTTATAAAGGTATTCTTCACATAAAAAATATTTTTTATTTTTACGCAACTATTCTACGTTAACGTATATACCTATAAAATTTATTTATCATGCTTCCTTATTACGTATTTCATTTTCATTATTATTCCATTCCAAACTGAAGGCTTAAAATTGAAAGTTGCGTTGTTTTATTATCAAGTGCCTATAATATTGTCTTATCACTCAATTTTTTACTATGAACATAGTTAAATTGATGTTGAAACTTATTAGCAGTTTAATGATTATTGAACAATGTATTTTGTATAATTGCTTCTATTTACTATATTTTACAAATAATATTTACTTTTATAAAAAGCTTTGTGTAAAACTGTGTTCAATCAGCATATACAATAAAAATAATGAATGCAAAAATGTGAAATTTTATTAATAAATAATTTTCGCACTATTACTAAATAATATCTAGAGTGAAAAACCTTTAACGAGTTATTTTATCAAACAAAAATTAAATAGGAAGAGGATCGCCAAGATTCTTTGATTTCTGAGGTGCCTCAAAGATTAGTAAAGCGTCATGAAAAATATTAACAGAGTAAAAATCATTAAAAACAAAGACTAACTTAAAAATAATTAAAAACAGTGCAGCATGATAAATGGTAAAAGCAGACGATACTTTTAGAACTCTTTTTGAAGTTGACTGATTCAGACCGAGTTTTCGTGACGAAGTGATGTAAATTCGTTTTTATAACCGTCGTTGTACAGTCGGTCTAATTATATGGGTTTACGACTACTAATGTTCAACTCCAAAGCCTTGTAATTTTGTACCCAATCCAGAAGACAAGGGAACTCCTGGATCGAGTATTGGGAGAAATTTGCCTGGGTGGAGTACTTTTTGATGGAGCTAACCCCCATTTGCTTTACATGGAGAGGAAGTCCACGAGAACCTCCCACGGTTAGCCTGACAGCAAGTGTTCTCTAACCCATGATCCGTCTACCACTGAAGATATTTCACGTCAGCACTGTGGAATTCGTATCGACTGGGATTCGAACCCGTTACGCCTCATTAGAAGGCGAACGCTCTATCCTCTGAGCCATCGCGGCTCATGTAAACTCGTTATGGAAAATAAAAGACAAAGTTTTTGTTGAGAAATGTCTACTACCCGTTACGGGATGCTAATTTAAAATCTAGCATCCTTAAAAGTCTCGTTCTCTTTTATCTTATTTGTAGTTGGTCGCAATTATATAATACAAGGTTTTATTTCTTATAAAATTTATCACCCGGGCAACAAAAAAAAAAGAAGTCATGAATCCAGTTTTTTTAATTCCGGAAAATGCCAAACAGGAGAGCGGATTGTTGAATGTCGCTGAATTGGAAAATCGCTTTCCGGATAAGAAAGAAGTTTGAACTATCCACTAAAGAATTTTTTGCTGTTTAATTGGTACTGGCATCATCGTACGTAATCTGAAGGAATGCAATTGAGTGCCTATGAGTGACGTCACGTGTAGGTTAGAAATGGTGAAATGCTTCTTTGATATTTAAATAAATGTCATTCTTTCCATATTATCCGGATCTTCAATTTAGCAGAACATCAGGGTTTTTTTTTTAAAAAAAATTGGTTTATTTTTAGAAATTTGATGAAAAAGTTCCATTCGAAAAAATGCAATATTTATTTTAAGTGTTCTTCATACCGCAATCCAAAAAGCTAAAAAAAAAAAAAATTCTAATGATTTTATGTCTTGAACTATTTTTACTCGCTAATAACAATGATTCCTAGTTACATATTTAGCTTTAATATATAGATAGGTATACTATAACGTATACAATATTTTCCCTTGAGGAAAAATTTTGCTGAAACTTGCAAAAGGAAAAAACACTACGGAAACGCATGTAGATCAATTTCATCCCATTCAAATTAAAATAATTACGATTATATTTTTAAATAAATTTAAAAATAAATAGTATTGCAAAATTATACAATCAGCATTTTAAGTTATATAATTTACTGTCATGTTTTAAACTTTTCAATAGCATAAACTTTTTGTTTTAACTCACTCAAATTATTTTAAAATGACTAAATATTTTCTACATTTTGAAATATCTCCAAAAATTACAAACGAGAGGGGGGGGGGGGAATTAAAATTTGCCCAAATGCAAATACTTTTCAATTTTCTGATAATAAAACTTATTAAAAATGTTGAAATATCTCCAAAAATTACAAACAAAAGAAAAAAATCACAGTTTTTTCAAAGTAAATATTGTTTAATTTTGTAAGAATAAAACGTATTAAAAATGGCAATAAATGCGATCTTGTAAAAATCTCACAGTAGAGTTACCCTTCAGTTTTCATGAACATAGTTTAGGAACCATGGAAAACAGGTCTTTCTAATGTTAGAAAAATAATAATTTAATAAGCAAATAAAAGAAAATGAATTTCACCTTGAATTAATTCAAAATTGCAAGGTTACGTGTTCTTGTTATTCAGTAGATGTTTGAAATACGTGATTATATAACTATCAGTTACAGAGTTTTCTATGTTATATAAAGAGTCTAACATAAAAAAAGATTCAAAATATCTTAAGCACGTTTAATTATTTCTGGAGGTTTGAGTTGACAATATCTGTCACTAAAAAAAAACTATGCATTCATTATTTTTGCCATAACTTTTAACTGTTCGTCAGATAAATTTTCCTTAAAAATCAGCATGGTTTTGATAAGTAAACTAAGTTAATATCAACATCTAGTACTTATAAGTTATATATTAAAACAATTATTTTATATGTGTTTAATCATGCGTAACTATTTTTATAGGTTTTTCATTTTAAGAGAAGAGGCATAAGTAATTTGTATTGAAAAACCACGTTACCGAGTATCTTGTGAATTAGATGATAATTATTAAGAAAGTTCAGGTAATGGTTATTTCTTGATACAGAGTGGCGCAGAATTTTTTGGTGATATGCTCATATTTCGGAGAGAGAGGGCCTTTCTGTTTTACACACAATTTATGTCTGACAATTTACCTTTTAAAAATTCCAAAGATTAATTGACTCCGCTAGACATCAGTATGATACTGTCGGCTTTTGATGTTTTTAAAAGCAAAATAAGGAAACTAAAGTTAAACTTTGTTTATGAAATTCTATTATAATTTTTTTAGATTTAATCGCAAAAAATCATTTCATTTTTATTCTTGTATAAATATTTACTACTGTATGAGGTATATTTCTGAATGAAATTTTTTCAACTTTTTATGAATCATGTAACGTAAAGTTTATATTATTCTATCTTTGTTTATGAATTATGCGGAAAAAAACGAACCACCTTGAATAACTTTTAGTCCAATGATAGGATCTTCACGTTCTAGGACGCTTTTTAATGGTTCGAGGGGGTGACTTCACATATGCTGATTAATTAGTGCAGACGATATTTTCAGTTATGAAATCAGGCACAAAAATGTACTTTCTCTAAATGAACATATCGTTTTTTTTTTTTTTTACTGATTCGGATCCCCAAAATATAGGGGTTGGTCGTAATCTGAGAGATACGGTCCAATTAGTTAGGACAGAAAAGCGGACCAAATTTTGGACCCTTTAATGCTAATTTTTGCATTTTTGCGTATTTCTCCATATCTCGAGAACTTCGTAAAAAATTCAAAAAAATTTTGCTTGCGATTATAAAATTTGTTTATGCAAAGATAATTCCGTACGAAAAGAAAAAGCTTTAGTAAAAATTTGTTATTTTTTTTTATCCTTTTATTTACGAGTAGAAAAATGTTTGATTTGTAAGGTACAAAATGTTCTACGTCAATTTTACATGGCAAAATACAAAATTTGAGTGAAATCGGCCGAGGACATCCCGAGAAATCGAATTTTTAAAATAAGACTTTTTCATAATTCAGAATCAAGAATTATTCAGAATGATCCGTATTTTTCTTTTCTCTTGTGCTGTGAACGTCTTGCTGAAAAAGCAACATAAAAAGTTTCTCAAAAATTGAACTTTAATATAAGTAAAAATATTATTTAACTGTGCAACATAAGTTATGCAAATAATTTAACTGTGTGCTGCTTAGGTAACTAATCAATTCCTTCTCAACAAGTTTCAACATTACTTATAAAGTTTGTCAACAGATGGCACTGGTGAGTCATGGAACCCATAATGCAAGGTTTTCAAAACACCATTTGTCTTACAATGACGTGGTGAATTCTGAGGACATAAAAAACATCATTGCAAATATTCAGTGTTTTAATAATCTCAAATGAATAAAAAAAACATTGTTTCATAATTTCTTTTAGTTATCAGCACCATAAGTTGGATTAACTTTAAATAAATCTGAAAATTGAGGAAAATAAATCTTCGTTAACAGAGCAAATCGTAAATATCTCCCTCTATTACTATTTTTATTTGAATTCGTTTCAAAAGTCGATAGTCATTGTTGAGACACTCAGTACGCCTGTTCTGTGGAAGGTTTAATATGAGTTGATGTATAAAAATAATTGTATGTAATTAACAATAAAAATATAGTTATCTATCATCATTCTCTGTTACTTAGACTTCCTTTCAATTTAGGATATCTGTTAATTTAATAGCATTCTCGTTTAAAATTAATTTATTGTTGTAAAACATGAGCTTACAGCTACACGGCATGCTTGGACATATGAAAGGTTTCTTTGTTTAAGACAAAGTAAATAAAACATGGTAGTTTTAGTTAAACCGAGTATGGAGTAACTTAGACCAGCAGTAGGAATATTTTTTTTGGCTAATGTCAGTTGGTGATGTAATAACAAAAGACTTTCTGCCAAGAATATTCTGTCGTCACTCATGATTTTATGTATTATGCAGCCACTTTATTAAGATGTAGATTGTGCAATAAGGGGAAATTTTCTAAAGCTAAAAATACATTTAACTTTTACAGGATTTTGCATATTGCATGAGAATGTTTTTCGTTCATGGTAATGATGAAATAACAACTATAGAGGAGGCTAGTGAAAACACTCCATTGATAGCACCATCTGCACCAACTTATCCCAGAGTTAAGCCGAATTCATGGAGGAGATACATAGAAGTAGACATTAAAGTACCTCGGATACAAACAATAACAGGAATACTATTGGGGTAAATATCATAACTTATGACTTATAATTATTACGCCATCCAAATGCAAGGCTGTTAAAAATAAATGTCTGCCACAGTAATCAAAGAGGATATAAGCCTTCTTGAGTGATGCTTTTGGACGAGTTTTTAAAAACATGCATATAAATGTTATTTAATCACATGAATGTAATTTTGTGAATATAGGGTGCCTCAAAATTTTATTGGCAACCTCTTACGATTGGAAAATCAGGAGGATTGAGAATATAATAGCAACATATGAACGGAAATATCCGAATACATCGCAAGCTGGAGATCTGCTCGAAAGCGATAAGAATGAGCGTGGTCTGGCGATCTGATTACTTTCTCCAATGCTTACCTGATTTATCGTCAAATGGAACCTGATTTACCGTCTATTGTCAAATGGAACAGATTTTAAGCCTTTGTGTGAACTTAACCTAGTACGCCATTTTTGCTCATGATATTTTATAAAAGTTTCCAACTAATTGTTCGCTCGGGTCCTTTCATAACTTTTGCTACTGTCTTCCTGCGAATGTTTCCAGTAATATGTTCTCTGCAATTCTCGATCCTTTCCTTTTGGTATGCCTTACCCCTTCTAAAACTTCTTCGCAACATTTCGGAAACACTCCTTACAGTAGAAAATTTTGTGCTGTATGCATTAATACATATTGTGTTTTAATATATAAAGAGTATAGTCCTGAGATCCCGAGATTGAACCCGTCTTCCCTGTACTGAAAGAACCTTCATCGCGAGCTCATCTTGCCATTACCAGACAATATTATAGCCTTATCAGAAAAATGCGACATTATTCCGAAGAAGCAAATGTATATAGTATTGAGATCAGAAAATTAACCTCTGTCCTCACTGAAAGAAACTTCATCGAAATCTCATCTCGTGATTGTCAAGCAGTATTATTGCCCCTTCAGAAAAAATATATAATTTTATTAAAAATTGTTATTAATTTAACCACTATTTTGCTATATTTCTATCTTTCAAATAATAATATACTTCTTCAACCCGATATTAAGAACACAATTTATTTTTTTGACAAATGTTTTTCTATGTCAAAGGAAGGGATTTCATCAAATGTAAACAAAGCTTCCTCGTTAAATCTTCGGACGATCCTGTTACGCAAAATTTAGTTTTCGAACCTGCATTGTGTACCAAACCAGGTTTTTTTCATATTTTTCAGTAGGAAGCGTTTAAGGGGAGAAACATTTTCAAAATTTGGCCAAATTCCAACTTGGCTAAAAGATAAGAAGACTAATGTTTTACAAATTTCTAGAAAGAAATCAAATCTATAATATCTCTTTTCTTATAGTTTTTAAATTATGAAATTAACATTAATACATAGAAGTTTTCAATGAATAAGAGTGATTATACAATTGAAATTATTTGTATTTTATCATCATGAGCTATAATTTATTTCAGGTTGCTTTTATTGGGAATGATAGTGATGCTTGTGGCTGAAGCTATTAGAGAAAATCGACAACCTGATCCATTCCTTGTAGATTATTCTACATCGCCATCTCCTTTTGCTGGTATATAAATCAGTTTTCATTCACGTTATATGATATTTTAAAATAATGAAGATATATTTAATATAAAAGTAAAATTTTTAGCTAATTAATAATAATTTTGAAACATGTTTGCACAGGTTTCCTAAGATTACCGAACAAAGCATTTCACCAAGCTTGGGTCGAAGGTGAAGGTATTGCCGCTTATAGGAGAAATTTGGAAAAAGTTCTTTTCGAAAATGGTATGATTTTTAGGAAGACAATTATTTAAATTTTTATTTCCTAATGTAGTTAAGACTTTGACGAATTTAAACAATTTTAAATTTTATTCCACCTACATTATGTATCTTCCTTTTGCTTGAAAAAAATCTTTACCAGCTCTTTTACATTACAATTTATATTTATTAATATTTTTCACCCTTTGCATTTTTTTACTTATTCCTTACATAGACGCTCAAAATTAATGCTGCATTACCGTTAATAATACCGAATAATATTTTTTTTAGTATTAGTGATAAATATTTTTATGAAGTGAAAGAAGAATTAAGAACGGAGACCGGATTCACCGATCTCACCACTGAACACACATTTGAACCACTATGGTTCATACCTAATGCCAGTTTTAAAAGAATACAGTTTTCGTTCTCAGAATTCAACCAATTCTGCTCTAAACAGGAACTGTTCAGGGCAATTACAATAAAATAAAAGTAGCGAACTGCGGTGGCTCAGGAAATAGAGCGCTCCCTCCTAATGATGTGACCCAGGTATAATCGCAGAGTCGGCTGGATTATTCAAATTCCACTCCCGGTTAGCACAGAGCTGACATAAAGTATCCTCAGTAGAAGATGGATTATAGGTTATAACCCGCTTGCATCGAACAAACTGTTGGAGATTTACGCGGTTATCCTCCCCGTGTACCGCTGATACTTGTTAGTTCCATCAAAAAATCCTCCACGAAGGCTAGTTTGTCTCAGTATTTTATCCAGAAGTACTCTTATCTTTTGAATTGGGTTCAAAATTATAAGTCTACGGTGTTGAATATTGAGTGACGCAAACTCAGAACTGGATCGACTGATCAACACCGGTTATAAAATAAAAATAAAAGTAGTCAAAAATTGTTTTTACATTAAACAAACTTTTATCATAAATTTACTTAAGAGCGTAAATGTTTAAAAGCTTAAAAAAACTACCTAAAATTTGGTTGCGTACATAATCAGTATGATTTGGTAGTTTTGAACTTACTTTTTAGGAGTGGAATCACGTTCAATGCTTTAAACTAAGTTTAATCATGGGGTCGAGGAATCGAGTTAGGCGAGTTTCAATTGGGCAGTCCAGATTGTTCCGTTTAAGTAAACCAGCAATCTATACGGATCAATTTCTAGAAATAAGAATTTTCTTTACCTTGTAGTAGGGCATTGTCACCCCGGCAAATTTTTAAGTATCATAATTGTAACTTTTGAAATTGTTAAATTGTTCTATTCTTGAATATTAAATATCGTGTCATCAAATGATAGTTAAAGACATGAATGTATTTGAAATTCGGTCCTTTTTAAACGAACATGAAATCTGGGTTATTCAATATTTGGATTTAAAAAAATTACCTAAATATCCAACATAAGTGTTGAATAGGAATTTAAACAGGAATTTCAACATTTAAACAGGAATTTTGCCAAAGAGAGGATCTCCATCATCCACTCTACAAAAGTTTCAGAAAGGCAACGTTGATGTTCAAGAATTAGAAGATTGCGGCCTGATTGTTGAACACATGAAAAAAGCATTAGGAGGATGGTAAGTAGAAAATGATATTCTAGTCCAGATCTAGCTAAATATTCAAGCTTGAATCTTATATTGAATTAAATGACTTTCAACAAATATACTTCAGATCATAATTTTCAATTCTTAAACTAGTTGCATGTGGCAGAAGGTTCCTTTATTTTTTTAATAATAACATCATGTTTTGAGAATAACATGTGTCACAAACTGCTGCGATTAAATGCTTTACTAACTACAGCTGTTTTAAATACGATAAATTCGTTTTTTCTTCTTTAGGTATACATCTTTTGTCATCATTTATCATTTATTTTCTTTATAATGTATCTAATAAAGAAAAATACCCGTGCATTATCTTGCTTTAAAAATTACTTCTAATTATTTTCAGCATTGATGTAGCCATGTTGCCCGATCATTGTCAACCAGATACTCCAACATCGTGCAGTTCTACATACCCTTACAGAACTTTGAATGGAAGTTGTAATAATCTGCAACATGCTGATTGGGGTATGGCTATGACTGCTTTTAAAAGACTACTGAGACCTGATTATGCAGATGGTAAAAACTCCATACTTAACTTCTTATTATTATAGTATTGTTTTGCATTAATAAATATGAGATAAGAAGTTAGATGGCAGCATGAATTTGATTTTAGGAAAAATTGAACAGATGTCTTTTTTTTCCTTCCTGTACTAAAAGCAGTAATTTTAGTAGCTTTTTACTCAAATATCTATTTTTGCCGTGAAAGAAAGCATCTCACAAACTTTTTGTGATATTGTGTGTCTAAAAAGGAACGGCGATTTGAAAAATCAATTAGAGATGTTAGAGACTTAATATATGGACATGTAAAGACTTAAAATATGGTTTACTGCGTTATGCTTAAGAAACAGAAATTTATTCTTCTGGAGCTTTAATATTATCTACAAAGTTCGACATATGACGCTGCTGATGAAACAACTAGGAAACAATGATTTCTTTGAGACCAGACCATTCAAAATAAAATATTTGAGTAGGCGTTTGTTAAGTTACTCCTTATATTCCACCACGTTGTGGCTGTTGTTATTGGTGGTTGCTTTAAAAATATTAATTTTTTTTGTTTTCCTTGTTTTTAGTGCCATCTAATGACTAATTTTGTAACTAAATTCAAAACTTGATGAGAACAAAAAGCTTTTTTTTTAATTAAAAAAATGCAGCAGACCGTACTTTTCTATTACTTTCAGTTTATATTTAATTAATTTTTCAAATCATCGGCCATTTACAGAGCATTCGGAGTTTATTCACTAGTTCTTTGGAAATTTATTACTCAAATATGTTCTTTTAAAAAATGAATTACGAAATCTTTATTGTTATATTCTAAGCAGGATACAATGCAGTTAAACATATTTATCAATATTGATCAACATATAGTTTCATAAAATCGTCATTCTTTTTTTTTTTTTTTTAACTTTCAAACTTTCAATTACAGTTATTTAAAAGGCATATTGCAACATGACTCAGTTACAAGAAAAAAATGTTAAACCACGAAGAATTTGAAGAAAATTTAAATACAGGGGTATTCATAATTCCCTCCGGGGTTTCAAAGCGTTATAGGAAAAAAACGAAGACGAATATGGCAAAAAAGAACATATGAAATTATTCCGAAAGTATTCAAGTTTTAATTTAAGCAGTTGCCGGTACATGGCAGTAACATGTACCACTGAAACCAGTTGTAGTAAAGAAAAATGTCGTTTACAGGCGGAGGGAATTATGAATAACTCTGTATATTCCTTTAATTACGACGTTTAAAGGCATCAAATCATCAAAAATTTGTATTACTTTTAAAACTGGTATTAGGTATAACTTAAAAAACTGGTATTGGTAATAGGGCATAAATTAAATACCCTAATAGAGAATGAATTACCATACTAGGCCGAAATATAGTATTTAAAAAAAAAAAAAAAAAACTGTTCAGGATGGACTCAACGCTTTTTTGTCTTCCATCTTTGATAAGCAGTAACAAATAAAACAAATTCATTAAGTTTATGTTGATAGTTTTTTCTTTCCATCTAAACTATAAAAGCTACCTAAAGCATAAAAGCGACTTAAATCCACTTAAGAACACTAAAACATATCTGGTGGCCCTGTCAAGCTCAAGTGTGATTTTTGTTGTTTTTAATGCGACAAACAAAACGAATGTTCGTACTTCGTGCACTAAAACTGTTTAAGAAACTTACTGATACGTAACGTGCTGTAACGAAAATTAATTTTAATAGGTAAATACAAATTTGCATTAATTTACGTGAGCTAAAAATATAATTGATAGTAACTTTTAGAACAATGCTATTTTATTTCAGTATCTGACAATGTTTATTGTTTATCAGTTATAGTTTACTTAGAACTAAGTAAATGTCTCAATATAATTTTTTTTATTATGTTTTGATAGGTGTTTCACAACCTCGAATGTCCGTAACAGGAGATGAACTTCCAAATGCTCGATATTTAAGCAATAAACTATATACACATCGTTCAAGACCTAAGTGCAATGCTACTGTTTTAATAATTTATTTTGGTCTCTTTGTTGATCATGACGTCATCAGCATAGTGAGCAAACAAGGTAATTATATGAACATTAATGTTTATTAAGTTAAATTTAAATCAAATAAAATGTAAACTGAATGAAATTTGAATAATGAAATCTGAAACTGAATAAAAAAAGAAATTCATGATTGATGTTGTTGTTTCTCATAACACTTGGACAGGCCAAGCTATACCAGTTATTCATCTTTTGCGAATTAAGATACGATGGTGGGCCTATGGTTCGACGGGAGAGCATCGTAAGGGTTAAAGTACATCGTACATCTTAGAACCCCACGGACAGATGGCAGCACCACTCATTCGTGAAGCCACTACCTCAATTTAAACATAGATCTGAAGGGGAAGAGAATTTTTTCCAGATCCCTCTACCCATGATACTGTTTAGTGACCGACCACAGGACTTTCTATTCAACAGATTTCTCGAGCACGTATATTGCATGTTCTTGGTGGGTTTTAGCGAAGTTGAAATTGAACTCCGGTCCCTCTGGACCGGAGTCCACATCTCTAACCACTAGGCTACCAAAGCCCTTATGATTGATTGATACACTGTATCCAAAACAAAAGCAATACAAAAAAGTACTTGAAGTAAGAGATTGAAATTTCTAGTTTTCTATGAAGGGATGAAATTGACTGAAATGAAATTATGCTAATTTCTATATATATGTATACGGGTAGGATATTGATAAATATGGGTAAGAATTCGTCAAATATTTTTCAAAATTCTGCTTTTATGAAGTCGTCAGAATATTCATCATTGCATCAAGAGCACGAATAGACTCTTTATTTTGGTTTACATTACTCTACCCTATTATTAAATCTACATGTAGTTTAGTTTAGTAATTAATAGTAAATCTTTTTTCTTATTGTATTTGTTTTTGTATTTAAATCAATAAGGCCATATTTAATAGTTTATGGATGTAATGCAATTTAAATCATTGTTGCAATCTAACTGCTCATTTTAGGTCATAATGGTGCTCCAATTTCATGTTGCCATCCAGACATTATTGAAAATCCATCTCTCATGCACCCTGAATGCATGGCTATAAGTGTTCCTGAAGATGATACATTTTACAGACCTCTTGGCGTCAAGTGTCTGGACTTCTTACGATCTATTCCTGTTCCTGGAGAGTGCCCGGGTAAATATGTTTCCAATTTAAATATATGAATGCATATGATACCAAATTGGCCACATAAAATATTTATTTTTAACCCTCTTACAAAAGAAATTGGGATTAATCGTAAATTAATATTCAAACGAGGAATAAACAAACACTATAGCAGTGTATGACAAACCGTTATTGAGGAGGGTGAGATAATAAAATCACCGCTATTAAGATTACGGATTGATTTTTATGGGTGGTTTTAATAAATAAATAAAAATTTATAACCTCTCTCTGTTTTCGTAGGATATGAAACAGATTTTGTTATTTTCATTCCTGTTTACCTCTGTAGTGATTTGTAAGATATTGATAGAGTTTTTGGTATATTCTCACCGAAATATTCATTTGTGACTTCAAAACTTTTATACATTTTTTAGGCTATTTTTAAAAGAACTAAAAGAACTAGTCTAAATATTAGGGGCTGCAAATACGATTGCAGACTATAAACTGCTAAAAAGAACTCCTTTCTAGCGTGATTTCTAATTAATGGAGAATGCTTTAAAAATTTTCCTTTCTCAGCAATTTTTTTTTCTATGTTTAAAATTCTATCTTTGTTTTGATTGATCTTAACAATGATCCGTTATACTTCGATAACTTTTTTTAACATTAAAGTATTATTTTTTTTACTGAGTAATATATTCTTTACACTTTACGTACATACTTTTTACAGGTATCGATTTTTTTGTGCGTATAATCCATCGTTTATTTGTCTAATTCAGTAGAATTATTTATTAAATTTGCTATATTAAACTTTATAAAAACTAAAGTTTTTTTTTGTTTTATTTTAGGAGAAAGAGAGCAAATGAATTTAGTAACTTCATTTTTAGATGCTTCTGGAGTGTATTCGTCCTTTTACGATAAGAGTAATTTTCTGAGATCTCACAAAGATGGTAAGAAATAAAAATCTACAATTTTTTTTTAATGTTTAAATTTAAGAAAAATTATTTAATTAATTAATTATTATGCATTTGAAATTTTAATTAGGAAAACTAATTTTCTTTAGGTCAATTAAGAGTTTGCAATATTAATAATACAGAAATGCTTCCACCCGCTCATCATCTCAGTTATCAATGTGGTTTTCCAAAACAAAATCAATACTGTTTCCAAGCAGGTAAATACACATTTTTATCAATTATTTTAAATTTGAACTATATTTAGTTGTTGAGCAAAATTGTGAAAAATATATATGGTGTTCTGTAATGATCAACAACAATTAAAATACACCATAAAATTCTCCCTTATCTAAATTGAAACTGCTTAATCTGATTGAAATCATTCACAACTCACTAAAACACACGCAAATAGCATGTCTAGTTGATTATTATGTTTCGCTAATTACTAAATCTCTTATTTTATTTCAAATTATCCTGAATTCTCCTTTAATATTAACTTCTTTTTAATTAACAGGTGATATGCGAGCCAATGAACAAGTGGAATTAACAGCCATTCATGCGATATGGATGAGAGAACATAATCGAATAGCCGAGAGATTTCATTCCCTCAATCCTCACTGGAGTGACGAAAAATTGTTTCAAGAGAGCCGAAGACTAGTTATAGCAGAACTGCAACACATTGTTTACAATGAATTCCTACCTCTTTTACTTGGTATATAAATCACTTGTGCTTTTTGTTTTCCTTTACATGGGTCTTATTTTAACTATTCACCATACATTTTCGTTTATGTTGTTATTGTTACTAATTCTGACGAAGTCAGATCAGGTGCAAAAGACCGTTGACTCGATGAAAGTGTAGTAGTGTATTAGATTAAATGTCCTCGTTGGTGAAGACCAATAGTGTAAGCCGTTTGCGTTTATATTTAAAGTTACCTTATGTATTTTTTAAAGAAAATACAAACACAATTTTGAATCTAAAAAAAGTAGTTTTAGTTAATTAATTATAAGAAAACTCCTAATATAAATTTTTTTATTATNATGATCAACAACAATTGAAACACACCATAAATTTCTCACTTATCTTAATAGAAAATGCTTAATCTGATTGAAATCATTCACAACTCACTAAATACACGCAAATAACATGTCTAGTTGATTATTATGTTTCGTTAAGTACAAATCTCTTATTTTATTTCAAACCTCCTTTATTATTAACTTCTTTTTAATTAACAGGTGATATGCGAGCCAATGAACAAGTGGAATTAACAGCTATTCATGCGATATGGATGAGGGAACATAATCGAATAGCCGAGAGATTTCATTCTCTCAATCCTCACTGGAGTGACGAAAAATTGTTTCAAGAGAGTCGAAGACTAGTTATAGCAGAACTGCAACACATTGTTTACAATGAATTCCTGCCTCTTTTACTTGGTATATAAATCGGTGCTTTTTGTTTTCTTATTCTAACTATTCATCATACATTTTCGTTTATGTTGTTATTGTTACTAATTCTGACGAAGTCAGACTAGGTGCAAAACCCGTTGACTCGAATAAAATGAAGGAGTGGATTAGAATAAATTTCGTCCTTGGTGTGAGTCGTTTGCGTTTTTGAATAAGGTTATCTTATGTATTTTTTAAGGAAAATGAAAATACAATTTCGAATCTAAAAAAGTAGTTTTATTTAATTAATTATAAGAAAACTCCACAAAACTCGCCGTACAAAACTTTAAGATTTATATAGTATCAAATTCTATTTATTGCACACTATCATTTTCAGAAAAATAAGTTCAAAGTTCCACATAATACAAACATAATGAACGCACTTCAAACATTAATTGAGAAGTTTTAACTAAATCTTCGATTTTTATATTTTAATGTTTACACTTATGGTTAATTACAGACATTAAAATAAAAATTACTGTGGTTAATTAATAAAATGGAATAAATTAGTAACACAAAAGAAATCGCAAAAAATATTATATACTTAATAAATTTAGAACCAGAGAGTGTAATATTAAATTGTACTAAGGACATACATATAGAAGAAAAAGTATGGGAAATTCTAGACGCTGATTTATTTTTAAAACTTAGATTATTATTTTGTTCACTATGTCGCGAATATCATAAGATAACTGACTTTTAGAATTTAAATAATTATTGATGCTCATTTTCTTAAAAATTTTTACATTTTAATAAATGTTTTAAGTCTGAAATTTGCTGATGTGATTTTTTTTAAAATTTTATTATTTAGGTGAAGAGGTGGCAAATGACTACAATCTAATTATCGATCCTCAAAGAGGATTTGAGTACAACACTGCAGTAAACCCAAGCATGTTTAATGTGTTTGGTGCTTCAGCGTTTAGAGTAGGCCATTCTCTAATAGAAGTAAGAATTTCAATTTAAAGCTAATTTTATACTTTTTTCCTGGCATATGAAAGCATGTTTATTCAAGTTAACTTCTTTACTCTTATTTTTGAATAAAATGTGCTTTTTTATTAATTATACTATTATAATTGCATACTTTACCTATATTTCATCAGCCATTTTAACAAAATTTTTATTAATCATGTTTTTTTTATTATTTTGTATTTAAATTGTATAATATAATTTTGTATAATATTTTGTATTTACTTTGTATAATATTTTGTATGTTATTTTGTATAATATAATTTAGATCAAAATAAGAAAAAATATTTTATTACGCATTTTAATGATTTTTTCTGTTAAACTATTTTCTGATTTCTGTTCATTTAATGTCTCTTTAATTCTCATAATTTTTTTTATTTAAAGGGGATGTTGGATTTAATAGGCCCAAAATTCTCCTCAATGAGACAGATTCCTTTGCATACTGCATTTCTCAATCCTCACATTTTTTACGAGAAAGGAATTGATTTACTTCTACGAGGGTTGGTTCGAGAAAAAGCAGCATCTGCTGATAGTTACATCACTGATGAGGTAAACTAATTCCTTCATCAAAAATTTGCTCATGTTTTACTTAATTTATCCAAAAAACGCTGCGCCTGTGCAGCTTTGGTTTCAATATATGACTTTCGTATCAGTGACTTACAAAAGAAAAATATTGTTTTCAATTATAGTGTAGAATTAACTATAAATAAACACAGAAATGTAAAAAAAGATTTTGTGCGTAAATAACAAAGAGGAACACACTATCCCCCCCCTTCTGTTTCATGAGATTTTTGAATAGATCTTCTTAAACACTTAATTATCGCTGATTTCAAATTTGCAATTAGTTTGTCTCTCCATGCTACAGATTTTATAAATAATATTTCTTTGCTTTACATTGTGTAGAAATGTACAAATTTAAAAACGTTATGTATTACAGGGAGTCACATAAATGTTGCGGCAGTGTTGTTAGTCACCTAAGGTGACTAGAGAGTGAGTGATATTAAACTCTAGTGAAAGGTGGCGCTGGACATTACTTATTGTACGTTTTCAGAACAAAATTCATATTATCAATTACAATTAAAATATTAAATTTCATTAAGCAAATCAACTGTGGTCTATCTTTTGACTCTTATTATTTAAGGTTTACTAGCGTTGTAAATGTGTATTATTATGTGACGTTCATTATGTAACGTATTTTGTTATGTAGTGTATTATTATGTAAGGTTTTCTATCTTTGCAAATGTGTATTATTATTATTTAAGTTTTATTAGTGTTGTCATGCGTGTTGGCATATTAGGCATGGCAGGTGGAAAATACTAGATCGAACTGGTGATACTCGTCGGCGGTAGTTTGAAGACCCATCATGATCAAAAACATTTAACAACATTTTCTAACTTTCCAATCTATTTTCATAATAAATAGAAAATAAAGACCCTTAATATGCTTATTTTTCAAGTAAATCAGACAACTGAATACTTGAAACTGTGTTATAATAGATTGCAAAAATGATTTTGCTTATGAAAAAAATAAAATATCTGCATTGCTTTCAACAAACAAGTGAGATACCATAAATTCCCCATATATAGATATGATTCTTATACTTTTGACTTTAGTGATATTTTTACTAATGAAAATGTATTATTATTTAGTTATTTTCTCATTGAATTGCACATTTTAGGTTCGTAATCGGTTGTTCCAACCCCACACTGGAAACCACGGAATGGATTTAGCTGCTATTGGAATTCAGAGAGGTCGTGATCAAGGTCTTCCGAGTTATCCGAAATGGAGAAAATTTTGTAATCTATCTGAAGTTAATACATGGGAGGATTTGTTTCAAGCAATGGATTCAGAACACGTTCAAAGGTTACGAAATGTTTACAGGTATGTACAAGATTCTGATATTTTGCTTAAGATCGAAATTTAGGTTACTAATAAGTACGGAGTTCCATCGAAAACCATGTTGCACTCGCATAAAAAATAGCTGAGTTCGTACGCTTCGGGAATATCGGAAAAATCGGAAATATTATCAGGAAAAACGAGACTCGAAAAAAAAAAAAAAGACTGGGAAAGACGTAATTTTACTCCAAAACCGGGAATTGTTGGAGAATTTGACGCCCTATCAAATTGCAGGATTTCACTCTTCTGTTTTCAACCGCAATTTGAGCTTACGCAGTTGAAAAATTGAACGGAAAAAAAAAAAACTTTTTTTTTATAGACAGCCAGTAAGTGTATTCTCATGATTCTATTGGGAACATAATCGAATAGCCGAGAGATTTCATTCTCTCAATCCTCACTGGAGTGACGAAAAATTGTTTCAAGNCCCACCCCTCGCTACGCCACTGTGTCAATTAGATGTTCCAAGTTGAAACTTCCGCCTTGAAATTATTAACATGTTAGGTTTTTTCTTTAAATCCACTTTTGCTTCTCAATTTTAAGTATTGATTTATTATGATAAAAATTATTGTTTTTTAATTTCGGATGAAGCCTTAAATATAAAGAACAAAACGTTTTTTATCGTCTGCTATATGATATTTGTTGAGGAAATTATATATTTTTAATTGAATAAATTTTATTCCTCAGAGTGTTTTTGATTCCCCATTTGTAATAAGTTTTGCTTGTTGCGGAATCACATCTGCTTTCGTTAAAAATCGTCTGCTTAGATAATTTTTTTTCCTGTTTGGTAAACGAAATAAAAGAAGATAGTATATACGTAAACATACTATTATTTTTCACTAAAAGCAGATGATTATTTTATGAAGCTGATTGCGGCTTTCACTTTTTACTAGTCATACATTTCTAACTTACGTATTTGTTAATTTCTTTTTTGTTGGTTTGGTTTTTATCATTAAAGTGAGTCTGACATTTTTTTAGAATTAATTCTGAGGTTTTTAAATTGCAATCTATATTTTTTAACTATCCATCTTATTTATAATTCATTTTTCTTCAAATATAAGATTTTAATATATTGCATTTTTATAGTTTATTTTTCGTTTTTTCCCCTTTTTTTCTTAAAAACGTTTGTTCAGTTGATTAAATATAATTTAATTTCAATTAAATACACATTATTTGTGCAACATTTTTATTAATTTAGTTCTTTTTAAGGATGACTTAGTTGTTGAAAAGTTGTTCTTTTATTATGTTGCTTAATATGTTCTAGTTTTATTTTTTGTTTTCTTTCAGCTTTGTTTCATATTTTAGAACAATTTATTTATTTATTTTATAGCTTAGGTTTAAAAATATTGCATTTTTACCGTTTATTTATTTATTTGCTTGTTTGTTGATAAAAAGCATTATTTTTAAGTTATTTATTCTATTTGACTTAATTTAAAAAATACAGCCTAATTTTAATTAAATATATATTGTTCATATATTTGTTAGATTCTTTTAAAGATGGGTTGATAATTGGTGTTAAAAATATGATTTTTTTTAAACTATTTTCTTTTTAAATTAGTATCACTCACCTTTCAACTGATCTCTATTTTCTTCCGCATTTGAACGCGATAAGTTTTATTCAGCCCTGCTTTCCTCAGTAGTAATTCGTTAGATTTCAAAATCATTTAGCCCTCTTCTAAAAATATATTTTAAAAATGATCATTATGAATGGAAATTGTACAGTAATATAAGTTTCTATTAAAAGTTTTAGCTATTAAAGTTTCCTGATTAATTATGACAAAAATTAATTTAGAAAAGAGAAAGTTGCAGACTAAAATTCCCTTTGTAAATTAAATGATTTGTTATTGTGATGATGAAGTGTTTTTTTTTCTTCTTTCAATAGTTCCGTGGATGATATCGACCTAACACCTGCTGCGCTCTCTGAAAATCATTTACCAGGAGCTTTAGTAGGACCTACTCATGCCTGCTTAATCGCCAGACAATTTCAACACACTCGATACGGAGATAGATTTTGGTTTGAAGCTAAAAACCAAGTTGGATCTTTTACCCCAAGTGAGAACTATACTTTTATAACAAACATTCATATAGTAAATAAACTATACTTTTGAGTCGACATGATTCAAACGCTCAAAAATAGGCGCCTATTCTCAAGAGGAGGAGATTTTCAATAGAAGTTTATTATGCCCTTAGTTTTTTGAAATATGTCTGACGAAAAATAAAAATATTTAACTCCTATTGGAACAATTTTTAACCCTTATCTGAAATTTAAGCACTCTAGCTGATCAGAAAGCAGTCAAAATTACGATCGACAAGGAATTCTATTCGGCAAAAAATTTGTGTTATAAATTCTGCACGTAGTGATCAAGACATGATCAAATCATATATCCTCATCCAACATAATAATGCATTTTAGATAAGCACGTAAGCAATTTAAGCACTCTAGGTAGTCCGACAGTGGGCGAAATTTTGATTGACTTCGGATTCTCTTTGTTTATAATATGATATATTGTGCCTTTAGAGTTCAGGAAGCGATTGAAACTTTTGATATCACTCAACGCAGAGAGTCAGCTAAAATTTGAGTGTAATAGTTAGTCCGAAAGTTGTCAGAATTTCGATTGCAAATAAATTCTCTGAGGAGATAAATTGTTCATTTGAACTTTGCATTGTTACTAAGCATTGATCTCTTTTAGAGATTTGGGTGTGCTAACCAGTCGGAAATTGATTGAAATTTCGATTGCAAGATACTAGCATTAAATGCGCGAAAGTGAGCAATAAAAGTATAGTAATAAAACTCCTTTTGGTATGAAGTGTTTTTAATTTCTAGAATTACATTCAGAATTATAACTTTATTTTTTTAATTGAATTCATTTTTATTTATTTCAATTTATTTATTAATAAATTATCATTTAATTTAATAATAGGCAATAAAAGTCAATTTAAGTAAATTAAGCATAAATTTCGAGAAGTGACAGGATTAATATCATATTAAAGAAGAATCATTGAAGACAAATTCGTAACAATCGATCTACATTAAGTTTTTAGTTTCAGTTTTGCCAAACAAAGCTTGTACTAATCATTAATTAAAAATTTTGATTTAAAAACGACAATAAATCCTTTTATCTTCTGTTAATTTTGCTTTTTATTGCCATATGTACTATATAGCTATGTGTCACATTTCAACAAAAAAAATTTAAGTTAAGTTTTTATTTTAATAACTCATATAATATGTAATAGGTCAACTGGCCGAGATATATAAATCAAGTGTGGCCCGCCTCTTCTGTGATAATTCAGATAAAATCGTAGAAATTCAAGCAGAGGCATTCAGGGTAATATCAGATGAGTAAGTATATTTCCGTCTTTTTTCATTGATTAATTATTTTCTGAAGCATACATAATAATAGAGAAAACATATCATTCTCTAAGAAGCGGAGTAAGACATATGACTAACATAAAGAGAATCATCATCATGTGTAAGCATTATTTACATCGTCGGGCGAAAGCAGTCAACCCGTCAATAGTGTTCCTATTCGGCTTACTGATATCAGCCTGGGGTCCCCAAAAAAGATAAATATTTGCCTCCTTTTTATTTCATCTATATCAAAAAAGAAAACAAGCTTTTCTAAGTTTCAAATGCAAAAATAAATGTAATTTTCGTATTTGTTTTTAAAAATCCGACTATTGTTTGTGTTTAACCAAGTAAAAAAAATAATTAATAAATAAATAAACTTAATAAAAATACCTTCCAGGAAAGCAAAGTCCTGCGAAAATGTCCCGCCTTTCTCACCCTTACAACGGCCTTGCACTGTTACTAAATCCTCGTAGCAAGTTTTTTTTCTTCATGTTGTGGAAGTTACTTGTCAAAAAGCATTTTTACCTTACGTCGTTTACTTGCATGTTTAAGTTGAGAATAGTTCTTCTATAAAGAGCTTTCAGCGCATTTGATGTTAAATCAGTTTCCGAAGACTGATTGCTTGTTAAGCATAAAATTTATTCTCTTTTATTAAAAAAATTACCGATGATCGCAAGATTGACAGACTAATTGAAGACGAAATCGACTTAAAAGAAGAAGAAAAAAAACTGGTGTTTTGGAGAGGGAAAAAAACACAGTTATTTTTTCTTACCAACTTTAAAAATTAGCTACAAGGCTTATCCACAGATGTCGTTTTAAAAAACAATATTTTTTAAATATCAGAAATTTGTAGCTGCAACTTGAGTCTTAGGATAAAATTTGTGGCGTAACTACCACTATAAATATTAAATACCGAATCACTAGTATATAAGACATGTCAACTTGATTCGATCTTGAAGTACCTTTTGATAGATGAAGGTTGACATAGTCTATAATCAAATTCCCCTCAAATTAATAGATGCTTTTCCAATCTTGTATCTGCAATTGTCTCACATCAGGGCGTTATAAAAAATTGAATCTTAATANGTACGCATTATTTAAATCGTCGGGCGAAAGCAGTCAACCGCCAATAGTCTTCATAATTACCTTACACTAATTTACTTACATCAGCCTGGGGTCCCCCAAAAAAATAAAGATTTGCCTCCTTTTTATTTTATCTATATCAAAGAAGAAAGCAAGGTTTTCAAAGTTTTAAGGGCAAAAGTAAATTTAATTCTCTTATTTGTTTTTAAAAACCCAACTGTTGTTAGTGTTTTACCCAGTAAAAAAATAATAATAATAAACTTAATAAAAATACCTTTTAGGAAAACTAAGTCCTGCGAAAATGTCCCGCCTTTCTCATCCTTACAACGGCCTTGCACTGTTACTAAATCCTCGTAACAAGGTTTTTTTTGTTTTTTTTCATATTGTTGAAATTACTTGTAGAAATACATTTTCACCTAACGTCGTTTACTTGCATGTTTAAGTTGAGAATAGTTCTTCTATAATGAGCTTTCAGCGCATTTGATGAGTTTCCGAAGACTGATTGCTTGTTAAGCATAAAACTTATTCTCTTTTATTAAAAAAATTACCGATGATCGCAAAATTGACAGACTATGAAGACGAAATCGACTTAAAAGAAGAAAAAAAACTGGTGTTTTGGTGAGGAAAAAAAAAACACAGTTATTTTTTCTTACCAACTTTAAAAATTAGTTACAAGGCTTATCCACAGATGTCGTTTTAAAAAACAATATTTTTTAAATATCAGAAATTTGTAGCTGCAACTTGAGTCTTAGGATAAAATTTGTGGCGTAACTACCACTATAAATATAAAATACCGAATTACTAGTATATAAGACATGTTAACTTGATTCGATCTTGATTTACCTTTTGATAGATGAAGGTTGACATAGTCTATAATCAAATTCCTCTCAAATTAATAAATACTTTGCCAATCTTGTAGCTGCAATTGTCTCACATCAGGGCGTTATAAAAAATTGAATCTTAATATAGTTAAATATTTCAACTATAAAATAAATCAGATTTTTAAACAAAACAAATAACTAAATTTCTTTTAAAATCTAGAACATCAATTAGCCTCAAAACTTGAAAATTTTAAAATGCTTCTTTTGCCTAAATTACTTTAGAAGTTTTTCGCTATTTTCTAACTACATCTTTTTTCTAACTTCGAATATAAATTGCTGTTCAGTATTAAATGTGCAAGACTAACATTTCTTCTTATGGAATATAATAATATTCTTATAACCAGAAATTTCGCATCAGATTAACTGTTCATTCTTAAAATATCATTTCATTACTCTTAAATTATCATACATTTTTCAGGAATCCTGTTTTGCCTTGTTCAGAAATCGCAAAAGTTGATCTGAAGTTATGGATGGAATGAGTCTCCTGCGTATTTAATGAAATAGAATCACATCAAATGGTGTGAAATGAGAAACAAAAGCAAAACAAAAAATATGTGTTCATTTTTATTCAACTTTTTCAAGTTTCAAATGATGAGCGTAACCGAAGCTTGAAGTTGTATGTGGCAACGAAAAAGTCAAGTCATCGTTTTAGGAACTTTCAGTCATTGTAAATGTACAACAACTTTCTCATGAACTATTTCCCTATTTTGAATTTCATAATTACTTCACCTGACTTTTAATTTCAATTTAAAAGAAATACATTTTGTTTCGTTATTCGTATCATTTCCTTGAAAATAATTCAGGTCATTTCCATGAAAATGATTCCAATATAGGAGTCATGATCATAACCCCGCACCCCTTAATGCCTAAATTCTGTTGCTAATGTGATTTATTTAACTTGATATTTAATTTCAATTAAGGAAAAGCCTTATACTTTAGTTTTAAATTTTAATAATTAGATAATTACTAATAATTTAACCAATTTTAACACTTTCTCTTGCAGTTTTTTACTGTATTCTAGGAGGAAAGTTTAAAATAAATTCAGTTTAGTTTTATTTCTAGTTTTTTTTCTTCAATTTCTTGAAGTTAGTGTTACATTTATTGTATATATTTTTCTGCATAAATTTTATTAGTTCTTTAAATTAATAGAATACACAATTATCTTCGAAATGCGTTAGAAAAATAAGAAAAAATGATTCTAAGAGCAATTTTGTTACTTCTGCATTTATGGCTTAATTAATGCTGCTTTCTATAAGCAGTAATAGATATTCTGAAAAATTATTTCTAGTGAATTCATATGTTAAAATTACATTTCTGTTATAGATTTAGAGTTTTGGCGCAATTTCATTTTCTATGTATTTGTTGAAAATAAAGTATTTATTTTGTTTTATTGTACTCAATGTTTGAAAAATATTTCTTGTTCTCATTTTCTGAAAATTGACGTTTGTTATAAGAAAAAACGTGCCATTTTCTCTTCTTGTGTGTAGTGCAAAAAAAAATAAATAAATAAATAAAAAAATAAAAAAAATAACTGAAATATTAATAACTTTCATTCAACTAAGCAGATTCGAAATTTTCAATGTCATTTGCTTATAAATAGTACTTTTAGAAAATTATGAATTATTTTTGAAAGATTTACAAACACTTAATGAGAGAATATCTGTAATTTTATAATAGACTCAGAATGTTTGTACCAGAAATTTCATTTTTATACATTGTGGGAATTAGATAAACTTGTCCATTATGTCAGGAATATACTGAAAAGCTTTTTGTTGAACATAATTGAAAGAAAAAGCTATTAATGATTGGTGTTTTTCTTTTAAAAAAAATTTCTGCATAAATATAAAAAGTTAGTACTGAATAAATAAAAAATATATGGAATCAGTGTAACTTAGAACCAAAGCTTTCATCTAGACCAGAGGTCGCCAAAGTGGTCTATACAGACCCCCCAGGGGTCTATTTAACGAAAGCGGGGGTCGATCTGAGACAGGGGGGCGAATGGGGGTCGATCCGAATCGGAAGGGTCGATTGTGGGTTTAAAAAAAAAAACAGTTCTGAATACGCAAATCACACATACCTAATTAAGTATGTAAAATTTGTGAATTTTTTTTATAATTGACTCAATATCAGTTTCTTTATAAAACATAAATTAATAAACGTATATTTATTGGGGGGAAACAAGTATTTACGTTCCACCGCGCAGTGGCACGAACTCAGCGCAGTTTATAAGTCATATGCATATGTGCGCTTGTCCAAATGTCACGTGTGACGAGCATTGACGTTACAAATGCAAATATCATACGCAGTTTCAACTATCTTTGCAAACTGTGTCGAATATTTGCAGTGTCATTATGAAAACTTTTATAGTTTTGGATAATTAGTTATTGTTTCGATAAAACCATTCGTTTGGTTTAGATATCAATTTTAATTATCAATGCACAAAAAAGAAGGTAAGCTTTAATAATATGGATTAGTACAGCCCGCGACAAAACTATAGCACACTTTGTATTGTTTTACGAAAATTTCAAAATTGACCAATTTTTGTAAATTTCAATATTAATATATTTTTCATAAAACTATTGTTACACAATGTACTATTACTTTAATAAATGTTTAAAATCATAAAATAAATGTACAAACACTGTATCTAATAGAGATTTATTTTAATTAACAGAAAATTACGTTTGTAGGGGTCGATGGAGATTTCGAAAAATTATACAGGGGTCGATGATCAAAAAAGTTTGGCAACCCCTGATCTAGACAGTAATAGGTCTTTTCAGGTCCAATAATAACCTGAAAATCTGTAAACTATTGGAATTAGTCCATTTCATTTAAATTGTGGACTTTTCCATTAAAAGTTGCATTGTTTAAGAAGTTGTAACGTTACTTCTATGAAATTTTAAAATTTTGTTTCATAATTAGTAAACCAATTTTATAATTAGTAAACCAATTTCATAAATGAACGCAAGAATTTCTTAATATACGTCAGAGATTCGCGAAAAGCGAAAAAGTTCAAAAAACACTAAGAAGATTGAACTTTCAACGCTCTTTTAACTAAACTATTAGAACCACAGTTTCCAAATTCTGCAATACTTCGATACTCAAAAATTCTTATCCCTTTAAAAGAAAAACTACAGTTCGAATAATTCAGATATTAATTAAAAGTTCGATTAAGTGACTTAAAATATTTTTTGTTTGCATACATTAACATATTTTCTATTCAGTTTTTTTCCTATTAGATGTCGAAAGGAAAACAATTTTCCTAATAATTATGAAACTAACTGCAAAATCAGCATTAGGAAAACTTGATTCCGTAAAATACGATTTGGATAAAAATTTAAAAGGATGTTAAATTGTGCAGTGAGCGAATTAAATTTAATCTAGGCTATAGGTACTTGAAATTGAAAATTGAGTTCTTGTTGCCATCTGAGTATTTTTTTTTCTGGATAGAAATTCATGAACGCCACAATAGTTTAAGTCATGGGTTGTGAAATCTGCATTAATTATGTTTGTCCAATGGGCAGGATTGGGTTTTCAATTCAATGCAACACACGTTTATAGGCAATATACGCTTACAACACTTTGGCTCAAAATTTTAACTAAACATATTTTCGTAATTTTTTCATTATTTTCCATTAATTTATGTCAAAATAAGTAAAAAATATTGTATTTAGCATTTTAATAATTTATAGTTATGAAGTACAGCATGAAACACCAGTGTCTTTTTCTGAGTTAAGGTAAAATCTTTCAAACGCCTCTCACTAACAAAAAATAATTTTTCAAATTTGCACTTATTTCCAGTTATTTAGATCAAAGCGAAACAAAATCAATTATTGATAAATTTTTAAGTATCAATAAAAAAAAAATTTCAAATTATTTTTTTTTGGGGGGGGATTTAATATTTTAGTGCAAATGCAATTCCGATACTCTAACAGATTTTTTTAGTTACTATTAGACTGTTTTTTATAATTAAAAAATACCATTACATATTTTTATTTGTAATTAGAGGGTCAGAGAAACAATATAAAACACCGGTGTCCCATCAGACTTAACAAAATTCTTTTCCTTCTTTAGTATTCATATTGATATTCAAATAACCACCAAAGCGATAATTATGAATAAGCTAATCATGAAAAGGAAGAAAAAAAACTGTCAACTAATATAATGTATAAAAACATCAAAAATGCACGCAGGTGGAAAAAAAAATCAGTCTGGGAAACGATCAACTCAAAGAAGCTCCAAAATTATCGTCTGCTTTTTTTTCATTTGATCTTGGGCTGCTTTTTTATTTAAAGTTTATATGTTAGCCTGATATTTTATGACTCTTAGGACTCCGTATTTGAGTCTATAAGTTAAATTTGATCTAGTCAAGAAGTGCGTGGACATGAAAGATTTAGAACAACACCCATTTTCCCTAAGGGTAAAATAGAGATAAAGTAAAAATATTTTTTTATTCGCTACCCTGCATGAAGTGGATGTAAGCAGCGAAACAGTTTTACAGGAGAGAGATTCTTGGATTCGAATTTCTTGGATACTCGCAGCTTGAGGGGACCCCCCCCCAAGAAATCGGGGGTGCTCCCCCCCCCCAAAAAAAAATCACAAGTTTTGCCTGGCGTGTTAACGATAGTTATTCGCGAAAGCAAAGACCTATTGCGGGCGTTGTTATTTGAGACGAATGACTACTAGCAAAACAACACGAATATCAGTTGCATTTCTTCAATGTAGCATGGTAATCTTCCTTCCTTATTGTGTCTTATTAAATTTAAGAAAGAAAAATGTTTGATATTCTTTCTCATGCAAGCGAATATAAAATGGAATTGCTTTTTTTTAGAGAAGGAACATCCAAAACATGCGGAAAAATATTTGTAAATAAACAGAAAAAATATGTGTCTTCTTATTAGAGTTAAAATCTAATGCCTGCGAAATCAATCTATTAAATTTAAGTCCCGCAGTGAACTGATCGTGAAGACACGGTTCCCAGCAGATCACCGAAGTCAAGCATCACTGGCTACGGTCAGTGTGCGGGTGGGTGACCACTTGGATCAGTCTGCGTAGGGACCGAGGGTGTGCGGTATTGGTCCTCGTTAAACTATGCTACCGTAAAGTGCTCGACTTCGCGCGCAGGTCGTAAGCGGGGGTGCCATCGCCTCCGCAGAGGATCAAAATTGTGATGGCATGTCTTCGGATCATCCTCCGGGATGTTTCCCAGACCGTCGCCAATAGCCCATTGTGCAGCTCTAGTGCGACGTAAATTAACAACAACAACAACAATTAAATTTAATGATCTAATATGAAGGGTCGATTTAAACTTCATATTCCATACTTTTCTGAAGAATCATATTACTTCAAATATTAAAATATACAGAAACACTTAGTGTTACAACATTTAATTTTGCAAAAAACAAAAGTTTTTCGAAGTTTCAATAAAAAATCATTATTTATAAACTAAAAAACGTAAAATAAGGAATGTTTACGATAAAGAAAAAACGATTCTAAAAATCCCTTACATTGTTATAAAATATTTTCATATTGCTTTTTTTATTATATTTTTTTTAGTCTTAAAGTTCTTAATCTGACGTAGAAAATTATTCAGAAGAGAATTATCATCAAATTAGACAAAAATTATTTGCAAGTAAACTTTTTATTATTATATAAAACATAACACTTACCTGTTATATATATCCGGGGAATTCCAAATTGAAATGTTCTTCGTTTGAAAATTGCATTCATAAATAATATATACATAGATTATAGATTATCTCTTCATTAATTTAGGATGACATACCACACAATAAAATTTTATAATTGTAAGATCTCGATATGAATTTCACTAACTTAAACGCAATGAGCTTATTTAATTTTAAGTTAAATAAGCTCATAACTGAATAACAAAATAGCTGAATTCTAGTTTAAATTAAGCATTCAAAATTTAAAAAAAATACTTGCTAAGAAAACGATAAAAAAATTATTAATAATCAACGCAAATGATACTATTTCAAGTAATTCGGGTGATTCTTTATTGTTGTTCTCCGTATTATATAGATACAGAAATGTATATTATTCTATGAAGAAGAAGAATATTCTATAACTATTACACTTTTGCACTTTATAAAATCACATTTATTCATTCGAATGAAGTAAGCAATGTGGAATGAACTAACTTCCCTTTAATTTATAATTAATTGAAAGCAAAATAAATTTATTTTGCCTTAATACACACATCTTTAACAGTAAGCGATCCTAAAATCAGAAGTTATCAGTTGTGTGCTTGTTGATAACGGAAAGGAAAAAATTATTGAGAAATTGTTCTCCAAATGTTGGACGCGTTCTGTTTCCGAATGATTTACCAATGTTCTGAGTAGTCTTTTCAATTTCTTCTGCGTTTTCCTTTGGGAAATTTTGCTTCTCATTTGCTGCTAAAAAAGAGCGTTCTTCTCTACCAATATATCGCAATTTTGTTAAAATTTATTTTTGCAGCATTGAGGACTCGTTGTTAAGATATTTATTCACTGATCTTGAAGCAATGAAACTTAAACGTGAAACTTCAAACACGAAACTTTTTTTTTGCACAATGGTCAGAGCAATGGTTTTGTGCAATATGTAAGAGATCCTTCTTGGAAAATGTGGAACTCAAATGTCAAAAAAGTGGCTTCTCTGCAAAAGGCCTTTCCATCTTTAAGTAAAACTTTTACATAGGGTACTTTAGATATAAAGAAAATTAATCTTAAATTAATCATTTAAAAAATAAAAACCCACAGCAATATTTTACAAACGAACAATATTTTCAAAAAAGAAAATATTAATTATTTAGAAAATATTAAATCTGGGCCTCGTTCGGCAATGCTCTAAACTGCCGCTGTTGGGCGAACGTCCGGTTTGACCATCCTATTTCACCGGCCATGCACACACCTTAATCTGACGTCAGTTTGTAGGAAGTTGTTAATTTAAAATTATTGCAGTTTCTGAAAGTGGCAACATCAAAACAATTTTGCGGGAAAGGAGAAATATTTATTTACTTCTTTCGAAATTTCTTTTCTGTAATAAATTGTTTCAGTTTTGGTTAATTTTAATTTCTAAAGATGTGGTTTGCTACTGAGGTACCTCAATTTGCTTTCATATAGAAGATATCATTATTTGTTTAAATTATTAATATTGTCTTTATTATTGTTTTTTCAGGTTATATTTCCCAGAATTATTCGAAGCTTTTTCTGGGTTGTCATTATACAGGCCATCTATATTTCATTTTTATTCTTACTTATGAAAAGCATATCATGGAATCCATTTACTGGAATTATCGGTAATTAATAGATTTCAATTTTAATTGCTGCTTTGTATTTTTGGTAGATCCGCTTATTTTTTTAGCATGTATTAGCTTATTAGATTGATTTAAAGGATATTTGTATTTTGTTGCGCCAAGTGCTATCGCCTAGGTGCCCAAATGGATATTAAACTATCCATTTGGCAAATGAATAATTAACTATCCATTTGGCACCTAGAAATTGTTTTAGGGATTAAATTCACAGTACAAAGTTTTATATCCTCATGTCAGCTTACTAGGAATGTCTTATGTTTCCTACACTTTCCTTACAATAAAAATAGTTTGTTTTCCTTTTTCAGTAAATAAAAATAAACAAATTTTCTTGCTTTTTTTTATACCCAAATACTTTTTCCTCTTAAAAGAGCACACTATAAGAGTTTTTAAAAAATGAACAGTTAGAGAAAAACAAATTTAAGTGAGAAAGGAGAACTTTAAATATAACTTAATCTGAATATTAATCGTGTTTGAAAAGAACATCATTATTTGATATTTTTTTTTTATTGAGTAACACATTTTATGCTTGTTTATCGTAACACCTATTATCAGAAAAAAATCCATTTTTCTGGACTTGCTGAAATCTTGACCATTCGGAATTTGAGACTTTCTATTTTTTATAATTATACATATTACTTTCGACATAGCAACTTTTTTTTAAGTAAAGATATTAATTCACGTTAAAAATTGCTTAGTCTTGAATCTGATTGCTATTTTCATTAATTTTCTAATATAATATAAAATGAAAAAAAAATCATGTACAAACTGTCATATTTACTGTCATTATTTCAAACTGTCATATTGTTAAGAAAATTTAATGTTCTTTTGATACTTTGCATTTGAATTATATAATTTCTATGTTTTTTCTTTAGATTGGCTGTTTTATTTAATTCATTGGAAGACACTATTATATCAAGTTATACTTTGCTTATCAACTGTATTATTTGGTGTTTTGAATATGCAATATTATTCTGGTAGGTTTCTTTTAATTAAATTATTTAATACATATTGTTTATTTTTTAGTTTTCTCTTCACTTATTTGAATTGGTTAAACATTTCAAATTTTAAGGAAAATTAATGTACACCAAGTAACAGGGATTTTGCGATAGATCTATAAATGAATCCAGGGTTCCCACGGTCCTTGAGAGTCCTTGAAATTTTTTTTGCTAAATTTAGGTCCTTGAAAAACTTGGTAGGTCCTTGAATTTGTCCAATACTGCCGGCGGCCCTTTTTATAAAACACCCGCGGATCTTTCTCGTTCTTNATACACCAAGTAACAGGGATTTTGTGATAGATCTATAAATGAATCCCTTTTTTCCCCCTATTTTTATCTTTCAAAGCTTGATGTAGGTAGCATGACGCATATTTGCTCGTTCTCCAATCTTTTTTATTTCCTTCTTGTTCTTATGTTCATATTTTATAAAGATTACACATAGGCAAAGAAATTCAGCTACCACAGACATAATGTGAACTGGTTCCTAAGGATTAGTACAATCTCTGGATATAAAGGAAGAAACTACAGTGAAGGGTACAGCATCAGAAGCTCATTTTGCAATGAGTTTTCACCCATCTTTTCCTTTAACCATTACTAGGGTTTGTGAGAAGAAAATTTTTATTTTATTAATGGATGGTTGGTCTATTCTTAAATTTTTGCACTTTTTATAAACAGTACTGTTATTAAAATACTTATTTACGAATTTATTTATGTCATCCATCTTGATTATGCCTGAGCACATTTTCAGCTAGATTGAAAGAATAAAATAGGCATTCACAGGAGGCAGCATACCTAACTAACAACTATTCATCTACAACTCCAATTCAGAATATTAGAATAATGATAAATAAAGCACATAGTGGTTTGAGATATGCATTTATTTTGGTAAAAATGAATACCTGAGAATTTTGAAGTGTGTTATCACATTCTACATGTTTTGTAGATGAACATAACATAAATAAATTATTATGATATTGCAAAAGTTTTTACAATGAATTTTTTCTAAGAATTCAAAAAATTGAATAATTTTCACAGTGGTTCAAAAAATTAGAATAACCTGAACAAAAATAGCATAATTCATTTAAATGAAATCTGCATGAATAGTTAATACTTAGTGGCATCTCCCTTAGCTTTAATAACGTCACGCAAACGATTTTGTATACGATGCACTACTTTTTTGCAGTCATCTTTGCTGATAGTTGCCCAAACGGCTTTCACGCTTTCCATGAGTTCATTTTTGTCCTTTGGAGCTAAGTCCTGAAGGCGTTTCTTCATTAAACCCCATATATTCTCGATGGGGTTCAAATCGGGTGAATTGGCCGGCCAAGAAAGTAATTTGACTTTATTGTTAGTAAGCCAAGTAGTGGTGGCGTTTGACGTGTGGCAAGATGCAGAGTTTTGTTGGAAGATTAAGTCATCCTCAAATAGATCTTCCGATGACGGAATCATAAAATGTTCAAGTACCTCCACAGCTTTCCTAAGCCCTCAGCACCCATACACCCCCAAATCATTACAGAAGTGCTTAACTTCACTGAGCGTTTCAAGCAATCTGTGGTAAAAGCTTCTTGCTTGCAACGCCAAACACGGACACCCTGATGACCGTGGGAAACGCAAAACATTGATTCATTACTAAAAAGTACGTTACTCCAGTCCTGAATACCCCATTGCAATCTGTCTTTGCACCACCTCACTCTGGCTCGTTTTAGCTTGCGTGTAAGTAGCGTCTTTTTCTTGGGCACACGTGATTGAAAATCAAGTTCATGGAGTCGTCGTAGTGTGGTAGATGTTGAGGCATCCACTCCTTGTTCTCTCCACTTTCTACTTATGAATCTCAAGCTCTTGAAGCGATTTTTAGTGACGACACGTTTCAGCATTCTGTCTTGTCTCAGTGTGGTTATTCGTTTACGACCACTATTTGAGCGATTATTTTTAAAACTTTGATTTGTAGAATAATCTTTTAAAATTTTACTTACAGTTCCTTGAGAGCAATTCACTTTTTTGGCAATCATTTGTTTACTAATTCCCTCATTGTGTAGAGTCACAATCGCTGTCTTGGTAGTGTCCGATATGTCTTTCGTTCGACCCATTTTAACTCCCAACTAACTAAATCTGATTTTCAAACAAGCCTTTATACGCGTACTAGCTCTCCAGTGGCGCAACTTATGCAAATTTTATGATTAACGTTGACCAATCACACAATTTTNTTTTATCATTCTTAGTTCAAAAGCATATACCAACAACAAGATTTCAAAAAATTTGTCACATTTTGAGTCCCAGATATCTACAGCATTTTATAGTAACTTCGGGATTAGGAGTAGTAGTTAGTTTTTGCTTTGTTGGACTTTCCCACAGTTTTGACCCTGAGAAAACATCAATACTTGGAAGTTGGTAAGTCAAACTTTATTCAATTAAAAACATGTAAGTTTTAATTCAAGGTTGTCATTACAAATGACATAATTGTCGTCTGGAATTTGAATGATAAGTCTATAAGTATTGGTAACTGTATCCTCTTCACTAATGCTTATCTTTCACGATTGAAGTTCTATTGAACAACAATTCATAAAATAACCCCTCTTCTATTTTAAATATTTTTTTTAGTTGAAACACTGATTTGAATTTATTGTGAACACTGAGTGAACAAAATTTTCCTCAATTCCCAGTGCCATTTAGATTTTGTAGAGTCCTGGTTTCTTTTTTTAGCCTTTGACTAAAATGAATTATGGTGAATGGTTTAATCTTTGTTTAGTATAGTTTAGACGAATACAAAAAGTAACATAAAAAAAATTTCCTGCAAATATTATTATTATTTAAATTTAGGTAGTAATACTAATAGTATAAGTTGATTTTTCATTTGATACATGACATCTATAAGAGCAGCCCAAAAATGTCCTGTTTTTGAAGGGGTTTTGATGTGAAATATTTTTGTTTTGAGAAATTTCTCTAAATCTAATAAATTTGTTTCTTTATATTTTTCAATTTTAGAAATTTTTATCTTTGTATTTTTCAACAGACAAATTATACACCCGGAATAACAGAAATTTGCCACCTCATAATCAAAATTAGAGGGTCGAGTTATACACCACAATGTATGGTATATTTAAATATTGTTTTCTATGTTTCATTGTAAAAAAGACAAAATATATGTTTCGTAGGCATTTGAAAACCAAAAGAGATCTTAAAAATTGGCCAATAATAGTGATATTTTTTTCCATCTGTGATTTATGGGTGACATGTTAAGATCATTTTTTCCACCTAAAAAATTAAATTTAAATTTCTAGCTGAAAATTAAAAGCTTGGATTACAATTAGTCTTGACAGATTAATAGGATATGTTTTTAGAAATGAACCAAAGTGAAGTTGAAATATAGGAAATAACATTGCAAACATATCAGAGCCTATAAACATATGGTAATAGTATTGCTACACTACAGGAATGGAACAATCACTGTTTTCTTTTCAGTATGTGTATGCTTATTTCTTCATTTATACAAGGTATCGTGTTAGATAAACTCATTAATAGGGTCTTAAAAAGGAATTTATAATTTGTAAGTGATTGTATAACATTCTGTCACTATCTACTGAAAGTTAATATAGCATGCTAGAATATATTTTATTAATTAATTCTGTTTTTGAAAAATTTAATTTAAAAAAATTACTGATTTTAAAATCCAATGGTTTTATTAAGGATGATAATTTTATTAGTAACACTTTTTTAGTTCTCATTTAAGGAATATTGTAACAAGTAGTAATGAGCCCAAGTGGTGAAAAGTTTTATTATAGTTTCTTTTCATTGTAGTAATTTTAACTATAGGAAATTGATGTTAATATTTTTGTTTTTAAATTGCAATCAAATAATTTTTTGTGTCTTTTAAAAACTGGCCTAAGTTTTTAAAATTAATATATTTTTTTTTTTATAGTTTGCAGGTTGAAACTGAATTTGAATATTTCTTTGTTATTCAGCATGGTTGTTTCTCTGGGTTTATGTTCAGCCTTAAATATTTCGTCTGCTGTTTATATCTCTTAAAATTCTCATTAGAACAGGTAATGTTTTTTTTTTTGTGTGTGTGTGTCTTGCATAAAGCTCTTTTTCCCCCCTTCCTTATCTCATTTTGATCCTCTTTTAGAAAACAAAACTTCAGTTCATACAAAATCAAGCCTTTGAGTTATTGAAGGATTCCGCCTCCTGTATTTTGAAAAGTTTACTTTGGAACTATTTACTTTTTTTCATGATCAGTGAGTATTTAAATTTTTTTCCCATGTGAAATTTATTGACCTTGATAATGAAACTATTTTGCATCGCTACTAACTTTTCTGCACTAGATTTTTGCAATAAATTTCTGCCTTTTTGACTCAAACCCTCTACATTTTGAAACTATTCATTAAAATGTTGCTTTCAAATCTGCGCCTTCTTAGAACTTATGGGTTAGTCTCTCTTGCCTTGCTTAAACTATGATGTCATGAATGTTTGCTGTGTTTCAGCTTAGCCAATGTAGTATGCTATTGATTGTGCAAAACATGTTGAAAAAACAATATGTTTTAATACTTTTACTTGTGGAATACAATATCATGCTATAAATAAAATTATCATTAAACATGCTATATGTAAAATTAAATATATTAGTCTCAAATGTGACTTTTGATTCCAAATACTCATATTACTGTTTCTAGAAAATAGTTATAGATATTTAGAATAATTTCATCACTTAATAATCCTCATTTTTTTTTTTTTCAGTTAGCTTTATTTTAGTATATCAGAAAAATTGATAAATTAGAATTTTTTTTTTAAAGCTTGGAAAACAATCACAATTCTCAATAGAGAAACTTATTGACGTATCAAATCATGCATTCAAAACAGTTAATGGTTGAGGTAGAATGATTCTTGAACTAGGATCATGTTAATAGTTGTCAAACCTGAAATCTTCAGTGCTGAATCAGAACTGTCTCCTGTACACTAATCACTTGGAAATTTAATCCTTAAACAAGTTAATTTTCCTTCTTCTTTCTTATTAGAGTTACAATACTATTTATTTATTATTTTAAATGACGTCTAATGACATTTACTTTACTTGATGTTAATTTTGAAAATGTACTTATTTAAATTTTATAGAGCTGCCATAATGTTCTATTTTAGCTTTGTTAGAAGTATTCTTAAAAAATGTCAGACTACAATTTTTTAACTTATGACTACAGTTTTTCAAGTAGACAAGCAAAAAGTGTGGTTGGTACCTTAAATAGTTTGTCTGAAAATGGATAAACAATAGGCTTTTTTTTAAAAATTACTGTGGTATATTTGTAAAAGATGCAAAAGCAATGATCGGTTGTGTAATATTTGACTAAAAACATTTTCTTTAGCATTTTAAGAAAATATTTAGCTTCAATTTATAAAAAAAAAAAAAAAAAAATTATCTGTGTAGAGTAAATATATGTGCTTTTATATCTTAGATGCTTATGTAACAAATAAATCATATCATTAATTTTTTATTTAATAATTTGAAAGCACACTAATTTTAGTTTAAACAGTTATGTTACTCTTAGGAAATATCATGTATTTCATGAAATTTATGTTTGTAGGTTCCTTTTTACCTAGCTACATATTCATATTTTCAAAACAGCATTTTAGGTAAGTATTAGTTTTGATTCTATTTTGAAATTTAAGTGGAAATATATAACAAAAAGTATTAATTAAAACTTATAAAGTCTTCTACACTTTAGTTACAGTAAACTGTAAACTAGTCATTGCATGAACAATTATTCTCTTTTTATTATGATTTTTTTCCTACTAGGTAAAGAACCCTTGAAATCTTTAGTGGAGCTCCATGGTTGATGACAATCCAAGTCGATTGTTAATTGACCACTACAAGTGAAATTACTATTGCCAAATAAAATTTCTTGTTAATAGATATTTCAATCCATTTTTGATTAACCACTGGGCTTAAATTTCAGCTTGAGCTCATTAATTGAGGCTAATACAAATTACAATTATGCCCTAAATGATGGGAGCCATTTTATCCTCAACTGTAATTTTGACCTATATTAATAGCAGTGAAACTAAAGTAAAATTTTCTTAAAGGCTGCATTTAAGTAGACTAAAAAAAAGGAATATAGTTTTGTTTTTTAGACCAAATACATAGTGATTATTTGTATCACTATAAACACTTCTCCTTTTAAAACTGATTCCCCTTTTAAATTTTCTGTTCTAGATCTGTCAAAAATTAACTTATTTTCTCTCATATACTAAAAAGGCATAAATTTTAATGTTTTAAAATTTTTATTCTCTTCCTACTCGATGCAAAAAAAGTTGTAGTAATATGATATTACAGTTTTGTACTGAATCCATGGTAATTATTGAAGTACTATATATTCTAGATCTTTGTATTCTCAATTTACTCCAGCATAAATTTAAATCCCAGTTTAAGATGAAAATTAAATAAAAACATTTATCATTTAAAATTTCAGATGCTATTTTCAATTTATTTTATTTCATTGTTCAAATGAAATATTTATTTTATAGCTCAATTGAAATTTTTATTTTATAGTTCAGTTGAAAACATACTGTACAGCTTATTCAGCTTTAAACTTTTTCTTGCATCTGTAATGTCTGGCATCGTTATCTTCTTTAATTGGAGCCTTTATATTTTAATTTTCAATACTTGTGCTGTTGAGGTAAGCTATAAAAACGAATCTCTTAATGATCTTTATAAGAAATCTTTAAATATTTTGAAATAATATTGCCAATATTTCATTGTATTCAATTGTTTCTTTTAATTTCAATTTTATTAATCCTCTAGCTGCTAGGACAAATTTGTATAAAAATTTCACTGTTGATATATTTTTCTTTTCATTGAATAACATAGAAACTAGTTTTAAGTACTTTGAAGTAACCATGTCCTACTGCAAATTGAGTTTAGGATTGACTTTACAGGGTTGAATCATATATTTCATGTTTTCTCCAGTTTATTCCTTACACATTATTAATTACTTACCTGTTTCTTCATTATTTATAAGATTATGAATAAATATACAACTCCCTTTATCTTTCAAGCCTGCTTGTTAACTTGGTGCAAACTGTGAATTCTACAAGAAATTTAAATATAACTTAAGCATTATATTTCAAGATTTTTTTTTTATTTCCAATATTGTAAATTATGTAGTTGTAATAAAATCGTTTTTCGTATAGAATGTCAAGCTAACACTTTTGTAATTTCTAAATGCTTTTTATTTAATTTATTAGTATTTTTTATTTTATTTTTAAGATTAATGCAAATTTTGTTTTTATGCGTTTTCAACAGTGTAAAAGATTATCTATAAAAATTTTAGTAATTATATACAAAATGTTTTCTAATTTTTCTTCTAGCCATACTGTTTCAATATTGATATGCCCACTAAGAACAAAAACAACAAATGTTTGTCGACAGCTATTCAAAGTTCAGAAACTGATATTTTAAAGGTGAGAATTTTCAGCAACTATTTCAGTGTAATTTTTTTTAATTATTAGCACACATTTAATGTTTTTTATTTTATTTTAAGTATTTGGCTGTAATGGACTTGAGACTGTTAGCTCAACACAACCTGAAAAGAAGACTTCAAATTTTTGATATCAGTCATCCAGGTGGGTAAGAATGACAGTTATACTATAAGGACATATGAATACTAAGTATTGAAGCTTTATATAGTTTTAAAGTTTATAATTAAGGTGTAATTAAGATAATTCTAGTTTTGGAAGGTAGGTTCTTTTGTCACCCATTCAACACCTTGGATACTTCTTAATCAAATTGCAAAATTTTTAAATAAATAGAATGCATAAAATACTTGGGAATGTTATACTTGTATACATAAATTTGACTATTTTTGATGTCACATTCTGTTTATCACTAAGAAACAAAATTGATAGTGAAGCAATCATAGTGATTGATGAGAGCAAAAACATGGAAAGGGGATTCTCCTTGTAGGTAATATCTGTAACTGCTCAGACGCAAATATTGTGCTTCAGATTTCAGTAAATCTGATCATTAGATTAAAATAATCAAAGATGTAAGTCATTTATAGTTTGTATAAAGTAAGAACTCCCCTAGCCATTCATCTGGACGACCCGTGGTGGTGGCTATGGTAACGAGGTATAACTATTTCAAGTATGGGTGTGGGGTCATTGTTTAAGACAGGTTTTGGCTCTGGTATATCGTGTTAGCCCTAGAGCAGGGATGAGCAAAATTTTTTGGTCGAGGGCCAAAGATCGAGAAAAAATGTTTGGTGGGCCAGATAAAGATTTCTAAAAAAAAAAAAACTACGATATACAAGTTTTAATGAGGTGGAGGAAATTGCGATTTCATTTCTTTATATTGAGGTTCAAAGTGAGATGTGCTTATTTTAAGGAACGAGGCTAAATGCTTGTCTATTAGTGTACTTCTAAAACTGTTTTTATTCTAAGATTCATAGTTGAAAATACTTGTTCACATGCATAAGATGAAGCAAACATAGCACTGATTTTCTGGGCATGAGATTAAATTTTGGAAACTAACTTTTGGTAAAAATTTGTAAAACTCAAACTTTAGCATATTTTGAAACAACTGCTTAAGATGTTTGTTAGATTGCAACTCAATTAATTCAAGTAGCAAATCCGACCTCACTGTTTCCCAATAATGTTGAAAGGCATGGTAAAAATATCTAATTCTGTTTGAATGGCACTGAAATCTTGAAATCTGCTTTCAAATTCAAAATAGAGTTTTTTCAAGCCACTTTCATAATTCCTAAGCTTTTCCTTATTTACAGAGGGTATTGAATTTAACCTCGAGAAATAAAACAAGTCATTCTTAGATAGCTGCCGAGCAAAGAGATTAAGATTCAGTTTAAAAGCTTTGAGATGGACCCAGATATCATCGATGAATTGATTTTTCTCTTGCATCTTAACATTCAAGTTGTTCATATGACAAAGAAGATCTGTCTAAGTCCATTAATCATTGAACGCATGGCACTCTAAATCAATTTTGCATTTTTAGTAGCTTTTATGGGGGTTAAAAAGGTTTACAAATAAGTCAAAGAAGCACTAGCCATTTTATAAATGCGATAATTTCACCATTACTTACAATGACATGTGTGTGCAATTTTTCCATACTTAATAAATGTTAGAACTCGTGCCGGCAGAAAAATCCATTCGTTGGAGCTTAAAATGCGCAGTCTGCCACATGTGAACTGCAATTCACCTATAGTAGATTCCATATGTTTGCTCCTCGAGAAAGACAGACCCTCGTTGGAGCCAATCTACTGCTATTCTATAAAGAACTTCTGCTTTCAACATTTTACCAATTGAAGCTGTCTGTGCTAACTATTTCCATCAATTGTCCACTTTGTAGAACAAAAGTAGAGAAAGTAAAAAGGTCATCAGAACTGTGTTAAAAAAGAAAGAACAAAAAGAAACCTCAAATAAAGCAGACAAGAAAATGGATGTATAATGTCTATTGTTTATATTCGCCATGGATCGGCGAGTTAAAATTCTATCCGTGGGCCGTAGTTTGCCCATCCCTGTCCTAGAGGGAAGAGAAACTGCCCTGCAGACGGCCTCAGACTTTGTGACAGTGGGAGTTCTTTCCGTAGACAAACTATATGAATGTTACATTATTTTTGTTAAAAGAGCATTTTTTTAAAGGGGTTATTGATATAATTTTTTATTCTGATTTTATAGTAAAGTTTTATGTTTTTGTTTCAGGTGGACACCCATATCAATGGAATTCAATTTCTGAAGAGTGCGAGCTGTCGCTAAAAGTTCTTCTTGAAAAGTTGCATACTTATGCTGTGAATGTCGCTGCGAAAGAAAGCAAACCTGAGCATATTGCAAGTAAAGAAGGTTTTGAGAATTTTTTTACTGTCCAGTTAATATGTCTATATATTTCACATAAAAATTATTAATATATTTCTTTTTAAATCATTGAATTAATGACAACCCAACACCTGTCAAAATGAATTTTTATTGAGTTTTTTTTATAAATCTTTTGAAGAATGTACTACTCTAAATGCATATAATTACATGTTATAAAAATTTTTGAACTTTACCTATCTATAGTAAATAGCATTGTTAATAGCTAAAGGAAACAATAATTTAAATTTAATGAAAGTAAAATTTGAGTTAGTCTAAAATAAAAATACTTGTTAAATTTCATTACATTCAAGCAAAATTGAATTTCCTTGTGTCAGTTTATTGTATTGTCCATTTAACTTGACTTTTAGTAGATAAAGACATTTCCAAGAAGAAAAACAGTCAGGGTGGTTTCCACCTATGTGCAGGATGGAATTTTATTCAAACTTGAGCAATAGACATTCTTACACCAAAAATTATTGTACTAGAGAGAGATGTTGTTATATTGGATATCATTGTAGCTGTATATGAAATCAAAACTGCCCTGCTGTAGGTGGCCAGTGCTCTCATAATTAATTTTACTGTTTAGAAATTACTCTCATAATTACTGTTTAGGAATTTTTTGCTTACCTCTTTTTTTCTTTTCTACTTATTTTTGCTGCTTTAAAAATTATGTACTTAATTTACTGTCTCTTGTATCAAATTCAAAAATGAAAGAATATTCTTCATTTCATGTACTCTTTAGAGTACAAAACATTACTGAAAAAATAAGATAGAGATCCTTCATAAATTTAAGTAAAATTGGAAATACAGTCTTTGTCTGCCTAAATGCAATAATGTTACTAACTTGTTGGTGCCTAGTGTATAGATAACCAATTATATGTTGTTAACAGTGATAATGATTGCTAATTAAAAGAAGGAACTATTTCCTTCTACCTTTGTTTTCATTGAACATTTCATCTTAGTTTAGGATACAGGTCTAGTTCAATAATTTTTTAGTGCACAAATATTTAAATTTTTAATTGCACTTTATTTTATATTTTGAAATAACACATTGGTATTATTTATCAAAACTTTGTAGAGTTTTTAATCTTAAATTGTTTTCTAAAACAGGTCTTGAGCAAACCTATGCTAAGCAGTATGGTACTAAACCTTTGACAAACGTTAATAAGAAGGTTGGTAATGAAATTAAATAATTATTAGTATTTATAATTTTATATATATATATTTAATGACTTGCAATATTTTTTAGGTATTCCCATGTTTTCAGAGATGGCCTACTGTCATTTGCAGTTACTTTTTTGATGAATTGCCAAATACTAAAATAAAACAAATATTTTCCTCTTCACAATACTTAGTATGGATGATTGAAGGTAACTTGTTTAGTTTCTATCTATTCCTACTTATTTTCATAATAGGAATCTTATTTATTAATTTCAAGTATAAAATAAGATTAGTTATCTCAATCTCCATGAATTATGCTTCGCTTATCACTGTGTCTTGTAGCGTTGACTTAAAGTTAAAAAAAAATTATATATGTTTACAATTTTTTGCTGTATTAAAATTATTTTTGGGTGTTGTGTTTCTGATTTATAAATATATACTTAAAAATGTAATTTTTCCCCCAGCTCTTGGTTATTTACTTACTGCATCATATGTTGAAGATAAATATGGTGTTGTGCAACTGATGCTGCCAAAACTAGTCTGTCTTCTGTTAGATCTAAAAATGGTAATTTTATTTATTTGCTTCTCCGATTTTTAAGGATTATCTTATTTACCTATGCAGAAGTGTTTTTATAATAATGATTTCAAATACATGTACCCCTTAATTCCAGCATGTCCTCTTTTGGATTTTGTGCCACTAAACCCTACATTCAATCCAATTTCCCTTAATTTGTAATATGACTTGTGATCATAACTTTAATTCTAAGGAGTTCTGAAATAAAATTCTTAGTTCTTGCAGGGGGGGGGGGCAATATAGTGATCAGCCAACCTTTTTCCAACACTTTTTCCAACATTTTGTGCACTTTAAACTGCTCTTTAGTATTGTTTCCAGATAGGTACTTGACAAGTTTCTAAAATTTCCACTATGCTGTAGCACAATACATAGAAGTACCTTATTACACACAAAAATTGTCTTAAAAATCGTTCTTAAGAACAATTTGTAGGATGTGGCTATGATTATTTTGCAATAAACTATGTTAATTATTTGTGATGTATAAGTATTGATATATTCTTTGTATTTTTTACCATTCGTTTCATTATATTATGTCTTATGATGTTTTCAAAGCACTGTTGCTATTCATATTTCAGGCTGAAGAAAAGTTGCCTATTGATCCGATTGGAATTGAAAGACATGTGAGAGATCCTCAAGATCGATATGAACACATTCATCAGAGACTAGCATTGAAAACAGCTGTCAATAGCTCCCTAAGTCGGATTGCTACTGTATTTAAAGATGATGTCAAGTACGTAAAAACTTAAATAAATTCAATTTTTTGAATTTCAATTCATAGCTTTTTCAGTTAATTTCAATAAGAAAATATTATTTTTGGTTTAAACAAACTGTTAATGCATCTCTTTAAAAATTGATTAAATATTTAAATGAGGAGGTTGTGAAGAGTCCTTAAAAGATTTCTGTTGCTTCTGATGAATAATTTTACTGATTTGCCCTCAAATAAATAATGTGATATATTCAGTGCAATGCGTTAGCAAAATTGGTGCATCTACTATGTGGTTTTCTTTTAGTCTATGGATTATTTTAAGAACTACGAAGCCAGATTTATAGCTTCTGGAAACTTAGTATTTATGCTACTGTGAAACTAAAAATAATTGTTTGCTTCAAATAAAACAATGTTTAAACTTTAATCTTATTATTAACTGATTTTAACTCAGTTCAATTGGCAGAATTTTAAGAATATCAATTATGAAGTGTGGCCCATAAACATATCTAGTGTTTTTATCTGATTCTCAAAATCTTATGCATATTGAAAACCCTTGTTTTATGTTTGGTATCTGCATATAATTTTAAAAACATTTTTTAACTATGCATTAGTTATTGTTACATTATACTGGAGTAAAAGAATTAATGGATTAATTAGTTTCACTTTTCATATGTTTACAGGGGAATATATTTACCAGATGAATATGATAGATATTTTCAACGGTTTCTTGATAGGAAGAACATATAGATTCCGTGGGAAAAATTCCTTGATTCTGAAAAATGTGATATTTCATTTAAATTAATGACTGAATAATTTAACTGTAATGTCTACTATGTGTTTAATCATGTAAAACTTATAAATACATGTGATCTTTTATTGATTTTTGTAAATATTTTAAAATAAATGGTCAAAGTATAATAAATTTGTACTATTTAAAAACACATAAAACTATTCTGTTTGAATTGTATAGATGAAAATTATTAGACATTTTAAATGACAAAAAGTATATTTCTTTGAAAAAAATTAACAAAATCAGAATGCAATGATTTAAACAGTTCTCCTAAATTTAGTGACATAAGGTAAACAGTTTTTTTTAAAAAAATACAAAATTAGAAATATTTTTACTAAAAACAATTGAACTTTTAATCAGTAAATCATATATATATTTTTTTTCAATGTTAAAGTGGCAGTTAACCTAAACTTTCTTAAGGCTCATAAATGTTAAAAGACTAACAAGAAATAAAACTATGTGAAAATATTTTAATTATACAAAATGTACATTAGTGAAAGCTAAAATTAGATTACATATGTTACAAAAGAGTGAAAAAATTAAGTTAGATCATCCCCATTGAAATCCACCAGGCCTCTCCTCTGGAGGGGGCGGTGATTGCACTGTATTAGCATTCTGACTTTCAAAGATATATTTTCTAAAAAAAAAAAGTTATAGCAATAAATCCACTGCATTTTGTATGAAATTATAGATAAAAAGTTTTTTTTCCTATTAATACTTATTAAGAACTGTTTTTAAAATATATGATTAAAAAAACTCAAATTAGCAAAAGGTTCATCACTCAACTTTTTATGTAGCTAAATAATATTAATTTGAAATGAATTTTTTCATCACTTCATTTTTATTTCTTTTCAAAAATAACATTAAATTATTTTTGATTAAAAATACTATGATCTTTTTATTATAACAGATACAAAAAGTTCCATAGATAGCTTGGATCTCCCATTCATGCAGTTTTAATTATTAAATTCATTAGTTCCAAATTTTTCCTTTATTCTAGTTAACAGGAGCCAATTTTTATTCCTAATGAGAAAGATTACTCTTTATACTACTGCTTATTAAACAACTGGCTCCAAATAATAAAAAATTAATAGTTGTAACAGCTTGATAATTTTCATAAAGGACTGAACATAATATTTCATTGTAAGAAGCTTTTATATAATTCAATAAAATACAAAACATTTTTAGTGCCTTGTTGCTAATTCATTTCATTATAATATTTGAGACAAGTCCCTCGATATCTTGACGAATAAACAAAAATTTAGTTAACTCTAGATTTGGAGACATTGGTTTCACAAACAAGGCAATATATTTATATCTACTTTCAATCAGCATTAGACGAATGTTTATAAATCTAAGGTAAATTTTAGCAACTTAATTATTCTACTAAATAATTGATAAGACCAAAACTGTATTTTCCTCCCCACATTTTGTATATTATGAGTGAAATTTTATAACTTAGTTGGTTATTTAAATATTTGTATTCACTTTCCTACACACAATTTTTTGTTTCTTTTAGGGAGGATTGAATATAATGTTTCATAAATTGAACAGCAAACTATTTTTTTATTAATCACAACCCAATATAATGCACATACAACATCAGTATGAATTTTGAGTCGTAAGCTTTGTAGAAAAGAAAACAAATTAATGTAAATAACTGGAAAGAATCTATTTAGAAACTTAGTAGAACTCAATATTGCTTTTTTTAAAAAAAATTTTTAGGTAATTTAGTCATGAAAATAAAACACAATTTTTTTTAAAACTAATTTTTCATTTCTTTTTTTGCATTAGTCACATCATAATTAGACACACATCAAAATATTCTTTCACTAATTGAAAGTTCTAATCTATATAAGAAATTACCACAATTAAGAATAACTTAGCTGAACACTTATTAACACTTAAAAGATTTTTTAGACATTATTTTCTATCCAAAATAAATAAATTTAAAAACTAAAATTTTTTCTAATTTCTTGAAAAAATACTTTTGCTTTAATATATATATTTTTTGTATCAAAAATAAGGAATTTTGAAACAAATATAATTAAAAACATAAATTGAAAGAAATTAGTACAATGATATTTTAATTGATTAACATATATCATGTTAATGTAAGTCTAGAAACATAAATAGCTTAAAATGGATCAGGTCATCTAAATGGCTACAAAATATGAAATTAGTCTATAATCAAATTCGCTTATATTGAGCACTTGATTTAACAAAAGAATCGAAAATACTGTGTTGAATGATAAATCTATCAAAGCATAGCAAATTAATTATCAAAAGTAGTTGGTATAGCTTACATAATCCATGGTGTTTTAAGAAGTCTCATTCCTCCAGGCTGATTTGGAAATACATCTTCCAGAAAGTAATACACATGTCCTACAGCAATACCTATTTAAACAAACACTTTTATAATTTCAATATTGTTGTGAAAAGAATTTCTAACGAGAATTATTCAGTTAATGGTATTATACATACAATTAACAATAATTTAATATGATAGAACCGACTAAAAATTATGATCTACTGAATGTTCGATTTACCATAAGAAATAGTCAGATATTTTACTTATAATTTAAAGAGCTTCTAAACTTTTATTAGAGATTATTCTACCAAGGGTAAGGCATATATCTTCCTTTTTTTTTTCTTGACAGCAAATTATCAAATTCATGTAGTTTAAGGAGATTTTCTACTTTTTTAATATTGCTGAAAGAGTATGAAAAGTTAGGAACTCTGTACTTTAACTGGACTGTATTTTCAATAGACCTAAGTATACTAAACCTATGTTTTTATCTACAGCTACAATACTAAATTGAATAAATTTTTGATTTTATAATATGTTCAAAGAAAATTTAAGTGATTTTTTTCAATGAGACATTATTTTATAAATCATAAATCTTAATATTATCCTAATAAATTTCATAATGTTGATAAATAAGTACTTCATTTTTTTAAAAATTAGGTCATTATGTAAGTATGTAAAATTGAATTTTGAAATAAAGAAATACAAGCATTCAATAAGTGTTATTTTAGAGATTTTTTGGAGTAGCTTTACTTTTATAAGGAAAGATATAAATAAATGTTATATAATTAAGCAAAAAACACATAATTTAAAAATTAAGAGACACAAATATTATGATGTTCTATCAAAAGTCTTACTGAATGAAGAAATAAGTATCAAATAAGAAAATAAATTATATAATTACTCAACATTATAAATATGCTTACCCATTAAATCAACCATGATGGAATTTCCAAGAAGAAGAGAGAAACCAAGTAAAACCCAAGGTAAATAGGGGGCTTGAAAATTCAGAAGTCCAAAAAAATTCATCCGTATATACGGATTTCGTCGACTCCAAACATAAACTAACATTATAGTGAAAGCTTGTCCTAAAAATAACAAGTTGACAAACACAGCAATAACCTAAAAATAATTAAGGACAAAAAAACTTTTGATTTTACTATGAGCCACATTTTTGTGGTTTCATATTAGTTTTTATTAGTCAAATTTAAATAGAACCATTAGATCAAAAATTTAGTTTTAGTTCTCTCTCTCTTTATTTCTTTTTTTGCTGACATAAAGTAAATTTCGATTAATAAATGTATGCAACATTCACGCATAATTTTATCAAATTACCCAAACAATGCATAAATTTTTGAGTTGCAGAAAATGTTACAATTTACCTTGATTACAGTTTTAAAATAATACCAGTCTAATATACAATATGCACGAAAAATATATATAGATTCAGTATGTAATATAAAACTTAAATCAAGAAAAAGGATACAATCATTAATGCACCTCCAAATAAAAACATAAAAAAGAAATCTGCAGGTCGGTTACGAAAAGAGCCTTCTTCTAACATTCGACAATAGCGATAAGTGAAAATAATATTGAAAAGGAAATTAAAACCAAATCCACCAAAAAATAGAAAAGTTGTAACCAACCTCCAAACCTATAATGTAAAACAAATTTATAATTTTAATATTTAATAATAAATTTTTAAAAAAAATTGCAATTTTAATTGAAATTTTCATACATTTCAGGAACAATATAAAGTGATCATTCCAAAGATTATAGAAAACACTACTTTACAGGTATAAAGCAAAATTAACTTTTATCTTTAGTCACTTGGTGAATTATTAAAAAATTATCTGCTAGCTAGTTTTTTCTTGGAAAATGTACCCCATGAAAATTTTTTTATTACTTTTAATAAATATTGAATTATGAATACTTCTTAATATTCTGATCTTAATATTAATATTTATTTCATGATTCACTTATCAAATTTTTTCTTCCTTTTAGAAATGCACCTTGTTATTTTTATAAAATTTTAAGAAATGTCTAATACATTTGAACTCGTTTATAACGAGCGGGAGGGATCGTTTATGATAATCGAGTGCTCATAATAAATGAGTTCTGAAAAAATAATAAAAATTCATAAATACTTATTAAATTTTAAAACATAGTACTTATTTTTTGACTATCTTATTGTCTGTTAGTTGATATGTGACTCATCACTAATTCAGTTGTCTTAGGGATGTTAAACAAATTTTTTTAAGAAGAAAGTATCTGAGCTGGTGGAAGGAAGAAATTTTGTGACTCACAATATTTGCGAACTAAAACCATGGTTTGCTTGTTAAAGGTGAGTCATGCTTCAACAGATTTAACACAGTACCAACCAAGTATTTCCAATTTACTCGTTAAACCCAGGTTCTTGTTATAAGATAGCTCGACTGTATTAGATTTTTTTTAAGAGTTTAAAACTTCCGATTTCTGAAAAAGTGCAATATTTAAAATGCAAGACTACAACTGACCCATTTAAAAATGTCCTAGTTTACAATAAAAAATTTAAATTTTAATTCAATTGGAACTATTTAAAAATTGGAAATTTTGCTCGATATTTACAGATATGGTGCTAGGAAAATATTGAGAATAACATATATGACAACACATGTAAAAACAATGCAACCGTTTCAACATTTTCTTTCTGTTTTAGTTTCATGAAATTAAACAAGATTAAAAATTATTGATAATGACATTAATTAAGCAGCATTTTAAAGAAATGAATATTTTTTCATGATAACTTATAAGTATAATGATGGTTAATAAACACAATAGTTTATATGAAAATGAATTACTCGCATCTATACAGACCTGATAATTCTTAATAATAAGATCTGGATTAAAGTACAGCTGGAATGGAGAGACAAGATCCAGTTGCTAGATAAAGAGAAACATATCTATGAAAAGTTATTGAACAAAAGAAATGTTTTATATATAATGTATGAAAAGCAATAGGAGTGATAGTATGAAATAGGCAGATGATACAAACTTAGAAAGTAAAATTTATATTGTATTTTGGCTAAACATTGAATTGATTTTTATAAAAAAGAAAATTTAAGCTACGTAAATTAATGAAAAAATAAGGTTTCACAATGAGTTAAAAAAAATCTACTACTATGAAAATGAATTTTTCATAGTAAAATTTTGGGAAGAGCATAAGCAAGTTTTTTAAAAAACATGTTTTAAAATAAAAACTTGTAACCACACTTTTTGTTTGTTTGTTTTTTACTTTTAATTTACTGTTTTTTCAACAACCAATGTTTACTCCATAAATTTTTTTTTGTTTTGAAGAAAAATAAAATCTGATATTAAAACCATCTGCATATAATGAGATAATCAGCAGCTCCTGTTGCTGTGCTGGAAGGTTTCTTCTACCACAAAGGGAAAGTGCTCATCAAGTAACTTTACATAATAACCTTATATAATAACATCAAAAAAGGTTAAATCTATAAAGAATTAAATTAAAATCACAAGGAATGTATTGGTACTATGATCTGTTGTGCCAATTGCAACCACAAATCGATTTTAAACATGCAATTTAAAAAAAAATAAAAAATTTAGAAGTTTGCCAGTGGGTGGCTAAAAATTATACTCTTCAAGTTAGTTCCCTTTTGTAATGTTTTTCGTAGTTTCTCGCGGGCCACTGCTCGGAAGTTACCAAGAATTTGCGATTATTCTGCGCATATCATGATGCGAAAATCTTCCAAAAAAGCAACTTAATTGTTAGTTAGCTTAAAAGTTTGCAAAGATTTCCAGATCAGCAACTGCGCCCAAATAATTCCTAAGTTTTGAGTTACAATTGGCCTTTGACAATGAAGGAAGTTTGAGGAACTTTGAGGAAATTTTTTGAAAGTATTAAAATCTTTTGGATGTGTTAGAGATGGTAATTGGTGTGAATATTAATTGTACTTATACAGAAATGTCCCTAAATTTGGTACTTTTCGGTTAGCCTGGCACAAGTAAAAACTCTCCAAACTGTAGATCTCCGCCACCTTTTAATGTTTCTTGTGAATTCTTTTCATGTTATTTTCAGTATATTTTTTATTTTATTAATTATTTTAAACACTAAACCAAATGGACGTTTATAAAAATTAAATTTGAAAAAAAAACAAAAACAGAATTCGTCGGGTCAGGCTAATTGAAAAGTACCAAAAACTTAAAAATTAGTGGATATTTCTATATTTGATTCGCCGATATGGAAATATCAAATACGGTACAACATTTTAGTTTTCCCCAAGTTAATTGTTAACACTATTCATTTCGAAAAGCAGATTTATAATACAAATTCGAATCAAATTGCAAAGAATGTAAAAGTACGTAACACAGATGTAAGTCAGACTTGGTAATCATATAAACACTAACAAAATATTTTCTTTAACCAATTGTTGAACTTAAGTTTTTTTAATCTCTCCATACATAGTAACGAAAAATTGTATAACTACATTCCAAAATAAATACTGATATAAAAGTAAGTAACATTAGTACTTCTATAGTTTTTATTGCGTAGAAATAGCCAAATTAAGAAATGAAGAATATTTATTATGCAAGAATACATAATGCTATGGGCGGATTAGTAAATTCTACTTACAACGGCAGTAGTAGTAAGAACACATGCTGTGGTATAGGCTTTGGTAATAATGGGCATATCCATATACTCTTGCTGGAGTTCATGAGCCATTGTTTTAAATTTTGATTAAGTTCTAGTTTCGGAATGATACGATACTCGTTAAGAGTCTAAATTACATTACCCCAATCTTTATCTAATAAATAAGAAGTGACAAACTATAAAATACCGAGTAGAAAGAATTTATTTGCTTTTAACTTTTTTTTTGCCAATTAATAAAATAAAATTATTTTAAAAATAACCAAATATTAGCAAGTTGTTTACATATCAATTCGATTTGTTTATAGCGGCGTCAGCTTAAGGGTATTTGTTAAGTTGAAGTGTAAGTAATTTTTGTTGCTCCAGATTTGCATTTCTCTATTTTTATTGAAAAAAAGAATTCTAAAGAGTTCAAATAAGCATTTTAAAAATAGATTAAATAAATTCGTACAATAATTGTAGTAAAATTTGATTTCATTAGTTTTGCATTTTAACTATTAGAAGTCTTAACGTCAACCGCGGAAATTCGACAAATGGTTTCCGTGTGTTTTGTTTCGGATTCAAAATTAATAATTTTTAAAATAAAAACTAACTAACACTGTTAACTTTACTTATTATAATATTCATATACATTATTATTAGTGATTCAAAATTTTTTAAAGTCGTGATTAACCATTTTTTTCTTGTATTTAAAGCATATTGTAGGTTGAATAATATTTTATTTAGTGATTAAGGTAAGTGAAGCATTAAAAAAAAATTTATTTGTTCACTACAAAAATTTTATGAGAAATTTCTCAAAAATCTTATTCTGAAGTTAAATTTTTATAATGATTCATTTGTTAACTCGGCAAGCTTAATTTTTATTTTCGATTCTCAATGAAATATTTTTTGTAAACTTTACTTGTTAACTTTACTTATAAAATGAATGTAAAAATGGTCCTATTTCATTTAGTGAAAAATTCCTTCTCATTTATAAAGTTTTGTAAGTTCAAAAAATAAATCTAGTTTATGAGATATTAGTTACAAAAGACTAAGCTGTTTTAATAGTTATTACAAAAAAAAGTAGATTTATTTTGTATTTAATTTTAAAATCTATTCATTAAATATTACACTATTCATTGCAGCATTGTTTTTTTCTTCTCTTCAAATATATAATTGCATGTTGGAAATTTTGTTTTTTAAATATTGCTAAATTTTGCAGCAATGCTTTGGGAGGTATTTGCTTAACAGTACCTATTTATTCTCACTGTAATCGCCAAGTACAACTGTTAGATTCTTCTACTTGCTATACATTTTTTTAAAAAATTATAAAATGGCTTGTTTAGAGTTATTTGCAGTTCTTTTAAGTTAATCCCATTTTGTGAAATTTTTTTTAACCTGAAGACTATTTGGGTGCAGGTACCCGTAAAAAAATATTCTTTTACATCTTCCTTTAGTTTATAGTAATGTCTTAGGTTGCAATCCATCTTTAGAAAAACACTGATGAATTAATATCATATATTGGTACCTGTTTGTGCCACCTGAATTTGCCAGGGTGCAAAGCGCTAGCAATAAATTTTAAAAAGTAAATGGTAGCGTGCCTAGTTTACTCTTCTAGTGAGCCTTATTTTATAACATTTTTCATTGGAATTTCAGTTTCTTAAATATTACAAAAATTTAATGACTATTTTGGTGCTGGTAGAGACATAATAATCTTTCCAAACACTGTTTAAATATGTGACTGAAGACCGGTATTTAGCAATAACAAAATTTATTGTTTGAAATCAAAATTTTGTTTCAAAAGTTCTGGTTTAATGTAGGTGACTATATTGTTCTTCATTAAAGAGGTATAGAATATTTTCAGTGTGTAATAGAATTGATAACACTTGAAGTTTTGTTATTGTGTGACATAACTTTTATTTTTTTTCACAGAAAAATATGTTTTGTGCCTTTGAAATGATATTTAAAACTCAAAATATTTTTTTCTTCTTTTTCTAGCAGTATCACAACCATGGTTTCTTCATTAACCACTTGCTCATTTTTAAATACATTCAAATTCTATACTCATTATAAAATTTAATAAAATATAGGTACAATTGTATAAATGATTATATTTTATTTTAATTTTTTTCTTGTTATTCTTTATCATTTTCGGAAAACTCTAAATGTAATTCAGAAGAAAAACAGATTCTTCATTTGACAAAATATTTTGCTGTACACTTACAACCATCTTTGAGATTATTTTAACTACATTTCTTTTCAGAAAAATTTTAAAAAAAGTTGCGTGATAAAGAAATATTAAAGTGATCATGGCTCTTGATATTGTTCAAGTAGAAGGCTGCTATGTGTCATCTAGTTTACCTAAAGCTTTATTTGTGCCTTCACCATCTGTTCGTTTTAGACACAGGTATTTCTTTTTATTATTTTTGTTATGTTCTTTTCTTTTAAGTATTGATTTACTATTTTAAGATTAATTCTTCAGATTTATCTAGAATTTTGACAAGAAATAAAGAGTTGTAAAACTACAAATGTTGATTTACTGATTAATTATTACACTTATTTAAATTGATTGCTAAAGCTTGCTAGTTCTTGTTAGGTAAATTAACTTCGAGCAAAAAAATCACTAAGATTTTATTTAATTTTTGAAGAAAAAATTATTCATTTAAATCAATTGAAGTTTCATTCTTAATTTGCAGCCCATAACTTTATTAACTCAAGCAAAACTTTCTAAGTATGTATGTTGAATTCTCAAGCGTATTAATCAAATTTAAGTGCTGTTGATCAATTGAGTCAAATCTCTGGGTCAGGTTGTTGAAGGAAAAAAAAAAAGAGTAATAGTGGGTAAAAATCAAGAATTTGAATTTCTCTGAATTTTTAATCAAACTATTAGAAAGTGTATGCATATCTTAATTTCAGTTAACATAAATATTTTATAGTAATAAACAATTATTAGATTTTCAGACTTCAATAATAATGAATTTAAACAAATTAACTAATCCATTCATTTATTTGTAATTTCCTTTAATTTAAAATGTTTATTTAAATCATGGAATTTAAATTTTGAATACATTTATAATTTTATTGACCTTAAACAGATCTTGAATAAGTATAGATTGAATTACATAATCTTTTTTATTCGAACACTTGTAGGCTAGTAGTTGATTAAATGTTTAAGATTTTCTTAAAGAGATTAAAAACAACCTATTTAATTTCTAAACAAAATAATAACATTTTAATGTTAATATCCTGTGAAATAGTTAAGCCTTATAAATAAAAAACTGTTTTAAATTATATTTTGATATTGTTTGAATTTTTTTTTAGGGAGAATGTTAATCCTTTGTACTTTAAACCAAAAAAGAGAGGTTATGAGGTATGTGACAGTTATTTACTTACTTCCCTATGATTTTCTTAATGCTTTTATTTCATGTTTATAATATGTGGCAGATTTTCATTTTGATTTTTTTAGTAAGATTTTTCAATCCATTTAAGTCTTTGCCTATCATGGCTTCGGCTAAAGGCCAGTTGTCTGATTAGGTTACACTTTCCATGATACTGTCTTAGTGGTTCAGAATCCACACAAATCATTAAAAAAATGGTTTCATATCTAGTTTTGATACAGGGTGCAAGAGACTGAGTGATTAGTGTGACAATCTGATATGCTATAAATATTGTTGTGGGCACATGATCAGTATTGTTTTTGCATCATCGCTGATGAGTCTCAAACCGTAGCCATCGACCCATTGTTGTGTATAGTTTTAGTACAACATTAACAACCAAAATATCACTTTTTATTTTATTTCAGAAAATAAAACACCTATAACTTCTGAATTATGAAAATGTCGATATTTCCCCCCCAAAATATCAATGTTAGCTATAATTAATGTATTAATTATGATTTTTTTAAAAAAAAGTAATGAAAATTTTAAATTTATATGAATAGTCATGTAAAGACATTTTTCTGAGATACCTGATTTAAGAATCTATTCAAAAATTAAAGTACAGTAGGGAACCGATTATCCGGAACGATTGGGACCATCGCTATTCCGGCTAACTGATTTTTCCGGTTTTCTGAATCGCTACAAAAAGCCGTTTTTTTATTGTCAAACTCAACTAAAAAAAAAAAATATTTGGAAAAAATCTTAAAAAGAAGAAAAAACAATTAATTAATGCACTAATGATAATTTCCAAAATGATGGTAAGTTAACATCTTTCAAAAAAGAAAGAAAAATCCTGAAATCTTATGAGGAAAAAAAAATTTCTTAAGAAAAATGGCGGGAAAATTTATCGAATTTCGTTCCAGTTTTTTGGTTTTCCGGTTTTCTGATTTCCGGATAACGGGTTCTGTACTGTATATATATTTAAAAAAAACTAGTTTAAGACAAATGTAGAATTATGTAAGGTAAATCATTCTTAGACACTGAACATGTTTTTTAATATAGTTTATATATGGGTCATTCTCACAAAAACAGTCATTTTCATGTCCCCAGTATATTTTATGTTTGTTTTACAGCTTACGAAAAAAGAAATTCAGGTAAAGTGTCCTTCAGAATGCAAGCTAACAAAAGAATAAAAATAAAATTATCAATTTTTATTTTTTATTTATTTTAGGTAATTAAANATGCCATTACATATTTCTATTAATATAAAAAATTTCAGAGCTTTTTATTCACTTTACTTTTTTGGGATTTTATGAATTGAAAAATGACAGTTTTCGTGAGAATGACCCATATATATAGTTCATATAAGATATGAATACTGTTGTTAATTTATTTTTTCAGAATGTTACACTTAATAAATTGTTTCACACAATCAACTCACATTCAAATTGAACAGATAAAACCATAGATCTTTTGCCTGTTCTTCCTTTTTCCTTCATAAATAATGTTAATTTTATTTTTAGATAAGACCTCAAACAATTGGTACTGATGACAAAGAATGCTTGCCAGTTGAAGGACGTCAACATTTGTCTGTTCAAACAGATTTGTATCTTGAAGAAATCTGCGATGTCGTGGAAGAAGCTGATGCACAAACTGAAACTGATCCTTTATTAGATAGGCCACCATCCCCTTTGTTTATACCTGCAAAATCTGGACCTGATGTAGCTACTCAAATATATCCTGGAGAAGTAGGTTTAATTTTTATTGATCTCTAAGAAAAATGAGTGCAGTTAAATATTATGTTCAACTAAATATATGTTTTAAAATATATCAATAAACAAGTAGTATATAATAATAACTTGAAATCACCTTTAGACTTTCTTTCCCAATTTTTCCATGCAAAAACTATTATATTTATTTAAAACAAGGTTTAAATTAAAAATCAAAACTATGATGCCATCTTCATGCTAAAATATGCATAGTATATTTCCTAACATTTAAAAACAAAATTATTTTCTTATTTTATCCTTTTCTCAGTAAATAAAAATCATTAATCAGTAATCTTTTAATACCACAACCTTGAATGTTGTGCAGAATAAAATCTGTTTCTAGAGATTCCTTCTACATTTGCATAGACTTTGAAAACTGTTATATGCTTGGAAATGTTTCAAATTCATTAAAATCCGTTATTATTTCTCATGCTTTCTTTTATCCCAACGCATTTGAATGCGTAAGGCTAAGAAAAAGAGCCTTGGCAATACATTAAATCAATTAATATCCAATATATTGATTCCTTAACTTTAGTTGATGAAAACTATTCCAACTTGTACATGGCACTTACATTTTTGATTTCTGGATGGACTAAGGTGTCTTATGGGGCTTAGCCCTGCAGCCATTCTCTCTGGACAACTTTTCAAAATTTATTATTTTTAATGATTCATTTGTTCATAAAAATAAAAAATTTTAAATTTAAAAAATTATATTACAACATCACAGATTTGATACTCGTGTTGATTTTGAAAAACTAATTCAGACTTAATTGGCTTGCAAGAATTTTTTTTTTGTCTTCCAAAACCGCTTTGTTTTATGACTTAATTCATGTGATAACAGTTAGTGTGGTTAAAAACCTAGTGTAGCAACATGTATATTTAGAAACATTAATTTTAAAGCAAAGTAGCTTCTCCATACTTTCTACACTTTTTTTTATTTATATAATTGTGATTTTTATTTGTTTATTTATTGTTCTATGTGTTACAGCTCTTCGATTTTGATGAAGAAGTTGAACCTTTTTTAGAAGCATTAGTTGGACAAACTCTGGAACAAGCAATAATTGAAATAATGGCAGAAGAAGAATTAGCAGTATTAGCTGATTTGCAAATGGATTTTGAAACAAAACGAAATGCTGAACTAGCAGAACTAAAGCGTTCAGAAGAAGAGGAAAGAAGAATATTAGAAGAAAAAGTAATTATTTAATACCATTTTAAAATTATTATGCATAATTATTAATAGACAGTATGGTTTTCAATAGTTTTTGACATAGTTATAAGTTTTTTACAATAATAAATATTTTAACTTGAATTAATATGTTAAAAATTAGGTATTTAATTTAATGCTATTATTATTTATAAAATAATTTACAATTCAGAATTTTTAAAAAATTTCAGGCTAATAACCACCTATTTAAGACAAAACTGACTTCTTAAAAATTTTTTTATGTATATTTAGCAAAGAAGATTAAAAGAACAAGAAGAAGCTATCAAACTGGAAGATGAAGTAGCTCAAAAAATTGTTGCATGTATATTTTCACAAAATTATCTTTCTGAATTAGTGCCCCAAGTTTATAAGAAACTTGAAACTGAAGGTTATTTTGAAACTGAAGATCCTGAATTAAATGGTAATTTTTCAAGATAATAATTAAATTACTATTATCAAATTTAAATAATATTACATTGTTTTTTTTTCCACACTAATTTATAATAATCATATCCAGGGAAAAGAGTGTTTCTTTTATATTTTTAATTTTTGTATCTGACATTTGATCAGGGATTTGTATTGGCTATAATGTTGGCTTTTGAATCTAAAGTTATATTAAAATCTAATCTATTATTATCTATTTAAATAAAGTTATATTACAATCAAAGTTGAGTGACAAACATTCAATATTTCTGCCTTGTAAAACATGACAACCAATAAGTTTCATGCAACTTAGATGAATAATGTTTAAATGAGAAGTTTTCTTTTCTTCTAAATTGAATTGCGCTCAAAATTACTAAGTTGTGAATATTAATAATATTGTCTTTACATAAGCAATGTGTATATTGACTTTTTTAAAATATATTTATGCTTCAAAATATATTTTACATTTATTAAGCAGTCTGATTATATTGCTTATTTTTTAAGTAATAAGAGTAATAAATACAGTACATTAATCTTTTTAATAACATATGAAAAAGTTCACTTAAAAGTTTATTTTTGAAACTAACATTTACTGACATATTCATTCATGAAAGAGTTCAAATATATTTTAAAAATTTAATTACATATTTAGATAAATTTGAAACGTATATATTTTGCTTTTAATTTTTCCATATCTTACTAATCAATGAATCTATTTTGCATGCTTATTCATATCTCTAACTCTGAAAGCAAACATGAATACTAGATCAAAATCAAAAGTATCAGAACTTTCAGTAAGTTTGATAAGAGAGTTCAAAATCTTCTTTACAATCTGCGAATTAAAATGTTCAGAAACTGATAATAACTTCGATACCTGAAGTAATGCCTAAAAGCTTGTAAACAGGTACAACTTGTTAATTTTTTTAAAGTTACATTAGGTTAATCTTTTAGAAATACTGAATTTTCCATTAAAAAAACAATGCAACTTTTGATTACTTTTTATTGAACTAGAAAACTATTAATTTCAGATAATAGATTTTTAATAAATTGAGTCATCGAATCATTAGCAAGTATATAGCAAGTTTTTTTTTTTTTTTTTTNTTTTTTTTTTTTTTTTTTTTTTTTTTTTTTTTTTTTTTTGAAATATATAAAAGAACTTTCCTTTTATGTTATAAAATAAACTTGAAAAATTTACATTTATTTTCATGCTATTTAGAGGTGGAAGACAATTTCTGGCCATGGTTATTAAATGAAGTAGATTCCGAAATTGCCACTTTAGAAGCTTCCTGTCATTTGCTGGACAGTAAGTATTTCTAATAATTTTTTTTATTTTATTTATATTTTTGTGCATATGTAAAATTATTAAATTTTAGCCACTTTAAATAGAGAATATGAATGTGGGCCATTGTGTTACTTTTAAGTTCAAAATTATTTTTAAATGTGATCATGCTCGTTATGTGCATTTTAATTAAAATAAATATTTATTTAATCAAAATAGAAATTCAAGATTTTTTTCATACTTTTGTTTTTCCTGGTGAAAGATTTCTGACTAATGAATGAGGATGAACTTTAGAAGTTATTTTTTTATATAACCAACTACCTTTGTCTTATTAGTAAATAACTTCCCCTCCATCTAGTTAAAAAATTTTAGCAGTTATTTTAAAATTTCTTTTTAATGTATCACAGATGTAACTAAACTAAATGCTGTTTTATTTCTTAAGTTAGTGATGACTGATAATCTGATTAACTCACATCATAAAATTAAAGAATCCTTAATTTTTCAGAAGTGGTGAAATCAAATAAAACAATATTAAAAAACAGAATAATACTTTTTAAATTAATGAAAATTGATAAATTTAAGTAAATAAATTAAGTCATCCACCAAAGAAAAATTGATTAATTTTTATATTGACTTTCTTTTTCTTCCAATTTTATTCACATTCATTAGATACATGATTACTAATTTTACTTACTTTAAAACTTGATGATATAGTTTGCAAGTGTACACTTAAAACAACTGAGAAAACCCACTTATAGCACATGATCCTGCTTGTTTGGTTGAAAACATGATGTAAAAAAAAAAACTTCTGACAAGTAAATTTTAGTATTTTGATATTGTTGCATGATGTCTATATCTATTTTCTAAAGCTACTGATAATATTTTGTGGTGGTTGAACCAAGTCATCCACCACAAAGGTTTTAGAGGTTAGAACCTCTAAAACATAATTAGAAACTATCTTAAACTAATAATGTATCTTCTATCAGGGATATAATTTTTTCTGGCATGTGTAATAATAATTATTTTTCTAAGCTTTCTTTAATTATGGTATCAACAGTAATCTGAGTATAATGAAAAAAAGTTTGAGTACCATGACATATTATTCCAATGTTTGACTCATTTTCAGGAGTATAAGTGGTGTACAAACATCAGAAATTTATGCTTTTTTTTATTAACAGACCTCATAGAAGATAGTGTCCAGAGTATTGCAGAAACTTCTGTTATTGAACCTGCAGTACCTAACAATTATCCAAATAAACCAAAGGACATATCAAGTGAAGTGAGTATGCACTTAGGTTCTAGAAATTCATAAATTTTACTAATTCTGCACAGTTTTTCTTAGTATAAAATTTTAAAAGAAATGCAATTAGTTAAACTGTTTTTGCTACAAGAACCAGGAAAGGCTATACTGCGCCTAACACTGTTGATATCAAAATTCTGTTTTATACTAAGGTAAGATATCTAGTGTTTTTACGATACAACAAGGCTTATATGAAGATTGGCACCTATTAAAATTCATACGTCAGGATGATTGTGCAATTAAAATATACTTGTAGTATACAATTAGTTCACATTATATAGTACAGTACAGAACCCGTTATCTGAAAATCAGAAAACCAAAATACCGGAACGAAATTCGATAAATTTTCCCGCCATTTTTAAATTTATTTTTTTTCCCTCATAAGATTTTTCTTTCTTTTTTGAAAGATGTTCACCTTACCATCATTTTGGAAATAATCATTAGTGTATTACTTCATCGTTTTTTCTTCTTTTTAAGATTATTTCCAAATTATTATTATTATTATTTTTTAGTTGGGTTTAACAATAAAAAAACGGCTTTTTGTAGCGATTCAGAAAACCGGAAAAATCAGTTATCCGGAATAGCGATGGTCCCGGATAATCGGTTCCCTACTGTATTAGGGTTTAATTAAGTACTTATAATTTTATATTTAAAGATGTTTTTCATGTTTATTCTGTCTTGCAACTGAAATTCAAAAATAAACATTCAATTAAAATTTTAAATATACGTCTATGTGTATGTCCAAATAAAATAATCATACTAAGTCCCTTTTTCGCGTTTAGTAAATTGTAACTACAGAAAAAAAATTCACATTTTTTTCTTTATATTTGAGCAATTTTCTGTTAAAATAATGTAGGGTTAGGTGGTATTCTTTTTTTTTTTCTTAGCTTTTGTTGAGGAGTTTTTAGCAAATTTGTTACATCAAAGTGAGAAATTTTTTTTATAGTTCTTAAAATTAAAAGCTTCAAAGCTCGTTTTTTAATTTTTTTAACATACATGTAAGAAAATATTTTCTTCTAAAAGTTAATTTTATTTAAGGATTTATGTTTTAAATTCTACTGAGTACAACAAAATATTAAAATTTTAATTAATTTCATTTCAATTATTTCATTTAAAAAAGAATTATTCTGATTATCAGACATTAATGTATATTTGAATATATTTTCATCAAAAATTATATATTAGCAATATTTCTTTAAAAATCAAGTAGGAAATCACATAAGAAATTATTAAGCTTAAGCATTAATTCCACATCATTTTTTTAAAAAAAGGTATTCTTTTCAATTACTACAAATAAAGTTAAACTGTTGAGCAAACATAATGTAATTGATAAATAGAATTTAAAAAAAATTAGTATGACAGAATAGGAATTTAAATGTTTATTTAAATTCCTATATGCTAAATGAGGAATTAATGCTTAAGCTAAATATTGCTAAAATGAGGTAAGTTCCAAACTATTGTTTTAACCAACTATATAAAAAATTAAAATATAGATTGATAATCTAACACAAATAATAATTAAATGACTTTTTAACTACTTACCTTATTTAATAAAAGGGAGATAAGGTTCTGTCAATCAAATCAATTGTTATGTACTATTAATGTTCGCAAGAAAACAAAAAAGTTCTATTTTATCATGTTAAAATAATAATCACTATAATTTGTATGTAGGAGCAAGTTACTGCAGAATCAACAAAATTAGATGAAGATCAAGAAGTCCCAAATTTAGAAACATAGTAAATATATTGATATTCAATTTGTAAATATTTTTATAGAGTTTGATACAATAAATACTCAATAAGACTTTTAATTTTTGAAAAATATGCTTTAATTATCAAATATGAATGTGTGGAAAAAAATTTAAACATTATTTTTAAAGGGGGGGGGGCACTTGTTTTATCATAATGTAAGTTTTTTAATTTATGAAATCTTACTGTATTAGATATTTTTTAAAATCAAAATAAAGATTATAATTACTATATAATATTGAATATATATTTTTTAATCAATAAAAACCAACTAAACTAGGTATGAAAATAAAATCTTTATTTCTCTTATTTTTTATTTTTTTTTTTTTGCTTTACAAATTTCAAAAGCAATTTGAAAATTTAAATACTTTAGTTTTGCACTCAACTATATTTTTTGGAAAATATACATTTGAATGGTTTTTTAAAATTAGTAATAAAGTCTAACACTTTTTGTATGTTGAAAATTATTTATTATTTTGTACGTTGAAATTAAAGTGCTGCCTTTTCTTTCATCTACCCACTTTTTTAGCATGTCTTAATTTCATTGTACTCAATTTTAATAATGAATGGATTGATTTTAAAAATATCCGAATTGTATTTATACTCACACAGATAGTGAAAAAATTTGTTACTTTTGATTGATATGGTTTGAGTAAATTTTAGATACATAAAGCTGTATTTAATAAAGTGAATTTATAAATTGTTGAAAATAAAGAAATAGAGAAGCATAGGAAAATAAAGCAATATCCTTAAGTTAAAACAGATTCATTTATTTAAATTTCTATTTACTTTAACAATAACTTAATTTTAAAATTTTTACTAGCACAAGATTTTGACCCACAAAAAAAAAATTATATAGTAATACACTTGCATTTATAATTACATGACATTCTTCATTTTATTTATGAAATTGTGCATGCATTTTTAAGAGAAAAATTAAATTTATTTTTTAAAAAAATGTAATATTTTATTGTAACTTTATTAAGTAAGTTGTATCATTTTTCAAAATTAAAAACTATACATTAAAAATCATCAGTAGTTAAAATATAAATAAATTTTTTTAATAACTTTAACAATTTGAAATTGTTTACTTAAAATTTTATCAATATTCTTTTTTCTTCTACAATGTATTTATTTACAATATTAGTTATTATGGACAAATTAATAGAATATACAAAAAGGCATTTTTAGTAAATAATTTTTTGAAAATTAAGATTTAATTAAGGAAATATTAATAGTCTTAAATATCTTAGATTCAGCACCACCTTTAAGATTTCTGTGCTTTCTGCTGTAAAAAAAAAAGAAAGAAAAGATTAGAGGTTCAAAAATTTTGTAGCAAAATTTAAAATTTATGCTTGATCTAGCGTTATATATCAACATCAATATTGTCAAAATGCTTAAGTAGTGTGGATATAATTTTTTACTTACAATATTTTAGTTATCCTCTAACATATCAGCATATTAAATATTTGTAGTTAAAATATACAAAAGAATAACACAGAAATAATTATTAAAAATTTAATTTATACAATTTCATATAATACATAGATAGAGTATTTACATTATACTAATTTTTTTTTCTCTATTATATACAAAGGATAGTAGAAGAGAATCTTTTCAAATCAGTCGATTTTTTTCAGTCCTTTTTAACAATTATAAATTAGTTTACTCTTGGATTATTACCAGTGTGTAACTAAGAATAGTACAACATATTTCATGAATCTGTAACAACTAATTTTAATTTATTGTCGGTCTTTCTAAACAGATGACTTTGAGAGTTTCCATAATAATTGTCCTAACTTTTTATTGCTATTTTCTAAAAGTCAACACAAAAACTAAAATTTGCAAAAAGAAATGCTAAAACTTTCCATTCAAATATGAACAGCAGTCTATTTGAAAGGTATGCATAAAACAGATCATTCATCTGTTTTTGAATCCATTCAATAAAATTCTCTGTGGCCGAGCTAAGGAGAAAAAGGAAGGAAAAAAAATTAAGAATAATAAAATTAACACATGCATTAAAGAAATAAGAATCATTTATAAGAAAACCCATTCATACTGCTTTATACTTATTTCTTAAAACTCATTCATACAGCTATATATAAAAATATTTGTAACAAATAATGGGATGATTAAGTATTTATTACAAATATTCTCAATGTGTAAACTAAAATTTATCAAAATAACTTGAGGGATTTGTTTCTATTCACCAATCTCTAAAATCATGTTGCAGCTTCTTAGAGATCACATTGTTTTTAATTTTTAACCTTAAAAAATAAAAGCAAAATTATATTAAATTAATTTGCAAATTTACAAGCTCTGTTTCATGGTAAATTTGAAAGTAAAGTAGCAATGATCTAAGGAATAAGCCTATAGACTTGGGAGTAAGTTTATTTGTATTTAAGAGAATCAAATAACTAAGTTTTAAATATAATTTTTATAATAAGAATAAAAACAATTATTAAATCTTTCATATAGCCACTTTTTTTTTGTTGAAGGAAATGAACATAATCTTTTGTAATGTGCCATAAGTTTTTATACATAAAATATTTTAAATTTATTACAACAAATGTAAATACTAATTGTACCTCTCTAATTTTTTTAAATAACTGGATTTACTTATCATACATTTAAAGTAGGACGAGAAGAATATTTAAAAAAATACAAATATAGAATAATAGAATGTACAACTTAGAGAGTATAGAACAACAATAGAGCACATTCTTCTACTAAAAAATCTGAAAGGTGGTAAATTATCGAGGCAAACAAGCTACACCAAAATGGTAAAGACTCTATAGTTTGCCTATTAAATTTTACAAATTATTGCCAAGTTCTTGATTTAAATGATTACATCCCTATCTTGGTTTTCAAATTAAAAATATATTAGCAGTGCAGAAGATATCAGAAAATATGTCTTTTCAACAAAAACAAAACATTTCGCAACCATGTATCGGTTTCCCATTATATTAATGATATACATTTATTCAGAAAAAAGATTAAATGAAATAATTATCTAGTTTTTAAATGATAGAAAATATGTAATGCTTATTTTTGTAGGACAGCTTCTGAGAGTAGGGTATTTTGAACCCCTACAACTTTAATTAGCATGATTAGTTTTATTATCAAATATAACTACAAAACAGGGATCCAATGATTTCAAGATTCATTTAAAATTCATAACTAGACTTTTTAAACTTTTTAGTTTACATACAAATTTTGTCAATTTCATTCAACATTAGTAACAACTGCAGTGATTGTAAAAGAAAAAGCAAAAATTTGAAATAATTGAAAGCTATTCAAATATTTTAATGGAATATTAAGGTTGTTAAAATAACTTATAGTTAACAACGACCCATATTTTTCTGTGATGAGCACTAAATTTAGTTACATTTAACTTTAAAAAAAAAATTTGAAAAAGAACTTTCATTCTATTGCAAATAAATACTACAAAGAATAAAACTGATTTCCAAATTCAATTTTCTTTCCGTTTTTTATGAATTACTTTCAAGTAAAGAACAAATATCAATCATTAGTTTTGCATGTTTCAAAGTACTTAAAAGTCAACTTGATACCCTTCTCTTTCTAAAATTGAACATGCAAACCAAAGCTAAAAATAAATTTAAAAAAAAAAAAAAAAAGAACTAAAGATGTAAAATTTATTCAATTGATTAAAAGAGGTAAATTAATAGCAGAATATAATTCTACATTCAAAAATAAAAATTTTTAGAACAAAGAAAATAATTTCATGTTTTAGAAGTGGAGACTATAAGTTTTCTGTTAAACAAATTTTGCTTAAAAAAAATATATATATATATATATTTTTAGTATGGAGAAATATATGAGTCAAAATTATAATAATGCTAGCTTTTTAAAAGTGTTATAAAATGCACAAACTTTTAAAACAAAAAGTTAAATGCAAGAATATTTATTACTTTTGAATAAAGTATTTTGGTTTTCTTTAGAATAAAATTTTGTCTCTTAAGTTCATGTAGAGGTTTAATTGTATTTCTGAAAGCTCAATTAACATAATAGATTTCAATAACAATATCAATAAACATGTTTTACATTTTTATTGATTTAATGACCAATATGAAGCATAATATTACAACACGGATTTTTATGTAGCTTTTGTTTTTAATACACACCACAACTACACGGCAGATTTGTAGCTGTCAACTAAAATAGACCACGACAAATACGTAACATTGTTAATACCAAAGTTTACGATTTTGCCAGCAAAACCTATTCTTCTAAACATTTTTTTTTTATATAAAGAACTATTTTTACTAACCTCTTCTCCTTGGACAAAGATCAGCCAGAAGGACAGCTTTTATACCATTTTGATCCACAACACCAGTCTTAGATAAATTAGAAATCTGCATTTGACGCTCCAAATTACGTTGCATTACTAATAACATAGCAGGAGTTGGATTTTCAAGAAATTGTAAGGAATTGTTAGAATTGGTATGACCAGAGCCAGAAGCTTGCATACTTTGTGTTGCAGAGGCAACTCTTCGCAACTTCCTCTGTGGTATGGGGGAAGCATTATTGTCAGATGAATCGTGTAATTTCTTTGACTTGGCAGGAGGTGAAAAACTATAACTCCCTCTTTCTGCAGGTCGTTTAAGACCCTGAAAAAAATTACATTTCATTTAGCAACATTCAGGGATGCTACGCCTGCGCCATTTGCGACAAACTGAGACAAAACGGCATAACTGCGCCATTTTGCGACATTCAGCTCAGTTTCTGCCAAAGCTGCGCCATTCTGAGACAAAACGTCCACAATTTGGCAAACCTGAATTCAGTTTCAAATATTAATCCGCATTGCCGTGAGTCATTGGAGATCATTTTGCCGTTCACGTCTCCAAGGGATGAAAGACTTCCACGAAAAAGCGGAAATCCGCTTTTTTTCTCCCAATTTTGAAAATTTCCGACCATGTTCCAAAAACTAAAATTTTTGGGAAGTCCTATTGGAGAAACCCAAGCCGCCCGAACGATAGTCGGATTACCGCGACTTCTGCTATAGAGTGGAAAGGAGTCTAAGCGTTTCGTTTCGANAAAATATAAATATTTTTTTTATACATTTAGCAATATAAAATTAGAAGTGTGGGATAAATTTTTCTTATTTGAAAATTTAAAAATTAACAAAATGTGAATTTCTCACTTAGTAAACAAAACTCATTTTGATTATCAACATTTTAACTTGAAACTATTATCCATTATTCGTAATTTATATGTTTCTGGAAGCTAGGATAGCAAAATTACATTTGAAATTAATTTTTGTAGCATGATGATATAGGACAACAGTTTTAAAAATGCATGACATTCATAGATCCAGAGTGCATACAAATCAACCTTGATCAAGCACCAAAACACAATTTTTTAGAGCTCTTTTATGGTAGGAATACCACAAAATTTTGACCTTGGAAAAAAAGGAATATTGCCTGTGCAGAATCCCTTACTTTAAACTTTGACAACTCACCAACAAGCGAACTTTAATCATGGCAGATTTACAGTGCACTGTACCTAACAGCGTTTATACACCTAATAGCATTTTGTTTACTTGGCTGCCAAGATTGAACTTGTGACCTTTAGATCTCAAATAGCAATTTGAGTAATGCCCTAACTAACTGTGCCACTAGATAGATTTGATCATGTGTACAGGCAATACCAATACTATTAGAAAATAAGGTTAACTTGTTTTTTTCAAGTTACATGGTTAGTAGAACAAAATAAATGTTTTAATTTTTGGATTTATTTGTATATATAGTGTGCATACACATTGAAATATAACAAATGATTTACAACTATAGATAATTTAAAGTTTTTTTACCTTACGCAGGGGTTGCTTTGTCAAATCCGTGGAAGTAAATACAAGCAAACCATCATCTTGAAATCCTGAAGCTTTTATTGCAGCAGATAAGATGTTTCTACAATGCTTATAGTCCGGCTCTTCCTCAAATGTTAAGCCAGCAATATAAGTAAAATACTCAGTAATGCCACCTAAAAACCGAATAAAGAAATTGCAACATTGCATGTAATAAAAACAAAAAATAGATCATTTAAGAAACTGGATATTTAAAAAAATTGGGACAGATAAATGCGCCATCCTACAATCCAGAGACTAATCTAACTTAGAGGGACTAATCAGACTCAGTGGGACTTACCTTAACTTCACAAGTTAAAAAAATTTTTTTTTCTTTTCTTTTTTTTGTCCCAACGAAATATAAACTTGAGTTTATATTCAGAAATAAGAAGATTTAATTTTTCAAATCATTTTTTCTTAACTTCAACTTTTTGTGAGTGATGTGATAATTATTTTTCATAATTATTGTTTTTAAAATATGATACAAACATTATAGGTACATGTAATTAATCCATAGAATTTTCCTTTCTTATAATATTACAGAGGTGTTTAGTCTTCAAATACTTATGCTGCATCTCCATGTACTCCCCTAACATACAGAGGAAATAACTTCCATGTATTTTTTATTCTTCTATTGGCAAGACAGTCCGTTGTGAGCCAGACTTCCCTAGAACCCTCTCTCCATTCTGCTCTTTTCTTTGCGATTGTTCTCCAGTTAGTAATTCTTAGGATTTTAAAATCCTCTTCCACACAGTCAAGCCATCTGATCTCATGCTTTACCTCTAACTCTAGTTCCCATTGGTTTGTAATTGAAGATCTTAAATGGCAAGGAAGAAGGGTTCATTCGACAGATTTGACCTGCAAGCTTTAAGCTACTTATTTTGATATCAGTTTCCTTGAACAGCTTATATGGTATTAATCATCGGAATTCATAATTGTCTGTTTAAAATTACGTTTTTAGGAAAGAGAGGATGTTTATTTTACTCCCTAACTTCAACTAAAATATTTTTACTTTTTTCTCTAAAAATTTTATTAACTCCTTACACAAAACTTTTGCTAAATATTTTGAACTTAATCAATATATATAAACTATTGTATTATTTTAAATTTCAACATGATAAGCATAATTTTTGAAGAACCAACAAGAGAGGGATTCCTGATTCTATGCCCGTGGGCACCCATCAATCGTTTTAAGTGTGGAGGTGCTGAACAATCATATCAAAAATATTTTTTATTTAAATTAATGTTATGTAGAAGTATAAATTCCTCTTGAAAAAATAAATAGCGCTCAAAGTAGAATGAATTTCTACATACACAAGTTTGTAACTCCTGATAGCATTTTATTAAATCAAAACAAATAAATTAACCTTCCTCAACAAAGAAATATTTCTTTAAATTATTTTTTCACTCAGATGAATGGTACTGATGCAGATTATATGAAAAAGTTTAACTTAGTTGGAATAACTAAAATATTGATGTTGTCAATAATTATACTTACGAGGCGGAGCTTTCTTATTATAACAACTTTTAATTAAGGAGGAAATGTTAGACATGTACCTGAAAACAGTAATTAAAATGAATTTACTTAAAAATCTGTAATATAAAAGTAAATTAAAATACTCTAATACTACCGATAAAATTTAATAATTTGTTTGGCTGCATGAATGGTATCTATAAATACACAAACAGAATTTTTTTAAAATTTACTTATGATACCATACAATATTAAAATGCATATTATAAAATATTTTTCATTATTTTATTTTATAAGGATTATTATTAAACAGAAAAAAAATTAGGTTAATTACAACAATATATGTTAAAATAATAAAAGATTTATATCCTAAATTTAAGAACCACCCTGAATAATCTGTGATCTCATGATCAGGTCTTCATGTACTTGGACTTAATCTTAATGGTTTGAGAGAGGATGACCTCAAATATTCAAATTAATTAGTGGAGATAATATTTTAAGTTACAAAATCTTACACAAAAATGTACTTTCTCCTCTGAATAAACAGCTTTTTTTTGTCACGATCGGATTTCTGACCTCCAACTTATATGCGGTAGCTGCAATCTGGGAAATATGACCGCAAAAGTTTGGTCAGGAGATCAGTCCAAAGTTTGGACCCATTCATTTTAATTTTCCTTTTAGTCTATTTCCCCATATGTCGAGAACTTCTCGTGCAAATCAAAAAAATTTTTGCACATAATTATAAAATTCCTTTATCTAAATTTTGAATTGCAAGGTGAAAAATTTTTCCATAATTTTAAATAATGTAATTTTAATTGCAAAATGCAACATTTTGGCAATATATAGTTCCTTTGAAATGGAATTGTGAAAAAGTCCTATTTTTAAATTTTGATTTCTCAGGAACTATTAGACCGATTTTGTTCAAACTTGTATACCTTGCAATTCAAAATTTTTTGACCGTTAATAAATAAAATTATAAAAAATAATTAATTCATGAGATATGGTGAAAATACACAAAAAATAAAATTATCATTAAGGGGTCCAAACTTCGGACCGCTCTCCTTATAAAACATATTTCCCATATAGCGGTTAACTCCTATATTTTGAGGGTCATAAATCCAAATGCAGGAAAAAAAGGTATGCTTATTCTTAAATATATAGCTTAAAATATTGTATGCACTAATTAATTAGCATATTTGTAGTCACCCCCTCGAACTGTTAGGATCGAGTCTTAGTATGTGAAGATCCCATCATTAGATCAAAATTTCTGCAGCCTGGGTCATTTTTATTTACGCGCACTTCACATTAGCAAACATACATAATTTTTTAAAACTTAATATTTACTTTTTTATACATATAGTATATAATTACAGTTTGGAAAATGAATCTACAATTTGATCATGATCATATTTATTTACAATATACAGGGTGGCAATAATTACTCTATGGAAAAAATTCCCCTGATCGTTTTCAAAACGTTAGTGAGTTTGAGATAAAATTTAATGATTGAATACAGAGCATCTTGGAATTGATTCGATTTTTCTTAAAAATGTCGAAATACAGCATTTGTGAACATATATCTACCACCATTAAAAGCATCAATGTTTTAACTTTTCTGTAAGATTTGCAAAAAATTGCTAGATCTGTGCCACATCATAGCCTTTGATGGCAATCACATTGAACATGATATAAACTAAAACTAGCATGAAACATGGCATAAACTAAATCTCAATAGTTTATGAAAATTTCAGTTCCAAAAGCACAATTTATTTCTTCACACAATTGTTACTTGGCAATAATGACCTAAACATTCTGTAGCCTATGGCTTAATTTCATTCATGCCAAAATATTAAAAATTGATTGATTGGATGTAAAATTAAATCAAAATGGCAAAGCAGTGACAATGAACACAAATTATTTAAAACAATGAACACATAAATGAATCATGTCAAAATATCAATGAACTATACGGCGAACACTATTATTGAAAATAAAAATTATTTCAAATTCTAAATATAATCAGCAGTAAAAGTTTGACTGTAATAAAAAGAGAAACCACATGACACTTCAAAATAAATCTCAAAACTGCAAAAATAAATTTGTTAAAATATATAAATAAATAACTTACATGCTTTTCTGTCTACTAACACTTTCAACATCCTTTAGATTCTCTTCCCATGGCAAGCGACCACAAAGCCACTGAAGCATATTGTAACCCAATATTTCTAAATCTCCTCTTCGTGAATGAGCTGAAATAAAAAAGAAAAAAGATGTAATTTTAAAACTTCAGTTTTAATTTTAGGTTACATAGCACACAATAAACTAAGCTTTCACTTTATGGATGGTTTATTGTATAAAACTAAGCACGAATGCTCTAGCAGTTAAAACTCGTAATAAGACTACAATGTAACTACATCAGATTTATTTTTGTGACTAGGCCTGAAAAACATGCCATTCTATATTGCTATTGTACTGTTCGTAATATGACTTGTGTTATTTACTATTCAATATGTAAATTCCTTAAAGTTTAGTTGAAACCATAAAAAACCGAAGATAACATTATACAGGATTCCCACTCTTTTAACAAAACAATATTTAAGGACTCATTAGGACTTTTTTTTTTTTAAAAATAATTAAGGAATGACCTTAAAATTAGTATAATAATTGAAGAAAACAATATTTTTACTAAAAATAGAACATATTTTTACTTTTATAACATATTGTTACTAAAAATAGAAATTTAATGAATAGGAAATTAAACTGTTAAGTGTTGACATTAGAAATGGCCATGACTTAAAGTAATTCCACTTTAAATTATTCAACTTCAGATAACTGAAAAATGTGGTTTTTAAAAAATTTCATTTCAATTAACCAAGCAGTTATGATGCATAATATTAATTTACATATATTTTTTTTTAAATATTACTTATACTCATTTAAATTTTTAAGAATTAGGTTTCTTTTGTTATTTCCCCCTCAAATTAATTGCAATTGATGCCTAGAAACAATGAATAGTAATTTATCTTAATATCTCAGCATAAATTTGCTACAGCTGAGCTTGTTTAATAGATGCAGGCAAGATAAAAAAATACTATAAAATTAAAAAAAAAGTCATCGTCCATGAATTGAATTATATTTACCCCCAATATGAGCATCTCTGCTTGTAAATTCTATTGTGCCATCATGAGCTTTCCGAAGATCTTCTTTCAATTCTTTATGCTGACCGTTAACTATATACCTGCAAGCTAAACCAAAGTCTATGAGATAAACCTGAAAGAGAAGTAAATAGATTAAACATAACATTCCCATGTATAAAATTAAATGAAAAATGCATTGAAATTAAAAGTAGGTGTGAGATAATTAAGATATAAAGATTGAAACTTACACATAAATGTCACTAAACTATCTAACAATGGCAAGAATGAAAGTATTAGGTATAGCTTGCAACACATTTTTTGCAATTTCTAATTAGGTTATGTTTTATATATAAGCATGAAAGCTACTTCAGCTAATAATAATTAGGAAGAAAGCAATATAGAAAGCATTCTAACAATACACATGCTTCATTCATGTAACTCCAGTTACTTTCATCTCTAGTATAATATACAGTCTCTTATTTTCGATGAATTCAAAATAAGGTTATGTTTTATGTGAGAGCATGGAAGTTTTTTAAAAAAAAAAATAATAATTAGGAGGAATGCAGCAGAGAAAGTAATTTAGCAATAGAGATACTTTAGTAATGTTATTCCAATAATTTTTATCTTAGTTTAGCATGCAACTGAAAAATGCTTAGTTTTTTTTTCCTTTTTGCAAACTCACAACTAGAAAATAATTGTAGACAACAAGAAGATTTATAGTATTTCAATATCAAAGTTACATAAAATTTCCACTTTTCTTTAACTATTTTAAGACAGTACTATCTTGAACATCAATAATGTTATCTAGCAAATTTAAGAATAAAGATAATTTATGCTAACAACAAGAGCTCACTGAACAAGACCACAATACATTTAACAAAAAAAAAAAAGATAAACCCAGAATTGTACAACTCTTTGATACAGTAAATATTTCCTAAATGAAAAGCTTAATAATAAAGATAATTTATTATATTACTACTGAAAAGGAAAACCATAACAACTGTGCCAAAAAGAGACAAATCCAGAAGAGTACATAGACATAAAGCAGTATTGAGTAAAAAGTAGAAGAGATTAATACAAAAGTAATTGTGCATGAGTTTATTTATTGCAAAGAGATGGAGCTATGCAAATTTATTTTAATTTTTTACCAAACAAAATTTGTTTGCTTTAAAGCATCTAACTTCACATTTTTATACAAAAAGTTTTCATTCAAATAAATTAATTTTTGTCTATCATATTTACAATAAGGTAAAAACTTCTCCATCAACTTAAATAAATTTTAATTTAATAAATTTAAATCCATAAATTTAAATTTAATAAATTTTAAAATTAAATTTTAACTGAAATATACAAAATACATGAAACATGACTGACCTCATTTTCTTTTTCAGAACCATAGCCAGTTAGCAAATTTGAAGCTTTGACATCTGCATGAATATAGCCGTGACTATGAACATATTCTAAAATATCTAACTGAAAGAAATAATACAGAAAATTATAATTCATAAAATTAAGCATTTAATATAATTTATTAATTCTGTATACATCAATAATAATCCAAATAAATGATGCAAAAATAATAAAAGTTGATAAGATTGGAAAAAAATAAGTACTGGTGAGTGCAAGAAGAGCTTCTTAGCTGTTAATTCATTTTAAAGCATGATTTGTTGCTGCAAGTGCTATCATGCTTTTAGCAGAAGCATGCAAATTCAACAATGCTAAAACTAAATATAGAAATGTTTTTTTTATTTTAAAAAAAAGCTTATTTTTAGTTCTTGAAAATAAAAAATAGTACTGTTCCAAATACAAATAATTTATTTTGGTAAAATTTTATTCAACTTTTTCTAACAAATATTTTTGTTTCTAAAAATAAAATTTAATCACCTGAATATGAAGGTAAAAGGACTAATACTAGAATTAAAAGGGGAAAAAAATAGCAAAAACTATTCTCATATTATTTATATTATCTATTTCATATTTATATTTCATGACAAAAATCAGTATAATATTTGTAATTGTGAAATCAATGAGAATTATACTAGTGTATATGCTTAATGTGTAATTTATTACTAAAGTAGCATTTAAAAAAAAATGATAGTTAGCAAAAACAGAACTTTTTGATTTCCCCCCTAACTGGCTGAAGCAGAGATAATTTCCAAACTAAAATGACAGTAGCACCACTACTACAGAAAAAAGCTGTTTCTCTCCCTCCTTGATGTGGGCGAATTCAGCGGTCTGGTGAACAATCAGTATCATTACTGCAACCTGGAACAGTACAGAAAGAGAAAGAAAAAAAATGTTTAAGGCTTTCCTTACTTAAAGATGTTGCACTTCTATGGAGTCAATGATGAAAGGGAACTTCAGTGGCAGCAAATGGTGTCAGTTTATAATAGGATCAACAAGTTTTCATTTTTAACTGCAGTTGATTTTCTTAATTTAAAGTCAATTGTTGTGATTTAGTTTTTACTTATGCAAAAATGATTAATTAGTTTGAAAATTAATACTACTATTTAAGCTAGAAAACAAATATTAAGTATTTGAAAAATAGGTTTAATATTTCCTTTTTTTTTTAAAAAACAGTTTCGTCTACTTGGTTCAGAAGAAACCTATATTATGCAGAGCAGTTTTTTCTACTATGAATGAAACTTGTTATTCCTGGAAAATATCATTGCAGATTTAAATAGTGAGAATCTATGAAACATATGTATTTCTAAAATCATGACTTGCTAACTTAAAATATTGCATCTTCATAACAAACCATTAGTTGGAATGTTTTAGAACACTAACAGATAACAATAAAAATATATTGATTAAAAAAGAACACAAGAAAACATTATTTCTTTTAATGCTGAGATTGCACATAGAGAGAAGCATACTTAAAAGTAATTTCCAACTTAAATTAACTAATTACTTACTATTTAATCTATAAGCAATAGTAATTAAAAAAATTTAAAAAAGTAAAATCAGTAATGCTCAATTTGAATTACTAATTAACATAATTTTATTAACGATGTTATTATTTTACTCAACTCAATTATTTTATTCAACATGGTGAGGTGTTAAAAATAATAGCTTTTTAAAAATTATATTTGCAATATACTTACGACAATTTTTCCAACAGTATATACAGTTTTCATAGGAAACACTTTGTCATTTCGATCTAACTTTTTTTGTAAATCTTCACCGAATCGATCCATTACCATAAAACGATACTTGACGCCTCTATATTCATGGGATCCAGATCCAATAAATTTTGGCATTCCTAAAAACTTTAATTTCTTCTTTTCTTTCCATTCTTCAACTATAAATTGCAAAAAATAAAAGAAAAGAATGATTTTATGAGACAGCTCATATAGTATACAAGGATTTCAATATAACAGACAAATGATTTTGAATACTTACTTTGTTCAATCTTACCAACACGGTGATAAAAATGCATTTCAGAAAATAATGGTCCATTAGCATGTGGCTCCTAATTATTAGGGAGAGAAAAAATACATGATACAGGGTTTCACACATAAGGATTGTGCAAATTGAGCCAGTATTTTACTCAATAAATAAAAGATGAAGGGGATCAGGGATGCCAACCTTTAGTCATACCAAAGAGGAGCAATTTTTTTGCAGTCAATGATCAATCGCTTTAGTACATTAAATATGCCTCATTATGTACATTATATAGTAATGAAGCAATACTGAATATACAAAATATTTATTAATATAATAATAAAGTATTAAAATGCAATGCAAATATTAAAGTGGAAATTAAAAGAGCATAGAAATTACAACACATTATTTGCTTTGTAGTGCAAAAATTTTGCCCAGTAGCAGTAGATGCTACTGGGCAAAATATGTTCCAGTTGCTTCATGAAGAACTGTCAAAAAGATAGATTACTTGAAGTAACTGTGTCAACTTTTCCTGCGATAATGCTTCATAAATGATTGGTATGCATAAGGGTCTTACAAAGTACTTATTGGAAACGAACTTCAAAATGATAATAAACAAATGTGCTTGTCATTTGTTACATTTAGCTGCTAAAAAGAGGGCTAAAGAACTGCCATTAAATGTGGAGGATTTTCCAATTGATGTATTTTATTACTTCAAAAAAAGTTCAAAGAGGATTGAGGCTTTTAAAGCCTGTCAGATCTTTTGTGATCTTGATAACCACAAAATACTTAAATATGTGGCTACAAGGTGGTTGTCTTTACTTAATGTTATTGAAAGATTTCTTGAGCAGTGGGACAGTCTTTTCCTTTTTTTTCAAAATGAAGATGGTACATCTGAGAAATGTAGAAAGATAAAAAAGATGTTTCTAGATCCACATACAAAACTTTATCTTTTGTTTTTGGAATCTGTGTTACCTCTCTTCTGTTCTGTGAACATTTTGTTGCAGTCAGAAGAACCTTTGATTCACTGCCTTCGAAGAGAGTTGGAGATGCTCTTAACTAAGTTAATTGCACGTCACGTTACATTTCTCCAGTTTCTGTTCCGGCAAAAAGCATACTTACAATTGAATTTTCCAATAGAAAAAGGCAGAAGTTAAACAAAGATTTAGTTATAGGCTGCCAAACAAGGCAATTTTTAAAAGAAAATTCTCTGACTGAAGATGTTCTGTCTACATTTTATCTAAGTGTCAGAAACTTTTATTCCCAGTCATGCAAATATATAAGCAAAAAATTTCCCCTAGAGGGATGTTGCTTTATTAAATACAGAAGTTGCGGACATTAACCTAAGACTGGAAAAATCTTTCAGTGCAGTCAACTACTTCGTAGATCTTTTTTGTGAAGATTTCTCAGACTTACAAAAGGGTAGAAGGGATCAGAAAGCAGGGTTCGTGATTTTTTTGATTTTTTTTAAAAAAATCAAAAGAATCCGATTTTTTTGATTTAAATCGGATTTTTTTTATTTAAATCAGATTTTTTTGATTTTTATTCAAAAANTACTTTCTACAGTCTACTAGATGCCTGTCTTATATGCAAGTCTATATTAAGACAGCATTAAATATTTACTTTAATCTGTACTTTCAATCTCAAGAATCAAAAGATTTTTAAAAATGTAATTTCAAATGTGTGGGAATTTAACACAGACCAAGAAAGCAATTTCGTTAACTAAAATTAATTAATGCAGCAATTTATTTAAATTAAATTTTAATACTAAGAAAAGAAAATAATAAAAGTATCAAAAATTTAAAACACTGTTTTTTAACTTTTAAAATCAATATATATATTTAAAAAAAAAATTTTGATTTAAATCAATGATTTTTTTAAAAAAATCATTTGATTTAAATCAAGATTTAAATCGTGATTTAAATCAACGAACCCTGTCAGAAAGGTTGTTTAAAATACAACATTCTGCCGATTGTTATGAAGAGGATATTGCTAATCCCACACAGTAGTGTTCCTTGTGAAAGACTGTTTAGTCTTGTGAGGAAAAATCAGAATGACTTCAGAGGAAACTTAAGTTTCATCAGAATCTTGAAACATTTTCTTAAATAAAGGCCGCATATGCATTAATTTTTTTATTTGCAGAAAATCTTTCGAAATTTTTTTTATGTCGTTTACACTCCACGTGACGTCTACAGTCATACAGACCACCATGTGCGATAGTGAAATCCATATCGCATGTAATACAATAGGCGTGATTCTCAGACGCTTTTGAGAGCTTTAGGACAGGAAATTATTTTGCATAATCATCTTTAAAAGCTTGATGATGTGATCTTTTTTTAGACAGCATTCTTGAATTTTTTTAAAACTTCAAAACGCGTTTTAGTATTGAGTATAGTTAAGTGCGGCAAGCTCTCTGCTTATAAAACGCGTTTTACAATCAACTGACGACGATGTAAACATGCGATATGTTAAAAACTTCGCGAGTGATTAATTTTTAGCCACCAATGCTCCAATCACAATCTTCAAGCAACATTATCACTGTCATAAACTAACACATCTACGTAAACCAAAATAAGTTGCATTCTCACTGTCATGCTACAAGCTAACGCAACTTTAAAGTGAAACGCATGTGAGGGACGATATTCCAGTTTAGTATCAGTTAGAGCAGGAAAAGCGGAGCGTTTTGAAGGCGGGGCAGCGGAGTTAAAATTTTAAAACGGAGAAACTCCGCTCAAAGCGGAGCAGTTGGCATGTCTGCATTATGCTAGGAAAATTTAAATGCTTCATTAACATATACATAATATATAAAAATATAAATTTCATTGCAATTTTAGAACAAATTTATGAAAAAAAAACATCATTGAAAGTTTTTATCAAGTTCAATGTTTACAGTTAAAACTAAATATTTCTATACAATTGCAATTATTCAAAAAACAATTTGTAGCATTAAACTTCGTTATTAGTGCACCTTTCGATTAACGGACAATTTTTTTCGGTCTTGAGAGTGTCTGTTTAACCGAGGTTTCACTGTATGTATATTGTGTGATAAAAAAGAATGATGCAATACTTACAACTTTAACAACATATTCAGAATTTAAACCAGGCTTTTTCTTAATGCTGTTAGATGCTAAAAAATTAAAAACAGATAGGTGAGAAAAGTTTATAGTACAAAAATAATTTTTCAGAACTTTAGATTAACTGCAAAACATTCCAAAACTTCATATAATTGCTTATTTGAAGAATGTCAGTACAACAAAAATAGTTTTAAACTGACTTTTTTTAAATGAGGATCACTTCATTATGCATTAGTAACACCTATTCAAATATTCAAGCAAGCAATAATCTGCACAAAAATCCATTTCAATAGGGACTTTTTTATGAAACTTCTCAATTTTAGAGAATTTACTAAAATGTACAAAAACAAGTAGAATTTTTATTAAACCAGAATACCAGGAGAAACTTCAAATTCCCATAGTCTACTGGAAAATCCAGTAGAGTTGACAGCTATGCATATATATTTGATCTTCTACTTGAAATGAGACATATATGACTCACAAACACATGGTTTTTGATTAAATATAAACATGAGGGGAAAATAATGTTTCCAAATCAAATGCTTTAAGACAGACCTCTAATTATATTATATAGTATTTGTTTATAGTGTGTGGGAGAGTTTCTCTTTTTGCTAGAGTGTTGTGTATTTAAGTTTACAGTCCATTTTCAATTGATAGTTAGATCTTATAGACATCAAATTTTTCTGTTTTTATAGTTACAATGTTGAGGCATTAAAAATGTTAAACAGAACTAAAAAATAATATAAATTAGGGTAAAAATGTATTTAAACCAGAAAAAAACTTTAAATAAAGTATGTAAATAAAAAATATAAACAGTGTATGTCATTTTAGTATATGTATACTTGTATGTAATAGGTATGCAACATAAATTTGGTTTTGCAAGATTTTTAAGAAATGTAAAATGTTACAATCAATTTTTTTATGGTTCGCCTATAAGCTCTCTTCTCACATTACCAAATAACTAAACAAATTTTTCAATTTAAGAAAACCATAAATTGCAATATATATATATATATATATATATTAACAACTACGTTAACTACAACTACTATATATATTAACACTCTATATATCAAGCCTGTCACCTATATAAATATTTTACAACAACAGCAATATTGATTTTTATTAAAGAATAACATTAAAAAAAATATTGAATTAGAAAGCGCCAAATAATAAGTTTTTACTATGCACTTTGCCATAGCTGAAGAATCTTTAGGATAGATGATTATGATGAAATTATCAGAAGAAACAAAAGAGTTTAATTTCTTAATTTTGTCTAAATTAAGAAATTAAACTTTTGCACCTGTACTTATTTGAATGAAGAACAATTAATTGCCATTTGCCCATTTTTTTTAATGAAAATCATTAAATTTCATTAATTATTCAGATGATTAGCTAAAATAAAAAAGAAAATAAAGATATGCAAATATTTTGATTTCAATGGGCAAAATTAAACTCATATATATAGAGATAGATNTAAAAAATAATATAAATTAAGGTAAAAATGTATTTAAACAAGAAAAAAAACTTTAAATAAAGTATGTAAATAAAAAATATAAACAGTGTATGTCATTTTAGTATATGTATACTTGTATGTAATAGGTATGCAACATAAATTTGGTTTTGCAAGATTTTTAAGAAATGTAAAATGTTACAATCAATTTTTTTATGGTTCGCCTATAAGCTCTCTTCTCACATTACCAAATAACTAAACAAATTTCTCAATTTAAGAAAACCATAAATTGCAATATATATATATATATATATATTAACAACTACGTTAACTACAACTACTATATATATTAACACTCTATACATCAAGCCTGTCACCTATATAAATATTTTACAACAACAGCAATATTGATTTTTATTAAAGAATAACATTAAAAAAAATATTGAATTAGAAAGCGCCAAATAATAAGTTTTTACTATGCACTTTGCCATAGCTGAAGAATCTTTAGGATAGATGATTATGATGAAATTATCAGAAGAAACAAAAGAGTTTAATTTCTTAATTTTGTCTAAATTAAGAAATTAAACTCTTGCACCTGTACTTATTTGAATGAAGAACAATTAATTGCCATTTGCCCATTTTTTTTATGAAAATCATTAAGTTTCATTAATTATTCAGATGATTAGCTAAAATAAAAAAGAAAAGAAAGATATGCAAATATTTTGATTTCAATGGGCAAAATTAAACTCATATATATAGAAATATATTGTTATTCAATAGTGTTTAAATTCTCTCACTCTTAAAATTGGAAAATCTAAATAAAAAAATAAATAAATAAAAAATTTAAATTTTTACCATACATTTACTTCTGTTAAAAATAGATTTTATGTAAAACAAAAGAGTATACAATGCTATGATTTTACATTTCAATTCTTACACTCTATATATATTAATACCTAAATATATCTCTCCAAATCCGCCAAGACCAATGGATTTACCAAGTCTCCATTGACGTTTCATTACATCAGTAAGGACAACACCATTTGGTAAGGGATCAGGTAGTCTATTTCCATTTGGAGCAAATCTTGGTTTCTTCATACCTATAAAAAAAATTATACGAATATAATAATAGCTAAATATGTTCTTTGCACCTGACTGTATGACACATTTTTCAGATTAAAAAAAATTATCTTTAACACACATTAGGATTTCATGAACTTGACTCAAGTATATTACCATAAACATTTTTAGAAATCACTGTTAGTAGCTTTATTTATTCAAGAAAACATAAAATTACATATGATTAATAAGTTTTATGTGACATAGAAAGTGACATGAAAGTTTATATCAGAAAGTATTGCTTTAGCTTAATTTTGATTACAAATAAATACTTTTCCAGGAAACTAAGATTTTCATGATTTTTTAAACTAAAAATATTTTTATTTACTTAAGAATGAGATAGAAATGAATTATCTTTAAAATACAAGATAAAAAAAAAAAACATAAACTTCTTCACTAATGAAGTATAAAGAAATATAGCACAAAAAAATTCACAGAATTGAATTCTATTTTACTGCCGTAAGTCATAATAAAATAACAATAGAAATTATACTGCTAGGGGATGAATAATGCTATGGCCACGTACATGGACCTCAGGTTTTATCTAAGTAAAATAATATAAATATTTCAAATATTAAATTGCACCTTAAATATGAACAAGCATGCATAATATTATATTATAGTTCATTTAAATACAATGATGAATATATTTAATAGTTATTTAGAGAATTTTTTTTTTAAATGCAGTTTTTTTTTTAATGAGATGTAATACTAAATGCAATACCAATGCATTACTGCATGAAATCTCAAAAAAGAAAAAACTGTTCAAAACTATTTTAATGAAGCAAAATAAATAGTTATAGAAAAGTATTTAGTTCTTGAGGGTAAAATTTTAAAATTATGAAGAAAAAAACACACAAAAAGTTAAAGTTATTAAATGTATCATGTGCCTTAATATAAAACAATTATAATACACATAAAAATATTATTAAATAGATATAAAATTGAATACTTATAATAATTATAATAAAGAAGCACGATATACAGTAACAAAATGCCAAAATAATTTTCAAAGTCTTTTACATGATCATGATAAAATAACTAGTTTCTAACAAAGAACTATTTTCTTGATTACATTAGTCATCATAAGAACATAGAGAGATTTTTCAGTTTGATTTCAGAGGGTGGAAAATGAAGCCTGAAATTGAGAATTTCTGGCAAAATGCAGCAGAGTTGCACATGATAGTGCAAGAAGAATTCCCACTAACTCCAGCTCAGTATATCAGGGGTGATTGTGAGCCTAAGTCAAAAGTCCGGAAAATTTCTTGAGATTAAAAAAAAAAACAGTTTAAATTGAAAAATCAGAAAAAAATTTAAACAAGTTTTTTTTCCTTTTCTTCAGTATTTCTTAGTTTACTTAAAATATATTTAAAATTTTACACATACCTATACCCATTGTNACCCTTGTCATGTCAAAAACCACTTTTTGACGTCAAAAACCCAACCCTGCCTATACCATTTACACATAACCAATGATGATCTGGAGAAGTAATTAAAATTCACAAATATGTCTTCCTTTCTTGAGTTTATGATTATAACAACTATTTACTGATAAAAAATGAATACTAATCATGAATATAAGCTTATAAAGTATCTTTCCGGCTCGTCCTTAGAAACAAATAAAATAAAGTGTGTTTCTAAGTTCCACCTTTGAAAATTTGATTTTCGGAAACTTCTGTGATCAATGATTTCTTGAAACGTCTGGACCTCCGATCTTCGGAAACTTCCGGATCACTGTTGGCAAAAATTCCAGAAATCCGGAGCACAGTTAGCCCTGGTACATGCACATGCGAACCCACAAGTATAATCACCTTTAAATACTTTTTAAAAAGGTTACACAACCTGGAAAAAATCTGGGGTAACTAAGAGGAAAATTCATACAGGTGTAGGACAAAGATGTCAGCTCATTTAAGCAGATTAGTTGATTGTTGCAGAAGGCTAGTTATGCATATATCTATATTTTTCTTTTCTTTTGAAGAAAAAAGAGGTAAAGTGCTTTTTTTTAAAAAACTGAATTACAGTCAAATTTGTGACACTCAAATCATGCTTTTTAATCCAAAAAAACCATTAGATTTGATACTCATTGATAGGGAACAATTTAAAAAAAAAATAACACATAGGAGGTAACATCAATATAGATATTCCATAAATAAAAAGAGAAATTTACCTTTCTTAACATCGTTTCCATTTTTAGCCATGGCTAGACTAGTATTTCACTACTTTAAACTCATCAGATAACTAGTGAATAAAATACAGACAAACTATAAATATTGTATGCATATGATCAACTATCAGCATAAACATTTTTCGCATAAAAGTTGAATGTAAGAAAAAATTACAAATTAAAGTATGAAGAATAGTTTAATTAAAAAAAAAAAATTTGAATTAGGCAAGAGAGCTTTATGAAATATATCAAGAAAGATCAAAAGGAATCCAAAATGTTATTTTTTTTCTTTTCACATAATTTGAGTTTTAAAGGCTTCAAGCTAAAGGCTTTACTTACAGGAATAACTGCTAGCAATAGTAAATTTTAAGAAATGCGATCCCACACTATTTTAAGTTATGCAGTATATATCAAGATAGAAGTTTATTAACCCTGCAGAAGTGACAAGTCTTAATTAAACATTCAGGTGGAGATTTCCGTATCGTGATCTGTAACAGAATAATCGTCAAATCTTGGAAATTTCCGGGTAGTGGCCAGCGAGAAACTAAATAATCGTTACAGAAAGGAACCAACTCGATAGGTATAAATCAAAGCCACCCCCGGGCTAACATCTACATGTTTTTTTTCTTCTTTTTAAATATTCAAGTTTAAAATCTATTTGGCACCTTGGCAAGACAGATCACGATAAGGAAATATCCCCTAAGTAAGGAGGTAATGAAAACATCAAAAACTTGCGATTAAAAAACTTGAAACTAGCCTTTAAATATTCTAAAAATTTATATTGCATTCTTGTTTCAATGACATTTCTTTGATCAACATGTTAGAGATATAAAATATAATCATTTTTAACAATTGAGCGTTGTAAATCTGAATATAATTTTTGGGAAATTGGTGTTTATATTTAAATGATCTGCACCACAAGTCTACAAAAAATTATTTCCTCAGCTTTGCTAAGTACATCAGTTGATTACATTTACAGTAATTAAATAAGAAAATAGGTATAAATGCTTTAAATGATGGATGGTGCGATTATGTACATTGAGATTTACATAAAGTAGTGTGTTAGTAACGGTACGTATACAATGGATACAGTAAATATACTTTTCAAGCTATATAGACATAGCAAATACTGTCGAAAATATTGTAATTAAGTTTATCAGCAATTTTACTAGTCTTAAGAACTACAAAGGAATTATATTTTTTATTCCAATCTGGATAAATACGTTTTCTGTTATTATTAACAATTGTAAGAGATTTATTCTCAGAGAACTATATTATCTGATAACGTTTTTATTAATAAAGATTTATTTAAATTATTTTTCAAATTGATTAAGAGTTTAAATTAGGCTCACTTTTTACAGTCGACAATAGCAAAGATTTACAAATGTTTGATTTCAGTAATTTTTAAAGTATTTCAAATTTTCAAAAGTTTATAAACACAACTGATTTCTAATCTACTTGACAGTGGCGCTCACCGCTCGCTCTGAGCCGTTTTGTTTTAGTCTGCATACTGCAGTTAAAGTTAACAGAAAGTCTTAGAAGCGAAAGAAAAAAATATTTTACTAATAAAGCTATAAGCAAGTTCAACTTGTGTCTTAAATAAGATACATGATTGTTGTTTGCACAAATTTTTGTGACAGATGAAATTGTTTTCCGACATTTCAATTTCAAGCCCAGGAATTATTTACTTCATTTTTCTGTTTAAATTTTAGCTTGAAAACATAATATAATTATTTCTCATATCACGCTTATCACTTCTTAAGAAATAAGATGAATAAATTAGAAGATATTTTTAAATCCTTATTTAGTTTCAGAAAGATTGACAGAGATCAAGGTGTTAATTATCTTTCTCAATTCTTGAATAATGCTTCGATTGAGGATATTCATTCTCTGGAAGACGTTTTTATTAAACATTTTACGAATATTGATGTAGAATGGGAACTAAAACATGGAGCACTTTTGGGTGCGAAAGCTTTGATAACTCAACTTAAAGGAAAAACTATTGATGACAAAACTGAAACATTTTTAAAAGTGTGTCAAAAATTTTGTTTGGAGAATCTAACAGATACAGAAGTTCGCGTACGACTTGCTGCTGGTTTGTAACATTTATGTGTTATATTATTTCAATATGTGCTTCTTAAATAATCTCAATATGCTTATTTTGTTTGTACTTTTAATTTTTATTTATTTAAAATGTTCTTCTCAATTATAAAATTTTATGTATTTTAATTTATAAGGATATTTCTGTATTGTTTTTTTTATTATTGGAATTAACTAACAAGGGGATTGCATAACTTTACACTAAATAGTAGACACAACATAAAGTAGAATTCACGCTCACCAAAAATGTAATAATTTAATTATATGAGGATATTTCCGTATCGTGATCTGTTGCGCCAACTACAATCGCGAAAGTGCCAAATAGATTTTAAACGTGCAAATTTTTTAAAAAAAAACATGCATGTTATGGGTGGTTACAAGTTAAATATTTTGAGTTGATCTCTTTCTGTGATCTTTTTATTAAGTTCTCATGGGCTGCTGCCCGGAAGTTGCCAAAATTTGGCAATTATTCTGCCACTTATCAAGATGCAGAAATCTCAACATTTATATTGATCCTAAAAAAGAAATAATTTGATTGAAAGTAATCAGAATACTTATACACCGAATTATTAATTTATTAGGTAAATAAAAATCTTGGCCAAAATTAGTACAGTTCACATTTTACAATTTTCATTAACTTTACACATAAATCAGAGGTGGGTTTTAAATTTGTAATAACTTTAACTTATAAATTATAATTAAATAGTTGGCTCTTAAATTAAAATTAGTGAAATTAATTTAAGAAAAATTTTGCTGCAATAAAGAAAAAAAAAATTTATGTCACAACTTTATGCACTGCTTAGAGAAGCAGCAACGTCTTCAAAGCAGAGGAGCTTGGAAAATAAAAGGAGTTTACTTGTTGTACACCCCCCAGCTGCAGTAAAGGTGTTGTCATGGGTCTCTCAGCTGATTGGTTAGCAAACCACTAGACTCAATTAAGGGGGGGAGGATATCTATCTTCTGTAGTGATGGCCCCACCGTTGACTTAGTTTTGAAATTATCGTCTGTTTCAGCCACTGAGGGAAATGGAAAGATTGAGTTTCTGCTAGTTGGTATTTGTGTCGAGAAATGCTTAAAATAAAGTGTGAATTAAATAGATTAAATGCATAAAGTAAAATAAGGGGTTATTAATTAATTCTTGCCATATTACATAAAAGAAACCTAACCCTAATAATTGAAAGGTTAATGAAACTGATTCCATGTCATCATGTTATGTTTTTTTCTGAATTACATTTTAAATTTTGTTCTTAAACGTAGAGAAATGTAGAACTGTTAAATTATATTTTTAAGTTTTATAAGAAACTAAAAAGTATAGTTTAAATTTATTATGTTACTTACAGTATCTTTTTAAATTCATTGAATTTTTTTAAAACTGTCTTTGTGCTGTTCACCAAATATTTTTTTTTTTTCATTCAACATATCAAAATTTTCCAACATAAAGTCATGATTTTTTTTAAATTTCTTTTTTGGAAAGTGTTAGTAATTTCTTTTAAATGTGTGTTTTTGTTTTTTTCCTTTTTAGGAGAAGTCATAGGAAGCCTTTGTTTTCTTAAAGGACCTGAAATATACAGTGAGTGCCATGATTATGTTCTCCAACTTATAAAAGATAATTTAGAGAGAGATTGTATGGATACCAATGAGGAAGTTTTTGATGCAGCATCTGATGCTGAAACACATAGTGGAACAAGGCAAAGGGTATTTTTAGTTTAATTTTTAATATTTGCTTATTTTGTATGACAAATATGGCAGATGAGATTTCTTGACAAACAATTTTTTATATCATTAGTATTATATATATATTTAATTCATAAATATTTTTATAGCGTCTTAGCTCAGATGCATCACAGATATTTCATGACACAGCTGGTTGGAAATTTCTTGAAACAAGCATGAAGTATGTATTTTGGCATTTTTTTTTATCAATTGTAATATTATTATAGTAAAATTTTAAAAGCATTATGTAAAAATTGTTTTATTTTAAATATTTATTTAATAAGTATTAACTATGTTATGCTGGGATCAGTGTCATCTCAAAATTCCTACTGCCAAAATAGTACCTGTAGCTTTAAATTAATATATTTTTTAAACATTTAAAAAAGTTTGAATTTTTAATTCTCTAATTGATAAATAGTATTATCGCAAAAAATAATTTTATGTGTTACTATTACATAATTACCATGATGAAACACATTTCATCAAGAAATGAGTTTCAATTTATTATCACATTTTGTCTAACTTGGAAAATATTGTTATACTATGTGAAATTATATGAAATGTGCCTTTGTAAAATTACCTTATAGCCTTGTGACTGTAGCCTTATGCTACAGTCCGTTGTTGACCAAGGGATTATGGAGGTTAAGTCTCTACAATTTTATTGCCATAGTCATGATTGTGGAAATGTGGTCAGCATTGCACATAGGCTGCTTATTATTTCTCAGACAAGCTGGTGCTCTTTGATCCGAAACTGGAACTGTTCAAGCCATTATTGAGAACAGAAACCTAGTTTTTCACTATGACAGATCAGTGCCCTAACTCCTGTGGCATTGCGAACTTCACCTGGAAGCTTGAAATCTATTTTTGTTGAATATTTTACACAATTCTTTAATGTGATGTTAAAAATATATTTTAGATAAAACTATGCTTTTTTATACTAATACCTTCGATTGAGAATCAATTATTCTGAAAAATAGGTGTCAAACTAAACTAAAAATCTTAGGTAGATCGTTGGTCATCTGATTATGTTTAAATTTCAAATTTACTTTAAAGTTTCAAAGTTTCTTTCTTCTTTAATAAATTATATTCTAAGTATTAATTACCTGATTAAATATAAGTACCTAAGTATTAATGAACTTATTACTAAAATGCTCTTTTTTAGAGGTTTGTGAGTTATCCTTGTTAAGTTTTTTTCTTCCTTATTATGTATAAGCATAAAGCTTTTTGACATTTCATTATTATTTTTTACTGTTCAAAGAGTTGGCTTTATTTAATGTTTACTAGAATTTCACAGTATAGCTTCTGAAGTACCCAGATTTCTAAAATATTGTCATCTTCCAAAACCAGGCAGTTTTTTTCAATTTTTGAGAAGAAAAATGATGAGTTTGGTCTATTCTAAACCAGAAGCAAGATGCAAAAATGCATGTATCACCAATAGTATTGTGTTAAGCAATAATGTGGAAATATGTGATAATAACTTCTAAAATAGTGGTTGTCTAAACCACTTGCATTTAACTTGAAAGGTTGATGCTAATTAGAGATAATTCATATGTGCGAGCTATAGTATGATTGCGCATTTATTAAAGATGACAAAATTTTTAAAAAAGTGTTGTAATTATTGTCATAAAAACAATTGATAAGACTGCAATTTTAATTGATTAGGCAATTGATTAGGTATTTCTATGTGTCATTCAAAATTTGCATGTTGTTATACATTAAAAATTAATATCAAGATATTAAAAGCTGTATGAAACTGCAAAGCTTTGCTATTGGAAAATATAATGTTAGTTTTTGTTCAAATTTTCCTGGATGAAAAAAAAATCCTATTTTAGTTCATTACTAGAAGTATTGAGGAAAATGAAAATTTTAAAATGCTTGAAATGACCTAAGAATAACCGAATGACTGAATAATGAAATGACCACAATAATGATTTAAAGTTTTGCATTTTTTCTTCAAAACTGTTTACACAAACCAAACAATGAAATTTCTAAAATTTCTTATAAATCTTAAACAATTGATGAGTAATTCAATGCTGGTGAATTCTGAGCCAGATTGTAATATAAAGATAGTTGTGGTCTCCTTGAAGTATTTAAAATAACTTGGACATGATGTCATTGTTAACCCTTTGTGGCACAATGTTGCTAATCCGCCACCACTAATTTCAAAAATATTCCAAGCCACTAGAAATGTAAAGCTGTTTACTTAAAGTTCATTGATTGTTTGCAATCGCTATCCTGTAAACGACAAAAACTAAAGCATGTCACTTCTTTTAAAATATTTTTTCAAAGGGTGCAGCTACTAATGTGTTTCCGGACAAAAATTTTCAGTTAAAATTTGTTGTTCCGGGAAGGGCTAATAAAAACCAAAACTCATTTAACTATTAAAACTATAATTTAGTGTATTTTATGTTGACGTTGGGTTCTATTTTATTTATTGCTTAATTTACTTCGCTAACATTTTTATTATTGATAGGTTTATTAAAGTTTTTATTGTTGCTTTACTTTTTTGTAAATTGTTTTTAATATTTTTTAAGGTGTCTGCAGTTTATGGTTGATGGATGTGGTGAAAGTTTTAAGCCATTTATCACAAACAGTTTTCTTGAACTTCTTTTTAAAACTTTATCTCATACAAATAGATTTGTTAGAGAAACTGGTTATTATGTTTTGGGATCATTAGTCAGTTGTGGAACTTCTTGCCAAGGTTTGTTCTTTTTTAGAAATTTTGTTTTATTTTATTCTTTTAAAATATTATGAGTTCAAGTATTTTATTTTCAGAGTTGCAATTTGTTATTATCTCTTAATTTATCTAGTCTTAAAATTAGATTCTTTTGTCTGAACATTTTTAAAACTAAATTTTTATCAAGTTCAGAAAACTTAAAAAAATTTTTGAAGTTGGAATATTTATAGAAATATCTATTACCTGTGAAAGAAAATGTCATATAATTAATTATAATATATTAAACCTGTTATGCATATTTTCAACCTAATCCACTATTATGTAATATAATTTGTTACTTTTATTTAGTTTAATGTTATTTATTTGTTTATTATATTATTTTATTAGGTAGTTCTCACAATGCTTTTTCTGCTGAAAATTTTGGTCATCAGATTGCGACTCAATTGGGGGTTGGATTAAGTGATAACTGGAGTCAAGTAAATAATAAAATTATTTTTTCCACCTATTATCTTGTATTTCTAATTTTTATTTTATACCAGGCATGTTAAACTTTTGTTTTGTTTTGATAGTGGACCCCAAAAACTAAAACAAATGCCATGTTGGGAGCGAACATGTTAGTGTAAAAAATGTAAGCTATATTCAGAACCCAAATAAAAGTAACATGCTCTTATGTAGTAATTTGTAAAACTTACAAGAAATTACATTTCCATCTAAACACTGAACTTATGACCATAAATATATTTTGAATAACAAAATGTTTACACTCAAGTTCAAGCTTGCACTAAGACATTAAGTACATAAAAATGCAGGATGAACAGTATAATAATGATAATGGTGGGTGCGAGCCTAGTCACAAGTAAAATATCCTCAGAGGTAGACGGATCATGATCTGAAGTCTCCTTGCCATCAGGCTAACTGTGGAAGGTTTTTGTGGTTTTCCTCTACATGTAATGGAAATAGTGGTTAACTGCATCAAAAAGTCCTCCACGAAGGCAAATTTCTCACAATTCTTGATCCAGGAGTTAAAAAAATAACATTTCAAATTAAATTTGCCTTAAATTGACAGTTTTCTAGTACCCATTCTATACTTTTTGAAGAATAAAATGCACGCTGATCTGGAAATTTTAAGATTTTAATCTGGAAAAATCAAAGAAATTTGAGTGACCGTCCTGATGATAAATGAAAATTCCTTACTAATTAAATAGTATTTTTTAATAGAACAGTATATTAAAAAAATTGCTCTGAAATTTTAATATGTTTTATTTAAAAGGCTTTATATATTTTTATTAATATTTTAAGCCATTTAGGGGTTGAGTCACACACTTTGAGGCCCAGTTTTGGTCCTCAAGCCACAGGTTGTGTGTCTCAATTACACAATAGTAGCAAAACATAAGATACAAAAAAATTGAATAAATATGGACTCTTAAGTTGTAGTAGCTCCAGGTATGGCGTGTTTGCCTCCCAGCATTGGATGGGTGATACAAATTCTGCTTCTAGGTTGCTCTGTCCACAGTGCTGGTGTAAAACGATTCTCAGTAGCAGATGGATCATTGTTTAGAAGCCCCTTGCCTTCGGCTAACTGTGGGAGGTTTTTGTGGTTTTCTTCTTCATGTAATATGTCCATGTGTGGTTCTCATCTCCAATTGCTGGTTAGTTCCATCGAAAAGTCCTCCACAAAGGCTAGTTTGCTTGATCCAAGAGTTGCTTTATTTTTCTGGATTTGGTACAAAATTGCAAGGATATGGATTTTAACATTGATAGTAGTAAACTCAGAATTGGACCTGTTCTTCAATGCCGGTAATAAAGTAAAATAAATATAGTCTCTTGCAACATTGTATGTTGAGAAGCCAGACAGTTATTACAAATTAGCAAAATTAATAAGCATTGAGAAGTTATGCACTATAAAATAATTGCCATATTGTTGCAATATTAACATGCCACAATGTCTTGCTCATTTCACAAATGAGCCATTGCTTCACAGCTTGTAAAATAAATTGTTAGTTCTGAAAGGTGTACCTGTAAAATTTGAAGTTAATGTAAATCTTTTATGCCTTAGATGAGGGAAAATTGTTTTTAAATAAAGGTTGAATAAACAGATTGAGTTGACACATTTTTTGGTATCAACTGTTGTAGACCAGTATTTACCAATGTAAACAGTATGCCCCAATGGAAGTACGCTGATTTGTGTGCAAAATAATTTACCATTCAGGTTTCATTCAGTGAATAATTTAATTTTATATTTTCAAACATTATGAGTATATTGAAACACCCAAATTAAGCTTATTACAACGATTAAATAATCCATATAACCATTCATACAAATTTATTAGATTACACAGATTTAAAAAAATAATGAAACTTGTTATTATAGGTTTTGAATTTGGAAAATTTTTTACAATTAGTGTGCAAATCTTTTTTGAAATTTTAAGTACCTGTATGTGCATACCAGCTGAATCCTATCACTATTTAAAATTCTGCATTATTTTTTAGGTCAGGTTGGCTTCCTCTGAATGTACAAGAAGCTTCCTTCTTTCATTCGATGAGGAAAATGATAGAGAAGTGTTTTATCCTCAACTATTGCCAAAAATGTGTTTAAATAGGTGCAGTTGTTATATATGTTTTGTATCTTCGTTTTTATAATTTAACTAGAGTTTATACTATTTCGAATATTTTGAGTTATAGTTATTTTACATCTAAGTTATTTAATTGCAAAAAGATTTGAATATGTTTGATTGCATAGTATTAAATTTAAGATTATATATCTAGTATAACAATTAATTTCATTTGGTGATAGCTTTAAATTTTTCTGAACATTTTTAAAAAAGTATATCTATTTAAATTACTTGAATATCTCTCTTAGTGGTTGCATAAATTTTAAATTGAACATTTTGTGTTGTGTATTTTGTAAATTAGTGTTAGTCATGATTATTTTGGACTAACACATAGTGATAATTTAACATGCCTTTAGGTACTGTATGTTTCTTCGAATAAGAAAACTTACAATGTGTCACAGTAATCTGTGGTGGTATGCCAAGAATACAATAGGAATAAAAAAAAATAATTTTTTATTAGTGATCTAGTCAAATGATTTATTTCTATAAACAGAAGTAACACTCTTGGTCTATGTTAACAATTGGTACACACGTGCTAAAAAATTTTGATGCAGTTAGATATGAATGAAAGCATGATATGAATGACAAATTATAATTCAATCTAAATATATTAATAGAAATCTTGACTATGTACGAAAAGCAGTAATAACAACTACATGAGTTACAATATTATATTATGCAGGTTTAGAATACAATTATTTTTAACAGAAATATTGTCAAATTTTACGAGTCGCACCCAAATTTCAATAATATATGATTTAATAAACAAGGACTGGATTTAAATACAAAAAAGGGTAAATCATGGCATATGTTTAGATTGGATTTAGACAAAAATATATCTAGTGAGAAAAATTTTATTTATATATATTATATTTATTTATAATATATTTATTTATAATATTCATTTATAATTTTATTTATATATATTAAAAATATCTAAGAAATTAAAGATTAATGATTTACATTATAATAAATGTTTCACTCTCAAGAAAAAATGACACAGAAAGAGAAATTAAAAAGGAAAGAGATTAAAAGGAATTAAGGGAAAAAACTCTCTCTTAAAATTATAAAATACAATCATATACAATTAATTATAAAATACAATCAGTTTTGGCTTGTCATGCTTTACTTTTTTATTTAGTTACTTTTTTACTCTTATTTTTTTCTATATAGCATAAATTAAGTATTCAAAAACTGCTCTTGTAGTATTGCAAAGACAAATCTTCTTGTCAAGAGTTATTTATCTAAAATTGATTGTGGTAATATGAATCCTGTATTGATAAATTGTTTTATTTTATAATGGATTTTATTTGAATCATGCAATGATAAAATATTAATACTTTTCATAAAAGCATTATTTCAATAAAAAAATTTTTTTTCTTTCTAAATATGTAAGTGTTGGTATTTAATATTTTGGTTTGTTTGATAGTTGATTTCTTGATCAATTTTAAATCAATGTATCAATAAAAAAATAGATAAGGGTATATGTAATATCTAATTAATAATCATCAAAATATTTGTTAGAAATGAATATCATTACTTATAAACTTTCTAAAAGTAAAGTATATTATGAAATCAGGTTTTACCTTGAATGTGTGAATAGTTTTCGATGCATAAATGTTTTTTTTATTTCATACGATCATTTTACTTAATTGGAAAAAATCCTTGAATGGTTTTATTATTTAACTGTGTCTTTTGTATCATGCTGTATTTCTCTTACAATTCTACTTTACACCATATGTGTACTGTGTAAATCAGTGTTCATGTAAAATTATTATTAACAAAAGTAAGCACTTGAAATTTTTTTCAGTATAATCATTTAGAATCATTTGGTAGAACCAAAAATATAGTACGTCAATTTCCGCAAACCAGTATTTCAAATTTTTTAACTGATATTCAAATTAAAAAATCTATATATTTTTCTATTTTTTCTTGCATTAATTGTAAAAAAAAGCGTTTAGAAGCAGTCAGATATATTAAATTAAAACAGATTTATTGTATACTACTTTAAACTTATACAATGATCCTATAAATGTGCTTATAAATTTAAAAAGTGGATGTTCCTTAACATCGTCTCTCTAAATACAGTAAATGCTTCTGTTATTTTTATCAATTACAACTTATTTATTTTTAATTTCTTTGTTATAAGGTTTTTGCTTCGTTAAGAAATGAATATTGATAATAATGAGCACATAAATATATATTCAAATATTTATAATTTTCTAGGTACTACATTGCCGNGAGCAAAGCGAGCATTGGATTGCGAAGCAATCCGAAATGAACTGTGAAAGCAGTTCCGGGGGTTGGTGAGCGCCAGCGAGGAGGGGGCGAAGCCTCCTAGTATTTTTCTATTTTTTCTTGCATTGCATTAATTGTAAAAAAAAAGCGTTTAGAAGCAGTCAGATATATTAAATTAAAACAGATTTATTGTATACTACTTTAAACTTATACAATGATCCTATAAATGTGCTTATAAATTTAAAAAGTGGATGTTCCTTAACATCGTCTCTCTAAATACAGTAAATGCTTCTGTTATTTTTATCAATTACAACTTATTTATTTTTAATTTCTTTGTTATAAGGTTTTTGCTTCGTTAAGAAATGAATATTGATAATAATGAGCACATAAATATATATTCAAATATTTATAATTTTCTAGGTACTACATTGCCGATGGAGTTCGAATATATTCCCAGGAAAGCTGGAGGAGAATTGTAAAAGAAAATGGACGAATGTTTGTCAAGAAATACATAGATAAATTTGTATGTTTTTATTTGTAACCTTATTATTCCTCTGCAATTGTGAATGAATCGTGTAATATTTTTATTTATAAAAGGGAGAACCCTTATTTTTATCTCATTAATATTATTAATAAAGTTATTTATTTTTGGAGAGTCACTTCATCCTTTCAATTGTAACTAAATATAAAGGGTAGTATATCTCAAGAGTATGAATAAAGTCAGTATAAAATTTGCATGGAAAGAGTACTGCAACAGAAATTGTGTATAGAATTAGTTATTATTCTCCAAAATTAATAATTGCTTTTTATTTTAATTTTCATGCACAAATAATAAGGAAAACTAAGTTGTTAATTTTAGTTTTTTTTCTTATTAAACCTACTCACCATACATGGATGTATGAACGTATACATTAAAATATTTTCTTTGATTAAAAGTTTTACTCAATTTGAAAAGTGTTTTTTTTTTTTAAGCATATTATTGAAAGAAATTCTATTATGTGAAATTTTAGTTTCAATAAAGACTGTTGAAGCAATTAATTTTACTTTTCAAATTTTGCACCACTATTGCATTTATTTACTTGTGGAAAAGTTACGAAGAAACAAACTAACTTGGAAGCATTTTTAATGTTAATGACTTTTGCATGCTGAAATCATGGAAACCAAGCTGCTTATTGAAGGTAATTAGTGCATGATACATATGTTGGAACAATAATCTGGCATTAAGGAAAGTACATGAAAGATTGAAATAAACATTTGTTAGATTTTTATAGTGTTTAACAATCAGTTTATATTTGTATTATATATGCACAAAAATCTATTTTTAAATCTGTAAATTTTTAGATCACAGTTATTTTTCTGATTTTTTTTTATTAAATTAACTAAAACTCAATTTTTATTCTTTAGGTGGAACATTATATTTCTCAAACAAAAGCAGATAACCATGCTGTTAGAGAAGCAGCTTGTGCTTGTGTTGCTGAGTTGGCTTCAAAGGTATTATTTAGACATCTAACTGAAAATAAGCTTGTTTTTACTTTATTATCAAGCACTTTATTTTTATTTGACTGTTTTATGCATCATAAAATATCACATACATCACATAATATGCATCATAAAATATCTTGTATTTAGTTAGTTTTTAAGTTTTCATTTTATGTCTAAAAACTGCCTTTTTCAAATTGGATGATATCTTTACAAAAATTTCAATTAGAAAATATAACTATATGTATATGTATTTATTTTTGTATATTTGTTTGATAATGTTTAATCATATAGTATCAAGTAAAATATTAAGAATTAAGATTCTTCATTTTTAAATATACATAGTTATAGTATTTCTCGCGTCACAATGCTTGATTGTTTTGCATCTAATATATTAACTAAGCACCCATGTAGGTGTCTTATGCTTTGTTAATTCTCTTAAAGTGCTGGTGTTAGTAAACTATAGTTACTCATTATACACTTTCTTTCTTATATTTCTAAGGTTGATAAGGAAGCAACCCAGTCACATGTTCCCCGTCTGCTTCAAACATTAGTTGATTGTTTTAGTGATGACAGTTGGCCAGTAAGAGATGGTATGTTTTATTTATAAAAATTATTTAAATGTGAACATTAAAATCATTTATATTTTTTTCATTTGTATTTTGAATCCTTAAGTATGATAAGAAAATGTCGAAATATAATGTAATGTTTTATTTTATATTCAATTATAAAACTCATAAATGATGAACATTCAACCACTCGCTGTTTCTCATTAGGTGATTTGAAAATGATACAACGTTAACTTCATACTTTTTTCCTCTAATTTTAATAAACTGCATTTGTAAACAAAATATTTGGCATTACCTAAAAAATTCAGAAACCTCCAAAAACAGGAGCATTTCCTTTTCAAATTGTGATTAGAAAAAAATTTGCTAAATTAATTTTAAACTAAGGGCTAGATGACAAAATTCATACGTCAAATTAATTGAAAAAGAATTTAAAAGAAAACCATGGAAAAATCTATAGCAACAATTAATGAAAAAGCAATTGAAAAAATTATGTTGATTTACAATGAGCTTGTCGGGAACTCAGCTTGTTGAAAAGTGACTGTCTGAATGTGCTACTCATAATTCAATTTGTGTATTATTGCATTAAAAATATTATGGTTTTACAAATCATGTGGAAATCCATAGCAATACTTGTGAGAAAAGTGATTGATAAAAGCATATGGATTTGCAATAAAATATTTACAAATTGAATACATCAAAGTAAAGTAATTATTCATATTCGCCTGTAATACCAGTGTACTGTTGAAAACATCGAGATTCAAAAAACCATAGCAATTAAAAAACGATTGATAAAAGCCTGTCCATTTATGATAGAATATGCTTTAAACAATGATTAGATACCTATATGTGATTCAGAATTTGTGCTTCGTTATTTTTTTCAATTCAAACCGTTAGGATTTTAGAAACAAAGTTGAAATTGGTACAACATATGCTTAAGAAACAACTGAAAAAGAATATGGATTTGCGATGGTATTGAACACATTTATCTTAATTTTAAGCCCGTAACCTGGACATATCTATGAAATATTTAAATACCATATATTTTCAAATTCCAAACCCCATAGCAGTCCAAATTTTGGATGTTATACTGTAATAGTAAAATTATTACAATATAAAATCCGAAAATTAAGCTTTATTTTTTTTCGTGTGGATTATATTTGTTTATTATCATTTTATTCACTTAAACATAATTATTCCATATTTTTAAGTGAATGCTTTAAGCTTTAAAAGTGTAAATCAAAAAAGCAGCTTGCAATTCAAGTTTTCATAAAAGAAGTATTTTTTGTAACATTAGATTAATGCATATAAAGCTATATAAGGTTTTATTTACCTTTTAATAATTTCTGTTTGTGCATGGTATATTTCTCCTAGATATTTGTATTAAACTCTCTCCTTATTTTGAAATGTTATTTTTAAAAAAAATCATATTTATGTACCTAATAAATTTTAGCAAAGGTTTCAAAAATTACTTTTAATGAATTCGTGTTTATTAAAAATATCCCACAGAACAATTGAATAAGTTCTGAATAAAATTCAGAAACTTATCTAATGGCAAATTTCTAAACTTTTGTCCAATTTCATTTACCAATTTTAGATTTTCAAATATTTTTCATATGATTTTGAATAAAATATTACAACATGAGCATGTTATAATATTTTTTCAAATAATATATATTTCTTATACTTTTCTCAAAAAATGCATTTAGCTAGATTTTTGATACTATAAGATTTTAATAGTAATGTATCATAGGTTTTATTTACTAATTTTTTTTAAAAATAAAATAGCTGCAATAATTTTTTTTACAGCTGCTTGCCTTGCATGTGGAAATTTTATATTGTGTTTCCCAAATGAATCAAAGTAAGTATATATATATATATATATTTAAAAAATTATTTAATTCTTTTGGCTTTAAATAAATAATAGTTGTAATAATTTAAAAAGATTTTAAGTTAAAAATTATTGAAACTATGTGAAAATATATTGTTAATTTTGTTTTATTATTATTGACATGCAGTCTTTGCACGTTTTCAAAACTTCTTAACCTTAAATATCCACAGAAAGTAAGAAAACAGCACATATATTAATGGGAATATCATTGTTCATTCCAAATAACGTCAGTTGATGAGCTGACTACCTCTGTTTTCTAATGATAATAACTATCATAAATTTTATTTTACATTGTATTCACTGCCTTATTTGCAGAATAAAATGCAAATTAATTAGTTTTGAGATTCTATACATTATTTTTGAAATTTTATAATGTGAAAACTCTGGGGTGATAATAACAGATACTGAAATGGAAAATATTTCCTTATTTCTGAATTTAGGATTTTTCAAATAAATTAATAAATTAATGTCAATTACAATTTTCCCCATGAAGATAAGATTTTAGCTGAAGAACATATATGATTCTTGAATTACTGTAATACCTCATTCATTGACTTAATGTTAAACAAAAGCCACAAGTTTTTATTTCTGTTTGTAATTTTATTTTAGCAGAGCAGAAGTCTCATTTTAAAAAAACTTTCCTAGATTATCAAACTGATCCTCTATCAATGTGTCAAAATATTTCTTTTAAGTATTACCACCAAACCAACAACAAAAATATGTAATGCTAAGGATAAGCATTAAGTTTAGAATTCTACAAGTCTTAGAAACACAATTTTTTTGTAATTGTTTTACAATAAGCCCTTCATTTTCATAGTATGAAGAATATAAAGATTATTAACTGACAATTTTATTAAAATAAAATATTCATTAGAGCGAAAAATAAAAGAGCTTCATAAAATTACAAAAATCCAACTTATATTTTTATTTGAGCTAAATTATTTCTATAATTTAGTGCAGTAATCACCAATTTCAAAATTTTTAAAGTAAGTTAAAAACTCATTAGGAGTATAAAAATTGAGACTTTAAAAAAAATGCCTTGTTTAAGTGAGTGAAAATGGAAATCAGGTATTAAAATACATTTCATGATGTCTTATATTTATACAACATTACACAGATAAGTCAGTAGTTAAGTTTTCTTGTTTTGCAATGACGATTTGAAGCCCGTCTTAGATTCTGTGAGAGATTTGTTTTGAGAGACTTGAGATGTCTTAAATTGTTTTGTCTCATTTCTTTGTTAAATCTTCCTTCCCTTCTTTATCTGTCTTCTTCCCTGCTTTTTTAAATTTATTTTTATTTTTCCTCAAATTCTCTGTAAGACTGAGATCAATGGGTGAAATGAGTTACTTTAAATTTTTTATTCCATTATCATCCAGCCATTTTGTGCTTTGTTTTGCAGTGTGAGAACTAATATTGCAAGAAAAAACTGTTAGGGTAAATTGTTTCGATAGTAAAAATATTTTCCTTATCAATCAATGTATTTGGATGAATTACTTAGTTACAGTTTACCTAGGCCATTAATTTAGAATACTTGAGTACAGGTTTAGTGCATTGGTCTTTTCATCAAACTGCTAATTTATTGCTATAAAAATTCCCGTTTAAATTTTCATTGTTTGCTCTCTACTGTACTGACATGTTAATACAATTGAAACTGCGATTTTTAAAAATATGAAACTTTTCTATCAAGCGCATGAATTTTTAAGCATTTATATTGGTTAATAAGCCTCAGATTTAAATTAAGATTCTATTATTGTTTTACTCTTTTTTTTATTTAATAAAATTTTTAAGACAGTTTTAAATGTAATAAATTTTTTGATTTTAATACAGTGCAGAACCTCTTATCCGGAAATCAGAAAACCGGAAATTAATTTTCTTCCATTAAAAAAATTGTTTTTCCGGCAAGATTTTGAGCCCATTTTGTTATTTAGAGCGTACGGCGTATCGAGTTGACGAAAGAACTGATTTAGAGGACGGATCAAAAGCCGTTTGTAGACGAATCTCACATAAGCACAAATAGCTTATATATGTTATTAATGTTAATAATAACATTAATAACATATATAAGCCTGTATATAATTTTTATTTCATAATTTCTTTCCTTATTTAAACTTAAGTGTATTATTTTTTATCATTTTTTATTATTTCTAAAACTATTTCAAACGAATTTTTTAGTTTTGTTTTATAAACATTAAAAAAACTGCATTTTGTAGCGATTCAGAAAACCGGAAAAATCAGTTAGCCGGAATCGCGATGGTCCCGATCGTTTTGGATAATCAGTTCTCTACTGTATTAATTGTTTGAATTTCATTTCTGACTGGTTTTAGGAATAAATCATAAACTAGTTTCACTCTCTGACTATTATGTTCAAGACTTTTGAGCTTAGATATTTACAATGTAGTCTGCTTTTAATAATTCAGTGATTGTTAGTAATACTTGCTAGGCTTCTCATATATATTGTAGAAAAGAAAAAGTTCAGATTATTGTAACAAGATGAAAAAAAATTATATCAATTATTAAGATAGTTAACCAAGTCATTATCAATAAAAAAAAAGGAAAAAAATTAAATTTTTTTAATATTTGATTTAGATTTGCAAAATATAAGTTAAATAAATTTCTAATTTTCTTATTTTGAAATCTAATTATAATGGTGTTTTACGCCAGTTTTTTTATTACATTGTTATACTTAACAATAAACTTTAAAAATAATAAATTAATTGAAAAAAATTTTCATCCTAGTTGATGTTTTTAATATTGTTTATTTTTGGAGTTCATAATGTTTGAATTATTACATGCCCATTTTTTGTAATAATTCAATGTTTTAAGATTATTTATGGTTGACACATGGTAAATTTCACTAAGGTATTACAAAAAGAGCTTTTTAAAAATAGATTATTCTAAAAAATGTTCTGTTTATAAAAAGAATTAAATACTTGAAATTTTTTATAATGCTTGTGTGTTTTGATATGTTGGATTGTCATTATTATTTTAAAATATATATATTTTTGATATTCAGGAATGTGTTAAACTTGCTTTATCCATTATTTTTCATGAACTTGAAGGATGGTATTCCTTCAGTTCGTCAAGGAGCTGCTGGTGCATTAGCCAATGTTGTTAAAGCTTATGGTAAGCTAAAAAATGGAAAATCATATTAATAATTTTTGAAAAGAAAAATGGAGTTTTTTTTAAATTTTTATAGTTAAAAAAATTTATTAAATCATTTACAAATTTTATGTATCAAATTTAAATAATTTATGTTTAATTTTTTAATAATCTATAAGTAAGAGTTAAGTACTATACCAAACAAACAAAATGTTAGCTTTTTTCTTTTTTTTTTTTTTTTTTNTTTTTTTTTTTTTTTTTTTTTTTTTTTTTTTTTTTTTTTTTTTTTTTTTTTTTTTTGTTATGAATAAAATTTATAAATATATTTTACTGGTATATTGATGTATTCCAAATATAAGTAATTAACAATTATGTAATATATTTGTAGCTTTTAAATTAGATAAATGTACGTAAAATTTTTTTTGCATTAATAAATATTTAAAATATTAAAAAATAACAAATTACTTTTAATTAAACCTACATAAATGTAAAAAATATACAGTAGAGCGCCGATTATCCGAACTATGTCTGAATTCTTCTTTTCTTTTTTTTTTAAAAAAAAAAAAAAAATTTAGAATACTTTTTAACCTATCGACAATTTTTCTAAATTAAGAAGAATAAATAATATCCCCTACATCTGAAGACCTTATTTAATTTACAACCTTTTAGCAGTTTTTTATAGTAGCCATACATACATACATGTATTGTGATACAGTTAAACCTACATACCCCTTTAACCCTTTACAACTGAAAATTATCTTCCAAGAATGCGAGCTTCATTTTGATAGTCTACTATGGCTGGAATGCAGAAGGAGTTTATGAATAGATAAGTGCTGAAGTTCTATAATTGGGGAATGGGTAGTTGTCACTTATGGTTAATGATTAGTGATTACAGTGCTTGGAATCTTAAATTTTGGAATAAAATTCTTAACAGAAAAACAAACAAAACTTAAGTTTCTGAACCAGTAGATCTTTCGGATGAAAATGATAAAATTGTTGCTGAAATTTTGAATGAAAATCGGAACTCCACAGACAAAGAGGAAGAAGTAGGTGATCAAGTTCAAGATAATGGACCTTCTCATATAGAAGCATACAATTCATTAGATTTTGCAATGAATAGACTAGAACGTCGAAATTATGTTGATCCAGTTCAGTTGATTTATTTAAATAGAATGAGGGATATGGCAGCTCAAAAAAGAGCACCTTCTTTGTAACAAAAGTATTTTCTGGATTTCTTTTGCAATGAAAAATAATGAAAAATGTGGTCAAATCAGTAATTGACAAAACTATAAAAAACTGAAATATGATAAAAATAATTCAAAATGAAAAAAAAGAGTAAAAGAAAATAATTAATTAAAAATATTTAAAAATTGAAAAAAAAAGAACTTTTAAACACGCCAAAACTATTTTAGATAGTACAGTCAGTCCCAAGCCTACAAAAGGTGCAAAGGGAAGTTAGTGCATAAATAATAATCATTTACACTAGATTTTAAACATCTTTCCAATTATCTGAATTTTTCATTATCCGAACCATCTTCGGTCCCGAGCAGTTCGGATAATCGGCGCTCTACTGTACTTGTTTTCAATTTGTTTCAAATAAACTTATTTAACAACATGAAATTTATCACAAGTATAATGTTATTACTATGGTATTTTTAGTAAAATATAGTATTTAGTAGAGGTTGTTATTTTTTATTAATTTAATTTAATGAAATAATTTTTTCTTGTAATTTAAATCTTATTAGGTGTAGAAGCATACTTAAATATTAAACCACAGATTCTTGATGGTCTGAAAGGAGTTAAAGATCAACCTTCTGAGTCAGAAAAATACAGCCAATTGAGCAAAGGCCCTGCTACATTCAGTGTTGTAAAAAAGCTCAGAGACAATGATATGGAGCTACATAGCAACCAACAGGTAAGCCAAATTGTATTATTAAAAAAAATGTTAACTCATTTATTACATAAATTAATACTGTTATTTTTAATTTTTTAGATGTACTCCTGTGGGTCACTTGCACCGAAAATGGGTCGTGGTGGAGGTTGTGGAGACCGTACATTTCGAAAAGAAGCAGAACCGTGGGAACTTGCTGATGGGTAATTTTATTGCTGATTATCATAACTTTGGTTAAAGCTAATGTAGCTTGAATGTTTTTTGAAATGTCATATTTATTTAAATCTACCATTCACCCTGAATTCCCAACTTGCTTTTGTGAAAAATAGAAAATAGTGTTAAAAAGTAGATTTTAGACCTTTACGATATTAAAAAAAAAATTTATGAAAACTTACACGAAGTAAATAATTCATTTGTTTTACCTGTGTTAGATACTTTTAATTACAAACATGAACTTAATTGCTTTAACAGAAAATGATTAATCAATATTACAGCTGACTTTGTAACTGATGCTGGCAACACCATTTTCACCCACAGTGTCATCATCTTTGCCATTCGATGCATTTGTTATGCTATATTTTTTATAAGAATGTATATTCTAATAGGATACTTTTTTTCCCGCAGCAGATATCCATTTATTTCCAATATTTGACCGAGGAATCTGTTTTGAATTCGGTGTTAAGCCGAACCCAATTTTCAGTAGATTTAAAAAAAGTGATACTTTTTATTTTTATAATGCAGTAATTTTGAGAGCTTTATTTATAGAAGTTTATTTAAAATATAGCTATTTTTATTATCCGATATAATAAAAGTTAATCCAATTTTTTATTTATTGTTAGTGTATGCCAGTAATTTTTTATTTAGTGTAAATGCAACTCTTGATTCTATTATTTACTAAATTCGAATGTTTCATAAATATATTATTAGTGATTTTTCAGCTTCGATGAGCTAAATTAAAATCTTATCTCCTATAATATAAAACATTTTCTTTGATTTGTTTATTTTTACACTTAAAAATTATTTTTTTTCCAATAAAAGGAAATTAACACTCACATTTGCTCTCCTTCTTCATCAACTAAAATTATTTTTGCCATTTAAATAAAATTTCTCCAATTAAGGAAAAATGATATAACTATTCACCTTCCTCTTCCTCCTTATCAACAGAAATTAATATTTCATCTGTTCCTTTTTGCAATGTAAAGTTAATTTTTATAATAAAGGGAGATACGAGTGTTTGCTTATACTTCCTCTTTCACCTTGTCAGCAAAGATAATTATTTTTTTTAATCTATTCATTTTTGCATTTTTAAATGATTTTTTCCAATAATTGGAAATAGTGTTTTCACTCATATCTCCTTTCCTTCCTTATAAGCTAAAATGAATTATTTTTGACCTCTTTTTTTAAAAATTTTAATTTTAAAATTTTAAATTAATTTATCCAATCAAGGAAAATTAGCCTTGACCTTTTCTCCCTCCTTGTTGGCTAAAATAAAAAGTCTATAAGGTAGTGTTATATTTCAAAATTTAAAGATAATAAATAAATTGAATTGGATTTATAACTTTGATTGTAACTGCTAGAATAATTCCATAATCTTATTTGGCAATAGCTAAGAGATTGTCTGTTTATATGTTATTTAATGCATTCTCAATAAGAAAATAGGTAGTTTTCACAAAGCTAAAGTCTAATATAAATTTCATTTATGCCCACTGTCTTCTTGGTGTAAATTGTAATTAAACTATTATTTGCTAATATATGTAAGATGTTTTATGACATTTATATGTTACTAGTTTTTTAGTTTGTCTTGAAAATCAACTTGATATCCAAATTGATATGTGTTGGTTAAAATAATATCAACAAAAAATACATATTTGCTTGACTATTTTATTTAAATTTAATGTTTTTCTCAAATATAGCTTTGTTTATTTGACTGCTGAATTAGCACAAATAAATGAAATCACTTCCCACGTGTGTGAATTATTACCATTGGTACACGAGGCTGCAAGCTGTAAGCATTACACTCATCACGTGGTGTTGTTGGAGTCCCTTTGCAAGCTGGTATTGATTGTTTTTTGCTAATAAAATATTGATTCAAACATTAATAATTTATGGAAAATGAAGCTTTTAGAATGATATTCATTTTTTTTAAAAAAAAATTTCATCTTCGCATCTGAATTACTATTATGCTATTTTTGACTCTTTAATATCACTCCATATAATTTTTTACTATAGTTTCTTATTTTTGAGTTTTAGTTATTTTTACCATACATCTCTTATTTTAGTTTATATATACATACACACACAAAGTGAGTTTAAAGTCACATACATCAAATTTGAGCTGTATATAATTGAGTGTAAATGCTTTGAATTTTGATTTCTTTCTGGTAGAGGGCAATGCAGATTGTTTTTAAAATATATCACTCAATATTGCTAATTGCATCCTCAGAGAAAAAGTTTGTGAAGGTGTTTTGTTGTTCAAGGCGATTTTATCAGGGAAAGTGTTCATGGTATTATTCTTGCTCAAAGATAATGATCCCACATCATTGAAGTGTTTCATAAAAATATCACTGCTCCCCCAGTCACTTTTGTGTTTTGGGGTACATAGCAGTTCCTCAAAACACAACAGTGACTTAATTAGTTCATCGTTTTAAAATAGCTGGATCGGTAACTGTCAAGAAAAAATCCGTCAGTTTCATTTTGGATGATAAAAATTTGAGAAAAGTCAAATCAAATTATTTGTGGTCGCCTAGAAGAAGTACAAAATATCTCTCCATACAATAAAGTGTATAAAAAGTGGTATTTCCAATTTCACAAGAGAAAATAATGTTTTGAGTTTATATAATTGTGTATAGCATAATATAATATGTAATTTAATTTAATGTATAGTTTTAATAAATGTATTATTTAATTAAATATTCAGTAGAATTGTTGAATTGAGTATTAATATATAAATGAGTGGAATTAAGTTTAATACAATTACAACTGAGTTTGACATATGCAGATATTTGACACTTAAAATTAGTTTTCTAATATCTGCAAAATGTACAAGTTTTAGTATTCAGAAAACATTATGACATTTCAAGGATTTATTATAACATCTAAAGTTTGTCTGCTAAAAAAGGAAAGAAAAAAGCCATAATTTGTACAAATCTCTGTGATCAGCAGTTGCAGTTTAAGAATTTAAATGATACTTTCCTTTAAATTCCTAAACTGCTATTTTTAGGAACGGTTAAACTTTGTGTGTGACTTAAAACTAACCCTGTATTATGTCTTGCTAGACTAGAGAAGGATAAGTTATTTTTAGCTATATTTCATACTAACGTTTCTGCGTAAATAGTAGGAAGGAACTGTTTAAAATAATGAACCATGAAATGTCATAAAACAAATTAAAGTAATAGACTGTAAATTGCTTGAAGTCTTCTTGCTTTAATCTACTTTCTTGATAAAATTGTTGCCTTTAGAACTGAACAATTTTAAACCCTTGTTATCTATTGAAATTATTATAATTGTGTAAATTTGCATCAATAAGAAGGAATTTCAGATATTTTTGTTTATATTATTCAAAGTATTGTTTTTTCTTCAAATTAATAAAAGGTGTTTTTATGAGCTAAAAATGTGGGAAAATGTACAAAAATTTTGAAAGTCAGTTTTTAAGATATTGAATAGGATTGTATTCTTCATTCAAAATCAAATTGTGTTCTTTCACCAAGCTCTTTGGTTGGCAAACATTAATTTAAAAATTATTTTTAAGATTTTATGAAAATGTTAAATAAATTTATTGGTTTTTGTTCTGACCTGAACTTATTATTTTTCTTTAATGATTAATTAAATCACAGTTTATTTTATATCAGATTTTTTCAGTTTGTGTCAAATTTTTTATTTAAATTAAATGATTCATGTATTTTTGATATTTTTACATTTGTAAGGACACCAAATTTATAGACATAATCATATGCTTTTTTCCCCCTAGTAACTCAACTTCCAATTAAATAATGTCTGCTATTTTGTCACGGTTCACTTTAAAGAAAAACATTGTCGATTTCTCATTTTTTTTCTTTCTATGAAACACAGAATCGATACCAAAATTAAACCACATTATAAATCCATTTAAACTATGCAATCTTAATATTATTTTTTCTACGAATCTCAATTGGCCAATTTTCATACATTTTTATATTCAGATTTGCTTAATATTTATATATTTTTACATTGTTATTGAATTGTATTTTCCTCTAATTAGTTGCCAAATATATGTAAGGGTGTTGGAAAGAAGATCTTCAAACAATATTTAGACATGTTTTTAGAAGATGTTTTTTACAGTTTGGTAAGTAAAGTAAAACACATTTTTTGATCCCTGCATTCATTGAAAACACATTTAATTCCTCAACTTACTTTTTTTCTTCAGACTTGTGAGAACATTTTAACCTCCAGTGCGGCTAGTCAATGTCTAAGTTTACTCTCATCATCAATTGGGCCAAACATTTTAAGAGCTAGAGTTGAAAACCTAAATCCAAGGTGAGAAGTTCTTTATTCGTGTTTCTAAATTCGTTATAAATTTACTATTTATCAGAAAGACAATGCTTTTTTGCTGAAAATTTAATTTCGTTTAAAATAATAGAAAATATAATTTTGTTTCAGATTTGTACAGCTTCTGGACAGCTCTATGAATATGGAATAATAGTTTATCAAGAACCATATTATGTAGTTTATTTCTGTGGTGTAAAAACTATTTTAAACTGCACTTTGTTTTGTATTATTAAAATATGTTGTTGCAACAGAAAAAAATTTTTCTTAAAATTTTTTTTTTGTGGATGCTAAGTGTCCTGACAGAACTTACTTAATATTTGTTATCTTTTATTATGGCTTTACAGAGTACCACTTGTTCTCTATTTAATTTATAATAAAGTTTTATATAATCTAAAAGGTATTTTGTATGTAAAAAACTGAAACTCGTTTGATTTAACTTCAACATATCATGCTTTTATTATTAATAAATATGTATTGATTGAAATTGAAAATGGTTGCTCAATTTTTGCTATGATGTCTTAAAATGATTTTTAAGTCCATTAAACATGACGTTTGTTTTAATTGACAGTAAAAATCTGCTTTTAATAAATTAAAAAATATTTCATTTAAAGCTGAACAACATTTTGTTTTTCTGTAGCTATAGTTTTGTAAAAAAAACATGCATAATATAGTACTGAAACAGATATCCTTTTGTATGCAGGGCGTACATTTCTAAGTCTTATTCATAGATCATTCTTCAATACAATTTTTATTAGCTGAAATGATAAGTCTTTCAAAAACAGGTGCCAGCTTCTGTATTTGGTTGGTAGATTCAGTTTTTAACAAGATTAACTAAACCTTTATTGCAACAACAAACATGGCAGAAAAAATTACCATTTGCCACCCATCAGTTATTTAGGCAGTTGTTAAAAATAGGACTTCAAATATTTTTGATTTTAATAAAACTTAATATATGTAATTTCTATACTGTTACATGCTAGAAGTCAAATTCACAATGCCATCAAAAAAAAAGAGACTTAAACAAACAGACGCATCAGTATATCTCAGTTTCAATAAAATACTTATAAATCTCTTTCTAAAATGCCCATTCAAGTGAAAACTTGTTTTAAATGTAAGACTTGAGTAAAAAGTCAGATATTTAATATAGTAGGGAATTTCGGTTTTCACAAATTTAGTATATTCTACTTTTTTGTTTTATTTATTTATTTTTGTAGTGTTGAAGTATGATATACCCTACTCACCATTTTGTGGGCTACTAGACTTTTCCGTTGAATTTCAGAAAAACTAAAGAAAATTTTACAAGTTGATCCTTAAATAATTATGCTACATCAAATATCTGTAATTCAGTGAAACTATACACGTTTTTATGACAAATTAATATTTCTTAGCCATTTATAGAGACACATCTACTGGTCATTTGAATTGTCACTGCATTCAGTGAACAATTTTATGTATGTTTGTCTCTAGGGTTGAATGTCAAATAATTTTTTTAATCTGTAGGGTTGAATTACCAAATAATAGAATAATTTTTTGCCTTTCTGTCATACACATTGCAAAAAAGCAAAAAAAAAGGCAATCTTATTCTCTCTAGATATATATTTGCATTAAATTCTCGTGTCATAAAATTTGAAATGCATTTATATATTGCCTATATAATTTTAATTTGATGTTTGCTGTCAATTGTAAATTTCTTTTTTTTTTTTAATAATTGATGGTGGCATCATATCAATTAAACTTTTTTACTTTAGTTATATTTTGATGGATATGTGCTTCAGATTTCTTAGCAAAACTAATATGCATAATTCACTTAAGTCAAATCATTTGGAAAAGTTATAAATGTTTTTCTGTTTTATTATAGATGGTTGTTATCACAATTATGTATTATATTTTGTTGGTCTCTTAAATATACCAACTTAATCCCCACTAAAAAATGAGTTTATGCATGTCTATTTAATGGTTTTTTATGTCTTTACACTAAACAGGTAAAATCATTTAAACCATTTATTTGCCAAAAACTTTTGTTGCATGTACTTTGTTCAATTGAAATTAAATCTAAAATAATTAAAATAAATAAACTGATTTTAATAAATCATTCTGTATAATTTATTCTTTGAAAAATCTAAAGAGATGAATATTTCTAATTAAAATTATGTCAAAAATAATTTTTTTTAATAAGATAATGAAATAGAATAAAATTGTTCACATACATGGGAATGTTACTTTTAAAGTTCCAAAAGTAATGAGTAAAAGATACAAGTACTAAAGAAAAAACGCAACGATTAAGATGACTTAGAAAAATTGAAAATTTAATGTAATTTGAAGTTTTATTGAAAAATATAACAATGAAAAATAAAACTTTTACATATTAAAATGTATAACAATTATTTGTTATTTAATATCCCTACTTATTGTGGGAAATAATTGCATTTCAAAATCGTGTAGTTGTATTTATGAAGTATGTAAAATTAACCAAAATCAAAATACATAAACAAATAAAATAAAATTCTATAATTCTCATTTTTTAAAAGAAAAATAATAATTTATGATTTCTATGAAAAATTTAGCTTAATCTTTATATTATGCTTTATTATTTGAGTGCTGAAGAGTTTTCTTATACATATGCTAATAGTGCAGAATGAAATGCTCATTGTATTTTATTTTACTTCTTATATTATTAAAAATCACAATTGAGTAAAATGAATAAAAACTGCCACTGATATGAATTCAACTGCTCTCAATAGATGAGAAAATTGTACTAACCAACAGCAGGTACGATAGCGGTTACGATTGAAATTATAAAAATTCACATTTTTTTGCCAAAAACTTTAGGTTTCGTAATGTTAATTGAATTATCAAAATAATTTGGAAAAAAATTTTTATGTGTACGGGAAAAGTTATTTTCTGAAAAAAATTTTTTTTATGCATTTTAAAAAATATTTTTCCTGATTATCCCGTTTGGAATAATTTCTGCAGGTGCTTTTGGTATGATTGACAATGTAGTAAAACTAAAAATTTTAAGGCATTTAAAAATAAATTAGTTTTCTTTCTTTATTATGATAATAACAATGATATGTGAAGATTAATTTATTCTTTTTAAAAATAGTTCCAGAGTGATTGCATTCATTATTGTAATTTTCAAATGAAATTGTCATTCAATAATATATGGAATCATCCTATATTTAAGATCAGTTTAGTAGAATTTGACAAATAGTAAAAAAAGAGATTTTGTAACATTTGCATTTTTTCAGAAAAAAATAAATGAATGATGAGATTGTTCTTGCAGTTTATAAAATCTTGTAATAAAAAAGAGACTTACTCAAATAAGCAGTAGTCCCCCTAAAAAATTAGAAGTCCCCCTCAATATTTCAGAACAATATGGAAATTTTAAAGAGTTATCATTGATTTAAATTCCTTAAGATTTAAAATAAGAAATTATTGAAAATAATCTTTTTGTGGTATTTAGCAGGTTAATAAAAAAAAATTATGTGTGAAATTTAAAGAATTACTATGACTGTAATTTAATTTAGTCATAGTATTACATAGTACAATTAATCCCTACAAAATTTAACCCTTGTGCACCCATGGAAAAGCGTTTCCCGTCAGACTCTGAAATTGTTTGCTGCTATGGAAGCAAGAAAAAGGACATTTTAGAAAGCGACTTGTCATAAGTATTCTCACTATTATGAGAACCGCCTATTGTTGCATTCTCCAAAGACGGCGTTCGGAGGTGCGTGATTTCCAAAGAGCGAAAATTGCCATTTACACTGCATGCTAAAAATTCGCATATGCGAATTCAGAGATGCGAACGACAGCCTGATTTGTGGAATACATTAAGGCTATATGACACGAGGCAACCTAGTTGAAAGCAACTAGCGGTTTCGGTGAAGTTGAAACGTGTCATATGATGGTTGCCCGGTTGCTTTTAACCAGAAACTGAAGTTAAAACCTTTCAACTTTAGTGGAGCAGCCAGATTAGTTGAAACGTGTCATATAGTAGTTTCCAAATACTTTCAACCTTAACAAGCAACCATTTAGTAAACAAAATACGCGTGCTGATTCTGACGCATCCTAAATTTTTATCTTTTAAATTTAAACTTGGTTTAATCTTCTAACTATGACTAGTTTTAAATGGAATTCTAGTGATATATGTATTTTTTTTTTGAAATTTTTCAAACGTATCCTTGTCTTTGGGACATAAATAGCAAAGATTATGCGAATAAACTAATTCCCTATAAACTAATTTCCTCTGTGGAGATATTAAAAGTTACAAATTATTATTGAATTTTAAAAGTGAATGAAAAAAAAAACTAGCATATTACTAATTACAAATGTTTAAATATTTGAAAATTCAAAATTATATAGCTTGAACGCTAAGCTTTTTAAACTCATTTTGACAGATTTTGATAGATATTTCTTTGACAGATATTTCCGAGTACTAATGAAATTTTGAAAGCAAACGAAAGAAATTATTTTGTTTTGCTATCAGCTCAACGCCAACTTCAAGCACATCGTCAATAATCGCTTCCATGATAATTAAAAGAGCTTTTAGCAATAAACTTTATTGAAAAATATAAGTTCTGGTATTGGACTATTCAGAGTTTGTTGAACAAGCGAAGGTTGTAACGTGTGATCACAAACGAGAAGCCAAAAACCGGTTTCTTAACTTAGTTGCCTCCACTTGGTTGCCTAGTGTCATCAGCACTTCAACCACGAAAAAGTTCATGCTCGCATTTCCAAATGTTCATGCTCGCATTTCGCGATAGCAAGGAATTATAGGGGGCGTTGTTGTATAAGACGAATACCTGTGTATAGTCATTCAGTTGCTCTCTGGTAACGTCCTTAATGTAGCATTGTAACGGTCCTTCTTTATTGTGGCTTATTAAATGTAAAAAAAAATGTTTGATATAGTTATTGGTTGCAAGTTTGTTGATAATACAAAGGGTAAAAATTATTGAAAAATTTTTCTTCAAATGATTGGCGTGTTCTGTTTCCAAATTGAGCACACAAGTCAGCAAATGTATGTAATCTCAATAAAATAAATCTGTTTCCAAAAGATTTATCATTGTTCTGCGAAGTTTTTTCAAGTTTTTCTGCATTTTCTTTAAGGAAATTTTGCTTTTTATTTGCTGCTAAGAAAATGGCGTCCGACTCTGCCAATGATTCTGATAGAACTAAATTAAAAATTAACAAATAAAAACCGGAAATAACCTATCCGCTAGAGGGCGTACTTGAGCGCTGCGATCGTGAAATGCGATGTCTTGAATGCAGTGTGAACTTCTGGTAACGCATACACGATAACGCATGTACGAAAATTTGATTCAATGTCATGAAAGAAAGTGTACTTTAAAAGGTTATAAAAAGATTTTTTATTTTGGCAACAAATTATATAAAAAAAGTAAATAAACAACTCTCGTCCCGCAATTTTAAAATGAAGTAGATTATTAATAATGTATTATTATAAATTATTATTGTAATTACAATATTTTATTGTTTCATTCTTTGATTTTAAATTGGGTAAAATGTATAATCAAAAAACTAGTACATCCACTCAATATGACAAACGTGGTGTTAGAAATGATAATAAAAGAAAAGAGTAAGTGTTAATATTAGATATTTGTGAGACATTTTAAGTTCTCAAATTTGTCTCCATTTTAATAAACTTAAATGTCTTTTCTCATAAAGTTTTTAATTGTTATTTTATACTTTTGAAAGCAATGTAAAATTAGGTTTGAATTTTTTGTAAATAGATTTATTCATTATATATTTTCCAAAGTTTTTTTTGTAGAGTTAGTAATAATAGTTAATCAGTTTTCCTTAAATAGTTCAATACAACTATAAGCAATTTGTCTGAAATATTTATCACCGTCGCTTTTTATGCAGCTTCCACTTGCATATTCTCTTTTGCTTGCAAATTACTACATTATAAAATTTAAAATTGGATGGAACCTTTAATAATAATTATCATGTTGTCCAACCTTACTTATGCACAATACAGTCAGCATTTAATTGTATTTTTAAAACAGAATGATAATCTTCCTACTTAATTTATTTTAGGATTCAACATGATGGAAACGTAAATACCAAGGATGCACATCAAGAATTTCGTCAGTTTTTATCAGATAAACTATTTGAATTTATTGAAAGGTGAGTAAGTTGAAGCTCTCCATAATTTTATTCAGAAAAAATTCACTAACTTTGCTAGTGATGGTCCATAAGATTACGGTTGTAATTTTTTTCATTCTAGCCAAATTGAGGAAGTAGAAGTTCAAGATTCTGACTCCGAATTATTTCATTTTGAAGTCGGTGAGTTTTTTTTAGTTGTATATAAGCATATTTACTGATAGATATTTATATATTTTGGTAGTTAATTTTATGATGAGGTTAAATTATTTTCTAAAAATGTATTAATGAATGTTTTAATTTCCTTTAAACAAGATAATGAATTATATATTATTAATGTTTTTTATGGGAATTAGCTTTAGAATCAATATTTATTTTCTATTCCTTCACTTAACCCTCATTATGAGAAAATAGATCTTTTGGTATTAATGAAGCTGATTTATTTTTTAAAAGGTATTATAATAAGGGTCTTAGCTTTTTATGGGATAATTAAAGAATGTATATTGTTTCAATTTTATTCATAGTAATAACTTCGAAAGCGAATAATGCTTTAAAAATAGTTTATAAATATATTTTTTAAATGCATCTTTAAATGATCATTGTCTCACAATTTTCAGTTTAAATTATAGCTAAAGCTTTCAAGTTGTTTATCAATTAATCATCTTTTAGTTTACTTTTTTTTGAAAAAAATTTATGCTCAGAGATTATTTTTCAGCATGCCTTTAATTATTTTTTATAAACTACAAATTTTTCTCTTATTTTGGTAATGGGTGAGTATTATTTTTTGAAATACACCCAGAAAATAGTATGAGAGGGTAATTTAAAAATTGTTGAGGATAAATTCAGTTATTACATAATATTAGTACACATTTGGTAAATCTGCTAAGTGTTACCTTTTTAAAACTCAAAGTGCCCTTTTCTATGAGAAGTACCTTACCCTTTTTTATTCCTCGGAAGAACTCTGAATAAAATATTTAAATGTATTTCTATCCACTAAAAATATTTGTGTTCTACTGACCAATGGTACCTATAACTATAATTGACGTGAAATCAAAGCCTTAAAATTTTACGATAACCTCATGAAACAGTTGTCACCACTTTCTTATTATTTTGCCACCATGCTTCTCTCGTATCTTATTGCAAAAATTAGAAATTTCTGCCTTTTTTTTGTTGTAGGTATTTCATATACCAATGTATATGCAGTGCACCAAAAAAAAAAGGATTACCCTGAATAACTTTTGATTTAATAATCAGATCTTCACGATCTTGTTCTCTTTCTTAACTGTTCAAAGGGTAAAAAAGTCATAAATTTAAAATTTGATTTTTCAGGAACTATTTAATCGATTTCTCACAAATTTTGTATTTTGCTCTGTAAAATTAGATACTTTAAAGTAATTTTAATTTAAATATCTTATAATTCAAAAATTTTGTGATTGTTAGGTATTCAATGAAAAAAATAAAAAATGGTAAATATTTACTACATTTATTTTTTGTTTGGACTTATATTTGGATAAGCGAATTTTATAATTGTGTGCAAAGAGTTTTCAATTCGCTTTAAAAGTTCTCGAGATATGGCAAAATACACAATAAATAAAATTAACATTAAGGGTCAAAACTTTGGATTGCTCTCTTAACCAAACTATGGGGACCATATTTCTCAGATTATGGCTACCCCCAAATTTTGAGGGTCATAAATCTGAATCTGTTGAAAAAAAAAAGGTATGTTTATTCAGAGGAAGTAAATTTTTGTTTCTGGTTTCTTGACTTCTTAACGTAAAACATCTTATGCACTAATTAATCAGGATATTTGGGGTCACCCTTTTGAACCATTAAGAAATAAGTCCAAGAATGTGTAGCTTCGATCATTAGATCAAAAATTATTTAGAGTAATCTCTTTTTTTTTTGCGGGATACACATGTAATTAGGGATAGAGCGAATATTAAGCCACTATTCGGTATTCAACCGTTTTACCAAATATTCGCTTGGCGAAATGTTTAGCCAAGTATTCGACCAAATGTTATGCAAAGTATGTGGAAAGTATTTTTTTTTTTGCCAAAGTTTTTATGTTTTTTTTTTTTTTTTTAAGGAATTAGAATAGATTTTTTTTAAGGAATTTGAATAGATTTTTTTTTAAGGAATTAGAATAGATTTAATATAGAATAATTTAATTGTATTTTTTTATTATACATTATTAGGAAGCAGATATTTGTTCAGTTCTAAAATTTGTTAATTTATGTTCTTAAAGGCAAATGGCAAAATTTGAAGAATTGAAACTAGATTACTTTATACTGAACCATGAGTTTTGTACTGCTGATTTTTTTAGTTTCATTTGGGCAAGTCAATTTCGTAGTTTTCTCAACACTTTTTGTTTTTAGAAGTTAGAATTTTGTTCTTATTTGTTTCATTATTATTATTTTTTTGTTTTAATTATAACACAGCATCTAAACGTAGTGTTTTTAATAGACTTTATTCTTTCATTGGCCCTTTTTTCCTGTATGTAAGTCAATAACATTTTGTGAAATTGATAGTAACGGAGGTAAATATTCAGCTGAAAAAGAATATTTTTCTATTAGAAACATAGCAAACACGTTGAGAATCCAGATTTTTTGTCCTATTAAAAAATTCTTTTTATCAAAGTTCATGATGTCAAAGTTCGACTGTATGTCTATCAATATATGTGTGGGGGTTTAAAAGACGCCACCTACATGACTTAAAAATGGGCCGAAAAAAGCACCCTGTTTTTAAAGAGGCTGTTATATTAAGACACACACCTAATTCTATGATACAAGCTAGCATGCCACACTTGGTCTTTCAAAGAACAAAATTTATGATAGAAAATTTTAAAATAATATAAAATTATTATTACTGTTATTAATATGTTGGTATCCATTGCATCACTCAACATCTGTCATCTTAACTTACTGATTTAAAAATACTTTATTAAAGCCTTTTCTTTTGTCTATGTAAAATAAATAATGACACAGTTTTTGCAAAATTTTGTGATCAATGAATAATATTTTTATTTACTTAAACTGATCATTTAAAATGTAATAATTGTTGTATGGTCTTTAAGGAGATGTATCTTTATTCCCTGGATCTCCTATTTTAAAGGATGAATTAATTCCACCTTCTGTTTCAAACAAACATCCTCCATCAAAGAAAAAAAAGAAGATAGACAAGTATGTCATTTTAGGTTGTTTTACAGTAATTTATAAAATTGTATGAAAACTGAATATTTATATCTTCTGTAAGAAGTATGTTAACATTAAATTACTAAATAACTGTTTTAAGGTAATTTGCAATCCAAAAATTTTCATAATCCAACCAACCTTAATTTTATAAAAAGCAATAAGAAAAGTTTTTTTTTTTTTTTTTTTTTTTTTTTTTTTTTTTTTTTTTTTTTTTGAATTTTAATGATTTTACAAAGTTGAAATATTTTTAAATTAAAATTTTTCAAAAATATTTTGCATACACATATTAAATGTTTAAAACACATACATTTATTAAATGTTCAAATTAAACTAGAAAACTATTAAATTCTTCTTAAAAATATTTAGTTTTATTTAGAAAAGTGAAATTTAAAGAATTTGGTGAAATTGCAAGGAAAAAGCATTCTGATAAAGTTTAAAAATATGTCATAATGGATCCTGTGAAGACCTCCTTTTTTCAGACTAATTGATTCAATTGTATTTGCTGAAATAAAAATTAAAAAACGAAGCATTGTCAGAACCGTTCCTATAAACTGGTGTTAGATTTTAATTGCTGGATAATTCAAGAGGATTTTTTGCCACATTCTATATAGTAAATACAGTAGAATCTCGATCCATTATTTCTTGTGAGATTATTCTTTGTGAACGATAGATACAATGAATGCGGATCAACCTAAAATAATATATAATGACTTGAAAATATTCATAAAGTAATAACGAAATAATGGACTTGAAAATTGAGAAATTTATAATAAGTATAAAAAATTATAGTTGGAAAAATTAAGTACTTAATACAAAGATATTTACAATGCAAAAAAAAAAAAAGGAAACAGAATGAATGCATTTATTTATTTAAAATATTTAGAAATTTTGATGTGAATATATCTTAGCACAAACGATAAATTTTAGACATTTGTAACATATTGAAGCCTTCTGCAAATGTTGGCTCTGGTTGTAGCTCTGCTTTGGTTTCACTTTTGCTCTTCTAAAGGTTTTGCAACCATTTCTTAGACCGACAGTGACCACACGTTTCAATATTTCATCAACTGATTCTGCAAACTGTAATAAATCCTCTTCTTTTTACTCATTAGCATCAGGAGTTTTATTTTTCTTCACCATTTTTAAATGTCCGTATGATTTTTGAACGATTGACATGGTAATTTTCTAGTTTCCTAAATGATCTAAAGGGGGATATTATTGTGATTATAAGAATAGCCTTTGTGACGGGACCGTTACAAGATGATATATACAGAAAAATTAAAGGTGCATGAATGATGGATTGAGGTTTGACTGTAGTGCGAAATTTGAAACTAATTTTACAAAATTTCTCTTGCGAAATGTGGCGGTAAAATTTGCATTTGCATTAAACTTCACAAAACAGTAGGGGAAACTATTTGTATGATATAATAATTGTTTCCAATATTTACTGATTTTTTATTTGAAATAGGGATTTGGAAAAGGAGCGAATAAAGGAAGCTGCTGTGTCTGTGGACTGGATCCGACAACAAGCAAAATTGTTTACGTCTTAATATGTTGTAAAATATTGTAAATATTTTCTTTTGAATAAAATTTATAATTCTGTTTAATTTGGTGCATTTCGTTTTGTTCTGGTTAGTCTTTTGACAAAAATTTATATTTTATTTTTTTAAAAGGAATTTTTATTTATGTGTTTTATACTGTACACCTTTTTTAACTGCAATAGAAAAACAAGCAAATACCTATATTTTATTAATCAAAGCGTGTGAATATTTTTGTTCACGTGCAACCCAATGTCAATGGAATCCCAATAATTTCAGTCTTATCCATATGATATACTTGCATAAAGAAAGAGGGTAAAAGTTTTACAAGTATCTTCAAAATTTTTTAAATAGAACAAAAAATAGTGGAAGAGGTAATTTTGAAAGTATGATTGTTCGTTGCAATTATAACAAGCTTGTTTACATATAATAAAAGCATGAGACTTAATTTAAAAGACTTTAAAAGTACACTCTTAATGCAGAAGTTTTTGCTTTTGTTGAACATCAAAGCTACTAAAAAAATTACATTTTAGTAATGCATGTTTGTAAATATTTTCAGAGTATATAATATCATATATAAGGAGGCCTGAATTTTAAGTTATTTTCTGCGTAGAATGAATGAAAACTAATGTTTTTTTCTTCTTTATGAACAAACTATTAAAAACGTCAGCAAAAAATATTTATAATTGGCTCATTACAGTCAGATTCTCCAGGATGGCGAATAACTTCAGTAAATTTCAAAACTTCACATAAATTTCGGAATTTTACCGTATAATTACGGAATCATATCTCGAATCTCAGGAAAGGCGAAAAATTTGAGATAAATAGGTTTCGAGTTATACAAATACTTTAAAAAAAATTTAATTTAATTAGGAAATTCCATTAAAAGTGCTTTAATTGCTTTTAGTAGAAAAATATAGGTAGATTTGTATATTGATTATACCACATACAATTCTCTTACCTATTTACATAAAAAATTTTTAAACATACATTTAACACTGAAAATAATTTTTCAAAGATTTTTGATGTCTAACCTTCTTTGTTTCGATTATTCTTTTGAGGTTAGAAAGAGAAGCAAATCCCTCATAGCCAACATTTTCCTGGGATTCAAGAATAGTTTGTAAGAGTTCTACGTCTTTTTCTGCCTCTTTTTCTTTCTCTTTTGGTTCATCAATATGATCTTCAGCTTCTTTATCTGATACTCCCTTGACATTATCTATGATTCCCGCATCTGTCAATGTTTCGCACGTTGTTAGGCAGTTGTCCACTTGTAAAAATCTTCAAAATTAATGTCAATATTAAATCCCGATTTTATTACATTCCATTCTTGCAAATTTGGCACTGCATTTCCAGCGTCAACAGTTTCCTCCTCTTTACTGATTCCTTCAACTTCTTGTTCATCATCTTCACATTCTTAAAACCAGCCTTTTTAAAACCATTTTGGATAGTTTTTAGTGACACATTTCTCCAGGTACAGCAGTCATTCTGATAGTCCAACATCAATAGTTTTTCTCCCTTTAAAACTCTTAATTATCCTTCAATCCATTGGTTGCAATTTTGAGGTGAAAATGAATTTCTATTCCTAGCTTTCTTATCTATGTTGAAAAGCTAACTCCTGGTGGTCACTACTCATCAACCCCTCTCTTACTGCCAGAATCATTGTATTCCTTTCTCGTTAAGGAAGTGCAGGGATAGTAACCGACATTCTAAGAAACATCCCAACCTGTTCATCCTTACTTCCAGTGGGTTCACGAAATTCATCTCTGTCTGCAAGTTCTACTGATAAAGAAAGTTATGTTGTTTGGGAATTTGTGCTTTATTGTTAGAAATTCGAAAAACGGAGGTTTGAAAAAAAAAATTTCGATATAAAAATGGAAAATACATTGATTTTAGACAGCAAATGTAGATAATTTTAGAAATCACGAGATACAGAGGTTTTCGAGATAAACAGGTTCATTTGTATATATATATATATGTATGAAAGGGTAGCAGTCATGGTGAGTGTTGTTAGGCCACGCAGATAGCAGTTGGAAGGCAAAAAATATTTTATTAGCTTCACATAGTATATTTAAGACATTTTCTAGCAAAGGCGGAGCTCAAAATCGCACTCAAAAACTGTGTGCTTAAGGCTTAAGTTTTTATCTTAGGGAAAGTAGCAAAGGAATTTCCCTCTATTTTGTTATATTTGAGGGGAAAAGGGAAGTCCCAAGGATTACTATTGGTTTATGATAGAGATCGAGCGTTTCCCACACAGAGCAAAGGGAAATATGTCCTGCTCTTAATTAAATGCATAGTTGAGCCAAAAATAGATTTAAGAACAGGATGTGGCTTTTAAAAGTGTGAGAAAGTATTTCAAATAGAATAATTAATTAGGAANATTACTATATATATATATATATATATATATATATATATATATATATATATATATATATATATATATATATATATATATATATATATATATATATATATATATATATATATATATATGAAAATATAATACATACACTATATATATATATATATATATATATATATATATATATATATATTGTGTATGTATTATATTTTCAACTCCGTTTTGTGATGATATCGGAGAAAAATTTATTTGAAATTTAAAAGGAGCAAATATTTTGGTCTAAAGTCAATTGCAGAAGCTATATTTTAGTACTTAACAAATTTAATACTTAACCTGTTTAATACTTAAACGAGTGCAATTAGTATAAATAGCGTATAGTAAATTGGTAGATTAGTGTCCAAACAAAGTCAGCCGGGATAATTTTTAATATATTTTAGAGTCTTGGTTTTAAAAGTTCACTTCATTTAACTTTAAACTATTCACTTCATTCATCCTTAAACTTACATTTTACGTTTCCAGTCGTTGGGTATAAAAACAGTTCAGAATTCTTTTGCTGATATGTTATTAAATTAAATAACGGAATTTCGTAAACTTTTAACTAAAAATGTTGTGGAAAATACTGATTACTTTTAGAATAAACTTTTAAAATAATCTTGAAAAGTGTTTAGAATTTTTCAAAAATGTCTCAGCTTTAAAAAGAGCATTCTAGCGAAAAATTACTGTCTTTAACAAACTGGGTCCATGTTTTGGAAATAGAAAAACGTGCAATAAATGAAATATTTATAGCCTATTATTTATCTTATTTCTTTTATGAAATAATACGGAGCAACTTGGATATAGTTTTAATATTTGGCTGTGATTTTTAGTTTCGACTGAAATTATTACTCGGAAAATTTAAATATTCTAGTTTCCTTCTAGATTGAAATATTATGTTTGAGAGAGTCTAGATTGAAATATTATGTTTGAGTTATAGTGATGTTATTTTTGTTGCTCTAGACATCATTTTAAAATGCACTGTTTTAAATTTCTGAGAATGTGTTTTAAGTTTAGAGACGGGAGCCGTGATGGCTGAGTGGTTAAGGCATTAAACTGTGAATGCGAAGGTTCGATCCGCAGCAATGGCTTGAAGTTAAACCCAGCTTCGGATCGATGGGTGCCAGCTAATCTGGAAAGTAAAGGTGGCCCGTGCACAATGCTTGTCACAGTTATGCCATTGGTCACGATATTGTAAAGCCCTTATCTTTATGACCTTCTGCCCCATGACAGGCTGTTGTGGGAATGCTTTATTTTAGTTTTAGAGTTGACATATCCGGTTTAACATAGAGTTTAGAATCTAATTTTCGTACATTGATTTACATGCAATTTAACCATTTTAACTGACTTTTCACTCTAGGTGGTTTTTTTACTTATTTATTTTTAAAAAAGGAACCAGCAAAACCCATATTTAACTGAGTTTTTTTTAGAAATGTTAAAAAAAGGGAGTTGGTTTGCTAATCATTTTTCTTCTGTTATTACTACAACTGTCATATATTTTTCAGTATTTTTCTCAAAATAATTTACGATTTTTAAGCTAATAATATTGATTACTTTCTAAAAAAATTGTGAATCGAAAATTTTTTACTATATTTTTGAAATTTTCATTATATGGAAATAAAAAATGTAGATTTTATATATATAATAAAAAGTTTAAAGAATAAAAAATATTTTAACATAGCAGAAATGGTACACATTATACTCTTTTTATTTTATCAGACTTTCTTATACCAATTATATCACATAATATCAATTTTAAAAGAAATTTTTGTAATTTACGTTCTGTAATTAATGATATATAGACGAAGTAAAAATAAAATGAATGTTTCATTTAGTTCTGTAATAGTCTCTTATGGTTCTGATTCGCCCCTTAAATAACTATAAACCTTGACAAGCTTTTTGGATTTTTTGAGTTTTCTCAGTTTGGATCAAACATGTAGAAAACATGCGTTCAATAGCTGTTGAGCTGTCTGGTTTAAGTTCTGAGTTGCTTTTCTAGTTGCAAGTGTGACTGATAAGTAAATGTTAAAGACCATCTTATTTTGTGTCGAATGATAATGGTCAAAGCCTCAGGGACTCAAGGGATAGAGTGCTCGCCTCCAAATGAGGCTATCCAGGTTCGTATCCCAGAGATGGCTGGTTGATATAAATTCAGCACTCGGCTCCCAAAGATCACAGTGCTGTTGGAAAATATCCCCAGATGTTGACAGATTATGAGAATCTCTTTGCTGTCAAGCTAAGAGTGAGAGAATTTCGTGGTTTTAATTTCTATGTGACGCATTTTGTCCTCTGGATGATCCCGAAATTGACACTCTATTCGACCCAATAAAATCCACCTTGTCTGAGCTTTAAAAAAAAGCCTAGTATTAAAGTGGTTATTGATAGTACACCCCTGAACTCACATACTGTGATGCTACCATATTTGTATATGCATGAAAAATACGATTTCGCATATCCTTTCCAACATAATTTTAAAATTGAAAAATAATTACCATTTATTCATTGAAACTTTCTTATTAAAAATGTTTCTGTGAATTATTAAAAAATAATTGCTCTTTTACAAGTAAATAGTAAATAAAAATCATGGCTTTAATAGGTGAATAATATAAGGATTTTTAATTTTTTAAACGTAATTTTACCTGTAAGCATTTTTTTTCCTTCGTAATATCAATTT